AACATTCCGAAAAATCTTTGTAACTCTATTAGAGTCGTTCAGATAGTCGAGTGTCATCGGCTGAAATGTGATGACTAAGGAAAACCAATGATTTAACACCGAAAATGCATTTTTTGGGTATTGTAGGAACTTAATCTGTTAAATAATTGTTTTAAATGAAGCATGCGTTCTTCTTCATTTCGACTTGTTCCAAGGATATCGTCTAAATATACAAAAATTAAGGTTAGACCTGAAAATACTTCATTGATGAACCCTTTCAAAGGTTTATTCATTTATGCTGCATTTTGAAGGCCAAAAGGCATGCGAACAAATTCGCAAAGACCAAAAGGGGTTGTTATGGTTGTCTTTGGAATGTCCTCTTCATCTACTGGTATTTATCTGATGATACGTTCAGACCAAATCGATTTTCGAAAAGATGTTGCGTCTCTGTAAACGAATATTGAAGTCATGTATAATATAACGTTCATAACGTTCAATTGGTGGTAATTTCCGCATAGCACACTACAGGTAATAAGATCGGGAATTACATTACGATTTACAAACAAAAATTTGAGCTGGACTCATGATGACTCTGATTCAATAATATTCCAATACATTTACTCGACTAAACTACGATTTCCAATTTTGTTTTTTCGATATACTTTTTTTTTAATATCTCGTGATGCATACGAGTGGAAAAACTTTCAGACCGTGTCGCGTTCCAAATTAAATTACCGTTCTAAGGTTAATCCGTGACGCGCCGCGTGAGTGAAAAATTGCGTTAGCCCTCTTCGAATTTAAATTGGATTGGTCTCGTCCTGAATTGGATAAACGTCGTCGGGTGAACCCCCGCCTACAAAATGTTCGTTCTCCTTCGGTCCGCATGAAATAGGAATCTTTCCCGCCTCAGATCGACCACCGAAATAAAAATCGAAAAAAATAAAAATAAAAAATATATAAATGGGAACGCTCGGTTTCGAATTTTGTTTTTCTCTCGCCGTTTTGTCACAAGGAAAACGGTCCTCATTTGAATGCGTTACGGCGGTCGGGATTCTTTGTTTCCCTAGAAGAGAGGGTGAATAAATTTGCTGTTACTTTCTCGGACATTTTCATTTTTACAATATAAACTCGTTTTACGTTTTAAAAGAGATCGCTGACAAATTGGTGACCTTTTTTTAAGTGCTTTGCAGCATGTCGTCGTTTCATATCTGGCACGTGCACACAATCATCTACAAATATCCCCGACACAAGTATTTCTACGTGCCCCTTTCAAGCGTCGCCGTGTACACGACGACGCTCGGCGTCACCGTCGCGCTCGAAATAATTAGGGGACAACCTTTGTCAAGTATCTGGTGTGAGATTTCATGTTGAGTTTTACTCTCACGAAGCTCACTCTACAATCTATTCATTCCATAAAGCATTGATGCTTTATTTTCGCACAAAACTAAAAAAGCATTGTCAAAATAGTACGTACAATTTTTCTTCTTTTACGAAAACATATTTCAACATACCATAAATCTTTCATCTTTCCATAAATCAACTTTTTGTTTAATTTATTTATACTGAAAATGCAACGTCACATGAATAATAGTCGGAATATTCCGGGAGACGTAAAAGTTTTTGAATTCTCTGATATATCTCAACAGTTACACGTAAACAAAAAATAAATGTTTAAAACGAAATTTTTATTTTCTTCGTGAACTATAATCCACTTCCATTTTAGATTAATTATTCGGATAAGATTAACGTCTACTGGTATTAATTATTGTAAGTGACGTATTCATGCGAATTGACACGATTTAAGCGTCGTTTAAGCCGAAGATTGCGTCGCTGTTAATTTGGGTTATAATTTAAGATTGCGGGAAAAGGTGATAAATCTTCAATTTGGATTTAAAGCTACATTTAATGTCGGTGTTAATAAAGCTTAATTAACGCCACGTCAACTTGATCGAATGGTAACGTGATGTGATCGCTGATTAGAATGTGAGAAGGCTCAACTTCCTGTTAAATCTTGATCAATTTTATGAACGTTTATGAAACCAATTAAATAATAAACAAAAATTTCATATAAAAATAGGATTTTGTTTATTTATATGTTATTGTTGTAGAAATTGGTACATTATAAAACTAATTTTTCTACTATTCGAGAGCAAAGTTAAATTGAGTAATGATTAATATGTATTGTATATAGAGTTCGTGAAGTAATATTAGTCGTGGATATCCAAGAGTTTTCTGTGGATTTTATAGCTTATTGAGGTCATATTGATCGCAATACGAGATAAAATTTGCATTGAAATTTATTTTAATCATTGGAATAAAACTCGGAACACGTCCCATATTATTTTCAATGATATTTCGTGTGACAAACAAGTTACAGTTTCTCTTGTTGATCAAAGAGAGAAGATTTTATTCAAAGATGCAACATTGCATTCATTTTGGATATCTTCTATTGTGGTATCTCTTTCGCCTGGGCCTCAAAAGAGAAAATATTTGTTGAAAACTTTGTATGTGAGTTTTGTAAAGCGGCTAATTAAAATCTTGGATTTGCACACAGTTCTAGACTAGATATCAACTGAGTGGTCATCTAAGGTTGTTGAGGTGGCTCAAAAAGCGTTTTTGAAGTTGTTAAAAATAAGGTTCATTTTCAAAACGAGTTCATGCATTGGTATTTGGGGAGATGTCGATGAATTTACAAGATCTCAAGAAAGTAACAATGTCGTAGTTTGTTGCGTTCCTCTTAATGTTATTAATGCCAAAACTTTTTTCAAAATTTAACACATTACTCGGCACACGACAAATACACACATCATCTTTCCATCCTCTAGCAAATGAAATGTTAGACGATTTCATCGAACATTAAAAACATCTATCATCGCTAAAGGAAGATCTAAAGGTTGCTGCTCATCAGAACTGCTTTACGGACAACCACTAAGACTTCCTGGAAAGTTCTTTATACCTACTAATTCATCCATAGCTTTTCCAAATTAAAGCCTGTCAATCCAACTTTTCATTCTATTCAAAAACTTGTCAACTTTTTTTAGCAAAATTTTCAATGCAGAAAAATTTTTATGAATTTGCAAATTTATCTACTGTAAATTCTATGTAAACTATTAAAAACATTCTTTACATTCGTACAACTTAACATGAACGTAGGGTATAATAGGTAACAAAAGAGCCTTGGGGAGGAAGAAACCCTCGAGGACTGCCAATTTATCAAATGGGCGTTTTAGTACCGAGTTCTGGGACCGGCAATTAGAATGCCGAGCTCTAACAACCGTTTCAGTTCGCAGAAAGTTTCATCCCCTAACCACTCTAACTCCCAAGCTACAAACTATACACGCACCATGTATGTATCTAACTACCTGTCCCAAACATTTCCCATCGCTAAATAAATACCAACAACTTTCAAAGTTAACAACCCAAAAATAACATTCAAAAAACCTAAAAGAAAATCCACTCTCCCTTTTTAAATCAATATTTAAAGCTCCAAAAAAAGGTGGATTAATATTTAACCATTTAAACGGGATTGTGACCATAATGGTCTCTTTAGGAGGGTTTTTGTGTCGACGTCGTCATTATCGTCATTTTGTTACAAGGGACGCACCTGTTCGGAGCTTTTGGGAGCTTTTAGGGTTTATCAATTATTCACGCTATGAAAACGAGCATTATCCTTTTCGGATAGGTAACCAAAGAAAAAGTTTGTCTTCGAATTAAAATGCAAACTACAATAATTTCTGTTCCGGCGTTAATGCTTATAACGAGCAACGGGAATTTCATTCCCCAAAGGAAAAAGTAAACGACTAAGAATAGTGATGAAAGTGCAGGTCCCGAAATGTTCACCTCAATCATAATTTAAGCTCCACGCGGAATTAATTCGTAAATTAAGACGAATTTCATAAATGAAATTTCATGAATATTAAACGATTATGAAAATCAGTTGAAACTGTAGATATTTAACAGGTTTTGGGAGTTGTAACCAACTGGAGGAATTAATTCCGTATCAACTACGAACGGGGGAGGAAAGTCGTAAAATGCGACAAATTCCTTCCGAAACCATGATTGCGTTTCCTGGCAGTCAACTAATTGTATCACCATAATTAAAAGTTGAATTTAATGCCGGTTCTGCGACCTAATTTCAACGGAAGTTCCAGGTGCGAATAAAATTGCTTCCATTGTTAATACAAATTACAAATTGAATTCGGGCGTCCGGGAGACGAGGAATGTTACGTTGTTAACGAACAAAGCGGGGGAATCTTTCTTAGTAATAGAACAGAATTTATTTTGCAAATTTAAAGGAAATTACATTAATTTAGTTTTATATCTAAAAGATATAAAAATATCCTGTTGTTAAAGTACTGTTGCGAGTCCAAAGCTTTTCGTTCATTTTCTCTTATTCACCTCCCACAAAAGTTTCTATAATTTTTCATCTAACGTCAACCCGTTTTGACGCAGAAAAATAGAGCGAGCCGTAGCCGGATAATAGGAGAGGAAAGCCGGCAATAAACTCGCTTCTGAAAAGTTGAGTTCGCGAAATAATAAACGGGAACGAAGCCATTACATGACGCGAGCAGTGCGAGAAAAAAAAATGAATCTACGACCGAATGAACGACTAGCTTTCCCGCAAGTTCTAGAACGACGCAACGTAACGAGAACAATATTTTTTAATCGTGCTCATTTTCAAGCACGAAAAGAATTAATCTGGACGGGAAAGGCAAAAAGTTCCAGAGAACTCATTTTTAAATATAGCGGGACGAAACAACTTTTAAACCGATAACTTCGTGACAAGTTCGCCCGCGTACTTTTTGCAGCCAATTTGGGATGAAGTGCTTCAGAGTTAAGGGAAGTAGTTAAAGTTGAGCGAAAAACCGGATGCAATAAACTTCCGCATAATGTCGGGAAATCAAATAAAAAGTTTCGCTGTCTTAGTACTCTACTACAACTACTACTAGTACCAAAAAATCGTTCCGTTTTATATGAACAAGTAGAAATTTCTTACATACATTTTTCATTTTTTTTTTTAGTTGTAAAGCAAAAATACGATATTCAAGTCCACGACGTGTACGTGATATCCGGGAACACGGCCGTCCTAAAATGCAAGATTCCAAGCTATGTGGCCGAATACGTGATGGTCACTTCCTGGGTACAAGATGGCAACATAAACATCTATCCGAACACCGATATCGGTGGAAAATACGTTGTACTTGGAAACGGAGATTTGTACATAAGCAACGCCGATCCAAGCGATGGTTACAAGACGTACGCTTGCAGATCTGTTCATCGTCTGACAGGTAAGTGCTACCTCCTGTTTTCTCGTCTCCCCCAGTCTTTCCTTTTATATAAAAGCCGGATTTGTTGACGCCCAAACACTACGTTCTTCCATTTACCACCGAAAGGCGTTAAACTTTGGGAAACATAATACTACCTACTTGAAAAAAAATTTTTTCAAAGTATTGATTTTAGTTAAAGGATTTACTGAAGCTATTATTATAGCAAAAATCGTTATGGGCACTCCGTTACAAAATTGTTTTTGACTTAAAAGTACTAAATTTATTTATTTCAGGTTTAGTTAATAAGACATTAAATAATCTACAAATAACGATTGGTGTAGTTTCTCGTGTAACTTATTACGAACTGCAAATGAAGTGAAATAATCGGTCCATTTACAACGTAACTGAAATGGTGGCCAGTCAATTGGAAAGTTGAACTGAACCGAGAACAGAAAATTAACTGCCCAAACTGGAGGTGCAGATATAAGCCGTACAAATGCGTTTGCTCGCTAAGGCTCAAACAAATACTACCCCTTTTAAGCCGGTGTTGCTCTCGAAGTTGAATATTAATTTTGCACGGCAATTTCCTCCTGCCAATACCAATCCCTTTCAACACTCATACGTACCAAATTTATATTGCAATTTAAATTTTAATAAAACACCTACTTAATATTCGGTATAACAATATTATTATTTCGGAGCAATAATAATATATTATATGTTTGGATGATGTCAGTCGCCACTGATCCGAAGCTGTTAAACATATATCTTGTGCGCAAATAGGTCAACGTTACGTGACAATAATTCCTAATTTATGCGCGATGGCACATTAATCAAGAGCCTTGGGAAGCGGGATTATTATTAGAAGCGGCGACGCGGTATTAATTATATCAACTGTAGACAAAGGGGTGACCATAATTATTATCTAGGGCTGTGCCTCCTGTTGAAGTATTACGGAACTTGGTTCGGTCAGGGAACTGTTGAAATTATTACATTTCCCGACTTGGCATAATGTGGTAATATTATATAGAAACGATAAATTTCCTTTCCCCCTTCTAACTATTTGAAATTAACTTGTTATAATTATTATTGTAGTTGTCAGACAATATTAGTTCTACAAGTACAAAGTTTGAAATGAATTCGAGCCTTCGTATGCAGTGAATTTCACTTAAGATGCAATATACAAAAATATATTTCCATAGAAATCAGGGCGTACCTACTTACTTTATCTCACATAAAATGCAACATGTCTGAATGTTTCTAGTTATAGGTCTAATGTTAATTCTAGTGACAGAGGAAGGTAGCGTTAGTTAGTGACATAAGATATAGTGCATATTTTTATTGAACTAAAACTAACGCATGGCTAGTTTTAATTGCTATGCAGATCTAGATTGTTTTATATTTTTATTGAACTAAAAGTAGAACTAACCTAGAACTAGAAATATTCGGGTTTAGCCGTCTTTAGAGACGTGCAGGTAAACCCGAATGTTTCTAGTTCTAATGTTACTTCTAGTGACAGTACAAGCGTAAAACTAGAACTAACGCTATACCTAGAACTAGAGTCATTCGGGTTTAGCCGTCTTTAGAGAGGTGCGGCTAAACCCAAATGATTCTAGTTCTAGGTATAGTATAGTAGTGTAAAACTAGAACTAACTCTAGAACCTAACTCTAACCTAGAACTAAAACCATTCGGTAGAAGTCTTAGAGTTAGTTCTAGTTTTAATTGTCATACAACGCTAGATTGTTGTATATTTTTATTGAACTAAAAGTAGAACTAACACTAGACCAAGAACTAGAATCATTCGGCTTTAGCCGTCTTAAGGACGCACGGCTAAACCCGAATGATTCTAGTTCTAGGTCTAGTGTTAGTTCTAGTGACAGTGTAAGTGTAAAACTAGAACTAACACTATACCTAGAACTAGAATCATTCGGGTTTAGCTGTCTTTAGAGACGTGCTGCTAAACCCAAATGATTCTAGTTCTAGGTATAGTGTTAGTTCTACATAGTAAGATTTCTAGTGTAAAACTAGATTCATTACTGCGTTCATACAGGGTTCTCCGGGACGGAGCTATAAGTTTTGAACGAGTGAAAAAAAATATTTGAAAATTTGGGGATCACTAATGACCACCCCTACATTTTTAAATAGCAACCCCATCGAGTTTTACCTTATTTTAAAGGTAATGGAAAAAGACACACAACCCCATAAACCAAAACCCTATATCTTAATTCTTTCAAGAATTATGAGGGGTTAACTACCAAATGGGAAAATAAAGTGCTTTCATGTTTTTTTGCACGTTTATTAAGATTTTGATAACAAATGTTCAAATTGTCGACCTTCTTCGGTCTCGCAATGACCCAAACGCTCATAAACCATCAGGAGCATATCCGTAGTGATATTGGTGGTTTCTTCAAATATGAGATTTTCTAAATCATTTATTGATTCTGGTTTTGTTGCGTGAACTCTACTTTTCAGAAACCCCCAACAGGAAAAATCCAGTGGTGTTAGATCAGGAGATCATGGTGGCCACTCAATTTCACCTGTTCTACCAATCTCGAGTCTCGGACTGCGCGACTAAAATGTGGAGGATCACCATCTTGTTGGAACCACTTATTGTCAATACCATTAGGGCATACGGCACGTACACTTGGAACCACTTGATTTTCTAACAGTTGCAGATATCTGTCTCCGTCCAAATTTTCATTAATAAAAAATGGACCAATTACATTCTCTCCCATATTACCAGCCCATACATTAACTTTCTGTGATCTTTGAGTATGATCTTCTCTTATTAAACGTGGATTTTCGTCACTCCAATCACTAGGGAACCACCACTATCACTAGGGATATGCTCCTGATGGTTCAAAATTCCATTTATGAGCGTTTGGGTCATTGCGAGACCGAAGAAGGTCGACAATTTGAACATTTGCTATAAAAATCGTAATAAACGTGCAAAAAAACATGAAAAAATTTTATTTTCCCATTCGGTAGTCAACCCCTCATAATTCTTGAAAGAACTAAGATATCGGGTTTTGGTTTATGGGGTTGTGTTTCTTTTTTAATTACCTTTAAAATAAGGTAAAACTCGACTATTTAAAAATGTATCATACCCTAAAAAAACTCCACATTGCTTGGAAGTTCTAAACTATCTTCTAAACTATAAGAATGTAGTTTTTATGACTCTTTAGTGATCCCCAAATTTTTAAATTTTTTTCTTCACTCGTTCAAAATGTATAGCTCCGTCCCGGGAGTTTTGGGAAACCCTGTATATTGGGAGTTATATGAATTAGTATTATTCCATCTCTAACGATAACATATTTATATTATAAAAACTACCCCCTTTCATCAAGTCTGAGTTCACCATCTCGAGGGCCACTTAAAAGAGAGAAGTTCCAACTCCAATACTAATTTAAGGAGTTTTCGCGTGTTCACCGAATATAATTTGCATTGCAAATAAAATTAATATCAAGACGTCTCGTGGTGAAATAATATTTGCTTCTCTTCATTTAAATTTACGTTTTACTAACATTCTAAGATTAATGATATCAAATGAACTCCTCAAAAGTTCGATTTGAGTTTAAAGAGATGTAAAATTTATAATTTTATCTAGATTTAAATTTTTTGTTTTAGGAGAAGTACAAATATCGAACTATCCCAGCAGGATTATCGTAACCGAGCCGAAAGATCCCGCCGCACCTAGGATAACCGTCGACAAGTACAATGCACGTCGCGTTGCCCTCGGCGAGGACGTGACGATGCCTTGTGTTGCACAAGGACATCCGGTCCCAACGTACCACTGGAAAAGGGAACTTCAGGGCCAGACCGTACCTGTTGCATTGGGCGAACGACTTTCGATGATCTCAGCAGGATTACTTAAAATATCCAAGGTATTGGAGAAAGTTATAAGAGCATTTATACATAACCGTTTCACGTTCGTATTCATTATATTAATTAAAAGAGGAATAAAAACATACAATATTGCTTTAAAAAACACGATCAAAAAGCTCACTAATAGATATATAAGCACAAATATAACCTACTTACTATTTTATACTTCAACAATTCGCATTGTAAACTCCCACCGCTCGTTTTATGATATCCGCGAGGTATTCGCTTATTCTTAAATAAACCTGCCCGAGTTAGATCTATTCATCACTAACGCGAAACGTAACTCGAATTCCAACCTTCCAGCACCACATCGTCAATATTAAACATTCCAGATCGGAAGCTACCGGTAGCATAGGTATTGCAGAAATTTAATTATTCGCAGGTATACCTGCCTCTGTTCGAAAACGAACGCGGTAAAGATACGCTCATACTATGAGTACTCAATTGAATTCAAACCACCTCTAAATATAATTTTGATTAATTCAAAAATAAAATTTTAGAAATCAAAATTTATTTATTAACGTCTTAATTTTTCGAAAGTGTCATTTAAAGATCTCCGAAGTCTTGTGTCAGAGTTCATTAAGAATCGTGTCACTTAATTACCTGCATAAATTCGTTGTAATAACGCCCCCCACTGTTACATTGTTCCGGAGAAGTGAGTCGTTCTTCAGCAACCGAGGAAAATTACGAAACACCCCTTTTCAAAGGGGTTCGAGGAGACTCCCCGTGTCTTCACTTCCTATATTCGCCCTTCTTCACAATGGGCTTTGTTTGTTCTCGGTTGGCGCCGGGTTTTTAATTAAACGTATAAAGCGGTCAAAAACCGGTAGCGATAACGCTCCGGTATGTTTCAAAGCAAAAGGGGGCACCTCTTGTACTTCACCCTCGAATCTCAAACTTTATAGATTGCACACAAGTTTATCACCTTCTCGTGAAAATTATCAAAAACAGATTTAATAAATAGGTTGCTATATCACCAAGTCATTCGTGCAAGTAATGATGAATATTTCAGTTTGAGATGATTAAGAATTTAATTTTTTGCAACACGATTTCAAACAATACCATTCCATCTACATATCCACGGTATATGGTTAGCTACATATCCACGAACTACACTGAACTTTAACAAACACTAGAAATTTGAATTATGCGACCTATTGCTAAAGTAGAAGTATTGAATTAACCCTTTGTGTCCCAAGAAGTAAAAAATTTTGAATCTTTGTGACAAAATTAAAACGCTATCAAAATACACTCAGTAAAGGCCTTTGGAATCAATTTTAGCAAAATATGCAATCTCCCTATTTTCGCATAATTCAAAAATTTCTGGAAGCCGTGTCTATTGCAATTAAGAAATGAAACTTATTTTAAATTGAAGCTTAAAGCTTTCTGTTTAAATCGATGTATAATAATCGTTGGGTTAAATTAGAAAAATATTGAGAAAAAGAGTATTGAGTTAAAACTAACATTTTCGTATAACCTAAAAGTGTTAAAAAAGATGCTAATTTAAAGATTCCTGGAATGCCGTATTAATTGAAATTAAGGAATGAAATTTATTCTAAATTAAAGCTCAAAGCTTTCTCTTTAGAATGATATATAATAATCGTCGGGTTGGATTGGAAAAATATTGAGAAAAAAAAGTTGAAATAAAACTTACATTTTCGTATAACCTAAAAGTGTCAAAAAAGATGCTAATTTAAAAATTCCTGGAAGCCGTATTTATTGAAATTAAGGAATGAGACTTATTTAAATTAAAGCTCAAAGCTTTCCTTTTAAAATGATGTATAATAATTGATGGGTTGGATTGGAAAAATATTAAGAAAAAAAATGTTGAAACAACACTTACATTTTCGTATAACTTAAAAGTGTCAAAAAAGATGCTAATTTAAAAATTTTACAGTTTAAAATGTCGGGACACAAAGGGTTAATGTTGAACCGCATTTCTGATAGATATAAACTCTTAACTAATATTGAATGAGATTTTCTGGACGGTAATTCAGCAATTGTTCAAAAATCATCCATTCACGAGACTTCTCTAAGACAAGTAATGAACTGTAAATAAATAAGGATTTGTGTAAATTTCTCAGTATATTAGGGCGTCGTAGTTGCAGTTTTGATTCGACACTTCTGTTCAATGTATATCAACATAACACATCAATTAAGTGCCTAAGATGTTGAACATCACTGGATGTGTGGTCATCTCAAGGCTTAGTTTTATTTCCATATCTGGCTGCACCTTCATCATTGGGCTTCCTCGGAAAAGTTCTTTGAAACAAGTATAAATGAGTTCCTCAATTTATTATTCAATTTTGACTAAAAGAATATAGAAATCTCGTTATCAGTAAGTCAAACTTTGCAATTCTAAATAATCGTGATATGCAAAATTAGTCTAAATAGGTTCACATACTTGAAGAGGTGGTTTTTCGTTTGGGATATAACTAATATAACGTAGCTGATTGTATTTACGTATTCATAGATATTTGCATGTTTATAATTTAGTAAAAATATCTCATCAAAACCAATGGAAAATTTAAATGATCACCGCAAATTAATTTATCAAAATGAATTGATGTTTTCCTGATGTATGAATACTTTATTTCAGGAAGCAATAATTATATCTAACACGAGCCACGTGTCCCCGTTAATTAATCCAATTATTCTCGGTATGAAAACCACTAACTGTAATGTTGCGGTTTTACAAATGATATAAAATTGAGTTTACACGTCATCAATTTAATTAATGTTTTGCTAATTAAGCATAAACCAGTATTCAATTTATATTATTTTATGCGTAATATTAAAATGAAGGTATTTATGTTTAGGTTCGATTGGAAGATAGAGGTGTTTATATATGTTACGCAAATAATTCGGCAGGTGAAGAAAACGTGAGGGTAACTTTAGAAATAACGGCCCCATTATCGGCTCACGTGCAACCCCAAGTTCAAATTGTCGATGTAGGAAAAGAAGCGAATTTTCAATGCATAATTAATGGTTACCCGGTGTCCCAAGTTTCATGGCTTCATAATGGAAAACCCGTAGCGCCCGATAATAGAGTTGAATTAATGGTAGAACCACCTAGATTAACGATAAAACGATTGGACAAAGACGATCGCGGTATGTATCAATGTTTAGCGAGTAACAATTGGGATCAAGCCCAAGCGACGGCCGAATTGGATATGGGTGATGCGGGACCAGAACTGATATATTCCTTTTCCGAGCAAACCCTTCAACCAGGTCCAATGGTTTCGTTAAAATGTGTAGCTTCCGGAAATCCACCGCCTCAATTCACTTGGGCTTTGGACGGGTTTCCAATTCCGGAAGATCATCGATTTTTAGTCGGACAATATGTTACAATTCAAGATGATGTAATCAGTCACGTAAATATAACTAGTGTAAAAAGCGAAGATGGTGGGGAATACACGTGTACGGCTCACAACAGCGTTGGAAAAATATCGCATAGTGAAAGAGTGAATGTTTTTGGATTACCATATATACGTGAAATGCCAAAAGTAACCGGAATAGCCGGAAGTAGGTTAACTATTAAATGTCCCGTAGCTGGACATCCAATAGAAACAGTCACTTGGGAACGCGAAGGAAAACTTTTGCCTGTAAATAGCAGGCAAAAAGTTTACGCAAATGGGACTTTAGTTGTTGAACAAACCCAAAGAACCGAAGATGCCGGAACGTACACGTGCCAAGCACAAAATAGACAGAGGAATTCAGCCCGTAGAGACGTCGAAGTGCAGGTCATCGGTAAGTATGTCCTTTGATGTTGCTCGTTTTATGAGTAGAATAAGAAAAATAACTATTTCATGTCGACTCGGGAAAGGTTCAAATAACATCTTTCGTACCCCACGGCTAAATATCGAGTAAATATGTGAAGTTATCCGCCACTTCTGCTGGATATTTAACATTCCAGGAGGAGGATAATTCCTCAGGGGGTCGTTGAAAGTTGTACGCAACCCTCTATATACGTCGGTCATGTAGGACTAACTTAAACTCTTATATCCACTCCGGGATTAATTAGTAAAGTTTTATTAAACATGCTCCATGGGACTTTTATGTTACATTACGTAACAATTTAAAATGTTTATTTATTAATTTTTCGAATAAGTTTTATGTATATTCGATAAATTTAAGTTTAAATTTTTCAGTACCGCCGGAAATCCTGCCAATCAATCCCATGGTGAATTTATTGAGCGAAGGGATGCGAGCTGCGATCACCTGTCACATCATGAAGGGGGACTTACCCATCACCTTTCGATGGGAACGCAATGGTAAGCCGGTGTCGAACAACGTCGCCTTGGGGACTACCGTCCGTAGGATCGACGAGTTCTCCTCCTCTCTGAGTATCGACCGTGTTGCTTCCGCCCACAGCGGAAACTACACCTGTATAGCGAGCAACGTGGCCGGAGCCGAGAAATATGTTGTACCTCTCACGGTCAATGGTAAGATTTTAATTTCTTTTCGTCCTTTTCTTTTCATTTATCTCGTTAAAAAGGAAAGAAGAAGCTATTTCTTGTTGGAATCTCATTTTGTCTTTAGTCTTTGGATAGCGTTATCTCGTCGTTCACGGGTCCCGTTAATGCCGTAAACTGCCGGAGTTAATGTGTCGTAGATGGAGATATACGCGAACGAGACTCGGTTTCGGCGAAATAGCCCCCGGAGCTTGATACGATACACTCCATTTTGAGCTTGTGCCAAATGGAGGTGTTGCATTACTACGAGATTTGTATGACGGATAGTTGCGAAAAGGTTTTCGGTGCCAACTGAATTCAAATGAAATTGCTAGAAAATTGTTATGATCATGTCATAAAATTACTTTTTAATTACAATTTTAGTTCCTCCAAAATGGACTGTAGAACCAGCGGATGCAAGTGTAGCTGCTGGTCAAGAAGCAAGTCTTCACTGCCAAGCTGAAGGTTATCCAGCTCCTGTAATAACATGGAAAAAAGCTGTGGGTAAGAACCAAAACAAAATTAGAAAACACGATCTAATTAACTCCCCCAGGACAACAACCAGGTGAGTACAAAGATTTTTTGTACGAACCAAAAGTGCATCAATACCATAACGGAACGCTCAAATTCGAACACGTCTCCAAAGAAAACGAAGGTCATTATTTATGCGAAGCCAAAAATAACATTGGTACTGGAGTTAGTAAAGTAATTTTTCTAAAAGTAAACGGTAACAATTTTTATCACGCTTATTTTGTGCAAAATTAAGTATAAATAAATTATTATTTAGCACCAGCTCATTTTCTTCAAAAAAGTAAACAAGTTCAAGTTGTGAAAGGTGAACAAGCACACCTTCAATGTTCAGCTTTAGGTGATACTCCAATGGAAATAATGTGGATGATGGGTAAACAAAGTATAGCTGGAGATGGTGACCAACGATATACCATAAGAGAACAAGCTCTCGCTGAAGGAATGGTGTCTGAACTTGGTATCGAAAGAACGATTCGTCAAGATTCGGGAATATTTACATGTTCAGCAACTAATGCTTACGGCCATGACCAAATGGCCATTCATCTTGTGATTCAAGAAATTCCCGAACCGCCTAGAAACGTAAGAGTTGTAGAACAATTCAGTAAATCGATTGGTTTATCTTGGACGTCTGGTTACGCTGGAAATAGTCCGATAAATAATTATATCGTGCAATATAAACTTGGTTCGGATTCTTGGCCAAACCAACCATTAAAAATAACCGTTCCGGGACCTCAAACTTCGACTACTTTACACAATCTTCGACCTTCTCAGGTGTATCATATCAGAGTTTTATCAGAAAATCGTTTGGGACTTAGCGAACCTAGTCAAATCGTTCAAGTAAGCACTCTAGAAGAAGGTAAGGTATTAATTTTAATTTATTTTGTAGTACATAAAAAGATTTTTTGTATTAGTCCCAAGTGGATCACCTTTAGATATTAGAGCAGAAGCTAAAAGTTCGACTGAGATAGTTGTAACTTGGGAACCTCCGCAAAGAGATACGTGGAACGGGAATCTTTTGGGTTACCATATCGGTTATCAACCAGTTTCTGATTCAACCTCGCAAGAATCCGATACATATACATTTAAAAGTGTTGAAGTTCGAGCTCATTTCGGTGGTGAAGCTACGTTGCAGGGGTTGGCTAAATTTACCACTTACAACATTATTGTACAAGTAAGTTTTGTTCTACCATTGTATTGTGTATTTGAGTATGTATTTGTATTTAAATTTAAATGAGTTATTTTTTCGGTCATTAGGCATATAATAGCAGAGGATCTGGTCCGGCAACTGATCCAATCACGGCGAGAACTCTCGAAGATACCCCATCACTACCACCAGAAAACATTCAATGTTCTGTTCTCAGTGCGCAAAGTATTCGAATAACTTGGGAACCTCCATTATTAGATGGAAGAAATGGTAAAATTCTTGGGTATAAAATAACATATCACTCAGTGGGTGAATGGTTTGGTAAGATTTTTCACGTTAATTCGACAAAGTTGTTAAAATGATAATTTTAGACAATGACGATCAAGAAACGAAAGTCATCTCTTTTAAATACACAACTTTAACGGGTCTACAAAAATACACCAATTATAGCATAACAACTCTAGCTTATACAACTATAGGTGATGGAGTTCGATCAGAACCGATTTATTGCCACACTGATGAAGACGGTTTGTTTGAAAATTTGCATTAATCATAATTTGTTTTATTTAATTTATTTTAGTTCCAAACGCACCAGCTGATATAAAAGCTGTGTTAAGTGCCCCCAACAAAATCTTAGTATCATGGTTACCTCCAACACACAGTAACGGAATTTTAGTAGGTTATACTTTTTATATGAGTACGTTAGAAGATGGCAGAGAAGAAGGTACTCATAAAAGACTTTTAAATGCGGATACGGAAATGCACGAAATCGATAGGATGCAACCCACTGCAACTTGTCAGTTTTGGGTTACATCTTCAACAAAGGCGGGTTAAGTTGTTACACTTAAAGTAACATAACTGTTTTATTCCTAATTAATACTTGTGTTATATTTAAAACGTTAGGTTGGTGAAGGTGAGAGTAGTCACGTTGTAACCATATCACTATCAAAAACTGTTCCTGCAAAAATAGCATCGTTTGGAAGAGAAATTTTAAGCGCTTGGAAACAAGACATTAAACTCCCTTGTAAAAAAGTTGGAATACCTGCCCCAGCTGTCGTTTGGAGAGTTAATGATTTACCATTAGAAATCGGCGGTCGACGTTCGATAACTCCCAATTCCACTTTAATCATAAAAGACGTTCAAAGCGTCGATCAAGCAAATTATTCCTGCAGCGTTGCCAATGAATATGGAAAAGATATAATCGTGTATTCTTTGAGAATACTCGTTCCTCCCGAAGCACCAGATCTAAAAGTTCTTGAATCATTCACAGATAGTTTACATTTGAAATGGGTGGATCAAAAGAATGGTGGTTCTCCCATTTTGGGGTATGTAATTAATTACAAACGCGATCACGGTGATTGGGAGGAATTGCAAATATCTGCACGAACAGATGAGTATGTTTTAAGAAATTTATGGTGTGGAACAAAATATATGTTGTATATCACTGCATTTAATCGAATCGGAACTGGACTTCCTTGTGATATTGTTACCGCCCATACAAAAGGAACGGGTATGACGAATTCTTCTTAAATAATTGATAACATAAATAATAACGATTTATACAGTTCCAGTAAAACCAAAACAATCCCAAATGTTAACAATGAACGCAACAGTAGGAACGGTTTGGTTAGATTCTTGGGGTGATGGAGGATGTGGAATTTTATATTTCGTCATAGAATATAGATCGGGAAGAAGTGCTTCTTGGTTAATGGCCGCAAACCATGTAAAACCAACAGAAAGAATTTTTAGTGTAACCGAACTTTGGCCAGGAACAAGCTATCAAATACGAGTTACCGCTTATAATAACGCTGGTGATACATCAGCTATTTATAATTTTACAACTCTAACAGTTCAAGGAGGTAAAAATAATTAGATACTTTATCATCGATCGATTTTAAAATAAACTAAATCAGCTGTTCCAGAATTATCGCCACCAGTTTCGCATTCCGGTGACCATCCATTCGCAAACGTTCGCGTTCTTCTACCAATTTTTCTATCACTCTTAGTGCTTACAGCATTAATCGGAGCCCTATTTTGGAGAAGAAGTAGATCTTTATCACTTTTCATTAAATCCTTTTCTTTTAATCGTTATCTTTTTAAGAAGTTCAAAGAGAACGTGAAAACACTCAACAGACCATCGGGGAGTCACCATCGATGGCCCAAATTCAAAACAAACAAAATCGCGATCAACAATACTTAGCTGTTCGAGCCGGCAGAGGACAACATCACCTTCCCGTTGAGACAGACACCTTTAAAAGTGACACGGCATCAGCAGACTACATCGAAGATATTTGTCCATACGCGACGTTCCAGCTATCGAAACCGGCTTACAGCGAGAGTTCTTACAGCGGGAACGTGTACAGTGGGCCGTACCATTCGGTACGAGGGTCTTTTGTCTATCACGATGTTAAACCTCCACCTATTGATAAGTTTAATTTAGGACGTGTAAGTTTTTTTAAATCGGTTTTTTCTGCACCGTTGTGTTTAAATCCAATCCAAAGACGCAACTCAATCCATCTACTTAACCCGAATGGTTTTTTGCTTAGTTACCGATGTTGTGTATAATTTTTTTTTATTAATTTTGAGTTAGAATGAATGTTTTATTATAAATTAATTGACGAAAAGAGTCTTGAGGAAAAAGAAATATTCTTATTGATTTTTTTATTTCAGAATAAAGAACCTGAATATAGTAAGGTGAGAAGGAAAGGTGGAAGGTTAAGAGATCCTCATTCAGAAAGTCAAGGTAAGTTTTTTTTTCTGGTTAAAAAAAAGATTCTATAGCTTTTAGTTTTTTATGTTACCGCTAAAGTGTATAATCCCATATTTCATAAAATTAATAGTTATTTCATATACATCAACTACTTATATAAAGAATAGTTGTAATTTAGTAACTTTGTTTATAAAGATGAACGAAAATTAGTGTTTGCAAGTGTGAATCATCCCATGAAAGAATGCTATGTAAGGTTAGTTTTCTTTTGAAACGTTAATTAAACCGTGAAGGAATGTTAGGTAAGGTTCCTGAAAAAGAATGGAGGGTAAGATTAGTTTTGTTATAAATTATACACTTCAACGGTAACAAGTATAATAAAGAGGGTAAACGGGATAAAAAGGGCCATTGCTGCTCAAATTAAAAATTTCAATTAGAAATCAAATTGATTGAAACTAAAAAAAATGTCTAATAGTGATATATATTTCAGAATCTGATAACCTGGGCAGCACTGACTCGGAGGTCAAGAAGATTTTAACTCTACACCTCCCTATTTCAGAATACGACACGCTTGGTAGCGATTCTGAAGGAGACGGTCGCGCTACCAGCCAGGAATTGATGACCTTCACTCACCGAATGCGTGGTAATCAACTAGAATCAATAAAGAGATGTTTAATAAAAGAGATTTCAAAATTTTTTTAAATTAATTCTAGAACATTTTTGAAACCTAAGTTTATTTTTAGGTGGTGCTGAAGGTTCTAGTTCTTCATCGGAAACATCTCCACCATCAGGAAGCGTAGGTAGAAAACCTTACCCTTCGCGAAAAGGAAAATCGAAAGCGATTGCGATGAGTAAACGCCACGTGAGAAGTAGCAGCGGATATTCGAGTCACAACGATGAAACAACTTTTAGCATATCGCACGCGGCTAGTTTTAACGAACGTATCCATCCCCCAACTAGATTCTCCGACCTGAATCCTCGCGAACTGAACGAGGCCGAATGTGAAAAAGGGCACAAGCACGGTAGAGGACTCTCCAAATTAAATAGGGAAGCGTTCCAAATTAACGTCTAGGCTAAGACTGAGTCCAATGAAGAAGGTTATTTATGGTACTAAGAAAAATTGAGCAAATAAAAATTAAAGAAAATATTGATTCCCCAAAATATTCGCAATTTACAAAAAAAAATTAGTAAAACTTCAGTTTTTCTATGCTCATCCGTAAAAGTAAGTCGTGTAAACTTGAGTGTGTACAGAGGACATATCTGTAAACGATTTTAGCATTAAATTGAATGTTTATACAATGAGGTTTGTATTGGAAATTTTTTGAATGAGTACAGGAGTTGATTTTTTAAGGAAAATTTGGAATGGGATTAGGTAAGAGTCTTGTTTTTTAATGATCTAGAGTAGAATACATATCAACTTTTTAAGTACGAATTTATAAATATGATACAAATTCGTGCTTAAAATAACACAAAAATTAATTCTTCAGACAATCTTTTTTATAATACAACTCTAGTACTCATTTAATGATACTAACCCAAACCATTTTTGACTGTTAACTGTATTCCCACAAAAAAATTGTCACAAGCACATAAAAAAAACATTTACTGTATCTTCAACCAAAAAAAAAAAAAAATAATAATAATTCAAACCATTAAAGATTGCACCAAATATAAAAAAGAAAAATACTGTCTTATGAAAAAAAAAATTAATTAAACACACGCGAATCTCGTTTAATTTTAATCCCCGGGGATAGAAAACAGAGCAGCAGCTGAACTGAAGAGGAGTGCAATGGGTGTGTGAAAAGAAATTATAGAGAGAAAAAAAGAGATGTGGTAGGTGCCTTTCCGAGGGAATAAAAAATTGTATCGTCGCAATGTACTGTTCCCTATCTTCCACACTAAATGTGCCAAACACGAGCTTGAGGTGAAACCAAGTGTGTAGAAAAAAAAATTTAAAGAGAATACTAAGATAATTACAACTAATAAAAAAACGTAACACAGAAAATATGAAAACAAAAAAAAATACTGTACGTTTAGCTAATTTTATAGATTGTTATATTTATGAAGTTATTTCCATCCTTTTTAATTTATTAATTCTTTTCATGTACAAGTAATTCCATTTTGAATGAACGGAGTCACATTCTAGTCATTAAAACGTGTATGTGTGCCAATCACACAAGTCTTCATATTTTTTGTTAATATTTCTCCAATTATTTTTCGTTTTACTATAAAAAGAACATTAAATTTATCTTATTAGGACGACATCTCTGTGCTAAATTGAAGCCAAAAATGTCTCTCTTTTTTGGATATAACGTTTTATTGTAATAATGTTAACTGTAACAACAAAAATGAGAAATAATAAAATGTTGTGTTTAATATTTTATGTTTTATTTATAATTTTCATAAACTATAAGAAAATTGAATTTAGACCACTCTATATTTGGGATGATTGAATCACAATTAGTGTTATCACAGCCCCATTTCTATATCCATAGAGGTATTTCATCTTGCTTAAGTGTAACAAACAAGTCTTTTATCCATAATATTTATGGCAACTTATCATTTATATTAATAGATTCAGCCAACTCGTTTAACCAATTTAGCAGACAGTAATATCTTTAATCAAATGATTCTAGTTCTAAGTATAGTGTTAGTTCTACATGGTAACAGTGCTAGTGTAAAACTTGAACTAACACTAGACCTAAAACTAGAAATATTCTAACTAAAACTTTCTAGTTCTAGGTCTAGTGTTAGTTCTAGTTTTAATTGTTGTGCATCGCTAGACCAAGAACTAGAATCATTCGAGTTTGCAATATAGCTATATTCTTTTTTCGACAACTAATTTAGCAGGGAATTTCTGTCGTTACTACCAAACTTGAAACTCGAAATGAGTTAAATTATTTTTTAATAGATAATTTTTCATTGAAAATTGACATGTACTTTTAGCATGTCAATTTTCAAAGTGGTCGCCAAAACTTTTCTATTCACTAAAAAACGACGAGTTTCGTCCTATCTTATTCAGAAAAAAGATTCTTATTTAGTACGTTTTAAGACACAGTTTAAGAAAATTATTGGTTTCTTAAAACGAAATATGCCGAAAAAAAAGTACTTGAGAAAATCTCTTGAAGACTACTTAGCAATGGTGAGGTTGGTAATGAAATTGATTAAATGTCACTAAGTTTAAATAAATTTTTTAAATTGCTTTTAATTCATATTAATTACATTATGTACTACTATTATATTCATTTTTTGTTTTTAATTGTTATTTATTTATTTCTATGTTAATTACGTTGCAACATAATTTCAAAACTGAGATGTTTTCCAGATTTAGTACCTTTATTTCTCTTTATATTGGTACTATGAAATTGACAACCTCCGTTTGAGGTTATATGATTTTTATTTCAAAAATAATTAATATTTTCCACTCAAAACGAGTGGAAACCAAGAAAAATCAACCGTAAACAAGTTAAAAAACACGTTTAAGAAAAATCCCCTGGCATAACTCAAAACATTCTAGTTTTATTTAGACCTAAGAATTGATATAACCCAAAATTACGATTTTAATTTACTTACATTTTCTGCATCTTCCATCTAAGTATGCTCTTGATGCTAGTTTTAAGTCTGTTAAATGTGATCCCCTTTCAAATCGTTTCTTTAATCCAATGGTTGCATTTAAAACTTAATTTTTGAATAAAGTTTAAACGTCAATGTGACACAAATTCAATGTTACTAACTGTAACTAACTTCACAACAATTATTTGTCAAAATTAAATGACAATTTTATAAAACGTTTTTTTACGAAAATTAATTAATTTATGCTTAAATCATACGAAAAAAAGAATTTGTTTAGGTTCTTTTAATGTCAAACCTTTAGAAACTCCTAAAAAATTGAATTAAATTGACGTTTTTTGAAATTTTAACGTTTCAAATAATTATTATTATTCACCGCTATTATTCACTCCGTGAAAAATGACTACCATTTTGTTTTAGAAAACTCATTCATAAGGTATATATTATAAGGTAGTCGTGGAAAAATTAATTTGTTTGAATTAATTTTGTTTGTAGTTCCAATTATTTTTATAAATATTTATAAATACCATATAAATACATAACCTTTTTCGAGAACTAATTTAGCAGGGAATTTCTGTCGTTACTGCCAACCTTGAAACTCGAAATGGGTTAAATTATTTTTTAATGGATATTTTTCATTAAAAGTGCATGTCAATTTTCAAAGTGGTCGCCAAAACTTTTCTATTGACTAAAATACGACTAGTTTCGTCCTATCTTATTCAGAAAAAATCAAAATTTCTTATTGTGTACTTTTTAAGACGCTTTGTTTGCTTATTAAAGAAAATTATTGGTTTTTTTAACCAACCTCACCTTACAATGGTGAGGTTGGTAATGGAATTGATTAAACGTCACTAAGTTTAAATAAATTTTTTAATTTGCTTTTAATTTATATTAATTACATTATGTATTACTATTACATTCATTTTTTATTTTTAATTGTTATTTATTTATTTGTATGTTAATTGCGTTGCAACATAATCTCAAAACTTGTTTTTTTTCCAGATTTAGTACCTTTATTTTTCTTTTATTGGTACTATGAAATTGACAACCTCCATTTGAGGTTATATCGTTTTTATTGCTAATAATTAATATTTTCCAATCAAAACGAGTGGAAAACAAGAAAAAGCAACCGTAGACAATTTAAAAAATCCGTTTAAGGAAAATCGAAACACCCGGCATAACTTAAAATTTTCTAGTTTTAACTTTATTTAGACCTAAAAAATGATATAATCACTTGAAATTCCCAGGCCCAGATTCCTGGTATAAGTTAACCATAACAACAAATTAATTGAAATTAATAGTATATAATTGTAGGCTTGTGTTGCTCAACTAAACCAGACACAAAAATATAGTATACTAAAATTTCGAGGTTAATTTTTTTTCAAAAATAATTCATTTCTCAAAATATTTATTTCACACTTTATTCCCAAATCAATTTTTACTTTTACTTTTTTTAATTATGTATAAAAAATATATAAATTCAACATTTTATATTAAATTAACCATAAAACCCCCCTCTAAAACTTATTGTTGAGTATTAATAACAGCTTTTCCAGTATTTTTAACAGTTTGTTTAACAATACCAATTGGCAAACATTTTTTCGCTTCATGATTGATAGTAAAAACATTTCCAACTGTATTCATACTACTTAAAGCGACATCCCCTGCAGGGTGTCCATATTTGCTCTCAATAACTTTAACGGTATTATCTTTTAAACTATTTCCTAATATTCCAGCAGCCGTTTCTAAACCATAATAAACCGTAGCCAAACCTGCAACAGCCCCACCGGTTATAGTTAAAATGCTTTTTACTTTTTTCGAAGCTTCTTCTTCGCTATATTGGAAAGTGGATTGTAATAATTTGGTTCCTTGGGCTTGGATATGTGGTGCTAAATATTGGCCTAATTTAGAAGTTGCAATTCCAACTTTATCAGCAACAAATCCAACTACTTGTGCGGTTTTACTGGTTGTTGCTTCAGTTATTTTCGCTCCCGATTGAACGTAAGCAGGGATATTTTTTGGTGGACCTTTAGGAGGTGGAGGCTGAATGGAATGATCAAGAAAATTTCCGATTCTTGTGCTTGAAGAAACAATTCCATCAGCTAAAAATTTAGCACCTAAAAAATTTTGATTATTAAAAGCATTTTTAAATTTATTAATTATTAATAAATAACCTGCAGCTATTTTAGATGATAATTTTTCATCGAAACCCTCAACAATTTCGGGGTGTTCAACAATAACTCCTTCAAGAATATTTGTTAATAAATCATAAAACATGGGTGCTTCATCTTCCGGAAGAACAATTCCAACTAAAACAAATTCAATTATAATAAATTTTAAAAAAAATTATTATTAGTACTTTTTTGATCTGTATTAATATCAGGGAACATAAACGCTCCAAATTCTGATTTAAAACAAGGTGAGACACCAGGAACTAAAGGATAAACCCATTCATTTATTTGTAAGAATTTATTTGGGACATCTCCGTCTGTTCCAAAAACAACAAGCCTTTGAGATTCCGAATTTGAAAGTACAGATCCTTCTTTATCAACATAATAAACTCGTGCATTTTCTGTGGTAAAAATTACATAAGTGTTGGTGGCTTGAACAGCTTGAGAATCTAAATTGTTTAATTCCTCAGCTAATTCAGCATAAGTAATAGTATGACTGTTTTGAGATTCACTCTTTTCTAATGAATCAATCCGCAAGGTAAGTTCTGATTTAGTTTTCTTTAACTTTTGAATCATTTTACATGCTTCATGAAAACCGGCAATTTCATCCTCGTCTTCTGGGTAAGTAACATGAACATTCATTGATTGATCTATAAAAGTTATAGCTTCTTTATACTTTTCAACAGCCTAAAAGTTAAAAATTTAATTAATTATAGAAATAATAATGATAAATGGTACAAACCTGACGTGGTTTTTCTTGTTCTTCCAATTTTATAGCATCATCAACACTTTTAAAGGTTAAATCGTGAAGACATTTGATGTTATTGAAAGTCTTATTCCAATCCGCTTCCATTTTAGTAGTAATTAAAATGAATTAAAAGAGGTTTTGAGTATTTTTGATTTGCTTACAATGACATAACCTTAAATATCTTAAAATGACAGATGTCAAATTAGTTGGGTTTTTTTTTGTTACGAAAGCGAATAAATAAATGAAATAAAAGTAAATTAATAAAATTGATTTAAGTGTTTTATTTTGGTTGGATAAATTTTGTAGAATTTAGTTTAATTTAGTGAAATTTTTGTGTATTAGATTTTTAATTTTTACACAGTTGGCAGCCACATTACATAAGACATGCTATCCTTTTCTAACTCACTACAGATACGGCCATCTTTTTCATTAATCTCGGTGGTTTTACGAGATCTTTCCATCGCACCACGATCAGCCCTTTTTTTTCCATTTGTAGTCACATTGTAGGGGCCACAAAATGATGTCCAGAGCCTCTTTATTATCAGGTAAACAATAACTTCATTGGTACAAAATTTTACAACTTTTAAATGTTTATGTAATACATCTGTATCAATATTTTTTGTGACGTACTTTTTAGGTAACCAAATAAGAAACGCTTTGGCTCTAGCCGTAAGAGCAACAGCAACCACTCCAGCTTCATCAGCTGCAGCTACTGATTCTGGAGCATGTAGCACCTCCTCAAGACCTGTAAGACAAAACTTATGATTGATTTATCCTGGTAACATGGAAAATCATTCATTTTTGTTTGTAGGTAAGGCAAGAACCTGGAAAAGTCCGCCTTGGTTTTGTCCCAGAAGAATGGTTCACCTTCTTTTATAAGAAAACTGGTGTAACAGGACCTTACACTCTTGGTATAACTCTCACCACTTATTTAATGAGCAAAGAAATTTATGTTATGGAACATGAATATTACTCAGGATTATCTTTGCTTCTAATGTGTGTTATGGGCGTTAAATATATGGGACCAGCTGTTGCTAAATGGCTTGATAAAGAAATTGATGTAACAAAATAAATTCTCAAATTATATTAATTTGTTATATTAATTAATATTTATTAATTAGGAATATGAAGCTGGTTGGAATCAAGGTAGAAAAGATCAAAAAGATGGTTTAGAAGAGATGATCCAAGATGAGGAAAGGTTGCAATGGAGTTCTGAAGGTCAAAACATGTTGATTCAAGCTAAACGCGAAAATGTAGCTTTACAATTGGAAGCTGCTTACAGGCAAAGGGTCCAAACCGCTTATCAAGAAGTTAAGAAGAGGTTAGATTACCAAGTTGAAATTCAAAACATTGAAAAACGCATCGCCCAAAAGAATTTGATCGATTTCGTCGTTAGCAAAGTGAAGAGTTCCATTACTCCTGATCAAGAGAAGCAAAATATTGATAAATGCATTTCCGATTTGGGTGGTTTAGCAAAAGCGTAAATAATTTTTAAATTCATTTTAAAAGAATCAATATAGTAAACAGATTAAAGTAAAAGAAAAGTCATAAAAAATATTAGAAGTGGTCATTATGAAAATTTAAGTTTTATTTATACATTCAATTTTTAAAAACATCTGGTTTATTATATTTTTGTTTATAAAAGAACGAAATATTGGAGAAATTATTAAATAATCAAAAAATAATTATTTGTTTTTAATTATTAATTTTCTATATAACTCCTAATATATGAATGCAGTAACCATAGTTACAAAACTATTGTACACTTGCATTATCTCACATAAAACGTGACATGGCTTAAGAGGATATGCCACCTTGGAGACTCAAAAATAAAAATAACTAAGATTTTTTTGCTGCGTGGGGAAAAATGCTCTCTAAAAACGGATTACGGGGTTTTTATAAGCAGCTTTTTTAGTTTTAAAAACGTATTTTATTTATTAACAATAAATAAAATTGCGTCCGCTACATGTCCGCAATATTAGGCTTGCAATAAAGTCCCTAGATTTACAAAGTACCGCGGTTCATGAAGCCTGTTTTCGAGCCAAAATGACAGCTTGTCACTGCATCTCACCACTTATTTACAAAAATATTGCCGTCTTGTGCAAAAATGGTAGTAAGAAGGACTTTCGACTCTTCATCATACCACGAGAAAAAAAGAAAGGAAATTTAGCGTAATGTTATCAATAGAACGACATAGTTTTAAATTTCCCGCTTGACTTTCGAGCCAAAATGGCGTCAAATCGCGGTACTTTGTAAATCTAGGGACTTTAGCTTGCAAATCATGCAGGGTCATTTGGTGTGCAGGATTTCTCATAAACCGGAAGTCTAATAATCAAATTTCGAGAACGATTACTTTTCTAAATTTAAAAACTAAGGAACTACGTAGGATTTTTAAAAAATATTCATTTTTGGCAACATGGTGCCGATTTTATCAGAAATGTCATTTATTGATAAAAAAACGTACGTAAAAATGGTTGTAAAAGAAACAACTTCAGATACATTGAAAAACGGAAAAAAGAATTTTTTGAAAATCCGTTTAAAAATGTAGGCAGTTATCATGCGCACAAACAGGAAAAATGTAATTTTTAGAAAAAGGCGTTTGTTGATCAATACGAAAAATAAAAATTTTTTTTTTCGAAGCCTCTAATCAGCGATTCCTGCACCGTACATTTGTCCTTTCTGATGGTTATTCTTTTCTTCTGTAGCTAATCTGTCTGACAATAAGCTTCTACGAGCTTCTTTAACCTCATTACGAGTCATTAGCCATGGAGCGCTCAACGTGGGCAATCCGACGTAGGACCACGATCTTCCAATTATTAACTTTAATGCTTGTAAGACCGTCATTAAAATTACAAGCGGTAATGTCGGACGCGATGCCAACCACTTTCTTACCACTATGAACCGTTTTTGGTATAGACTAGTAGTGGAACGGATATCCGGCAACTATCCGGTATCCGGCCATTTTTTAAAAACCGGCCGTATACCGGATAGTTACCAAATATCCGGCTTTGGCCGGATATTAAAAACCTATTAGTTAGTACTCCTCCATTCACAGGAATTAGTATCTTTTTTAGATGTTGGACACTGCAGATAATAATCAAGTTCAACTCCAATAGGACTTTTTTCTTTTAAAACAGTATTTGAAATTATGCTTTTCTTTGGATCGTTGATACATCTCTATGACGGAATCCACTTCCATTTTTCCTGAAGATTCGGTATATAAACCATACCGAATCTTTTCTTTATGATCTTCGACCCAACTTTGGTATTCTGCAGTGTCTTCACCTTTCCAGTAACTGCACTTTTTGCAAATTTTTGACATTATTTCCAGATCAACTATTTTACCCGCACGTCATCCAATCAATGTTGTTACAACAAGTAAAGATGAAAATCCCTGCACGATATGCAGAATCTCCCATTCCTTTTTTACCACCCATACTTGCAATTATACGCACTTCGTAAACACTCGTTTTTAACATTTGCCATTGAAATGAGCGAAAAGTAAACTAACTGTCTAACAAATGTCAAAATACCTACATATGTATATACAGGTCTTAAATCAGCTAATTACAATCAAAGTAGGCGCCGAAATAACGCCGTTGGTCAGCTTTAAATGTCAAAAAAATTACAGTTTCAACAAATATGAATAATTAATAATCTATGGTCATTGGTAACTGTCTTCGGCCATCAACTTTTTGGAAGAGTTTTAACGCTTCCGGTGTTAACATTTTTTTTTTAGTATTTTGGATACTGTGGATTGTGTAATTTGTGTATTCGGGTAAATATTATTGAACAGTGTACAAACTTCACTTTGAGTGCGTTTTCTATCACCTGCACCGTACCCATACATTATTAATATTTGGATTCTTTATCGTTCGCTTAATTGCGCCATATTTGTTTAAACTGTCAATTTGTTGACATTTAAATCTGTCAATTTGTTGACATTTAAATCTGTCAACGGATTTAATATTTTTAGAGAACGCATTTTTTCTCGATTTTTTTCTAATACAACCATATGATTTGATATGTTCATCGCGTAGAGAGATTTATCCTCTATTAAAATGTGCAAAAAAAAAGCATTTAAAATAACAATGTTGGTTGCCATAGCAACGAAACAAAGAACAATGTAAACAAGCAAGTATCGCCAAAAATGCGCCACAATTAATAAAGAATTTTTTATTTGAAACATTTTTTTTTAAACCACAAATGGCGAAGTTATTGGCTATATTCCAGACATTTGACACACCCTGTTATAATCGAGTAAAAAGCAAAGACAAGAAGTTACAGTGCGTTACAAAAAAGAAGTTTTCAGACAGAAAAACGCAAATTTTTCGGTCAATGGATTCTCATTCTAAACAGTCTAAATTACACCTTAAACAAAAAAAAAAACACATTTTTTGTTAATAGTACAGAGGTAATAGTGCAGGTAGTTTTGTAAAGGAAAAGTTTTGCTTGGAAAAAGGAGACGCACTGCACTTGCTTTTTTCACAATCACTAAAGGTTTAGTGATAATGCAATTTTTTTTCACTATCACTAAATTTTCAGTGATAATGGATTTTGCATTTTAACTACCACTGAATAGACAATTGTACTGCAATTTAGTGGTAGTGCAAAAATGCCCAAGCCTGCTGTATAGTTATACTAACCAACATTTTTAGTAACTACAATTTGTATAATATTTTTGATATTAAGAATATTTTCAATTACAAAAGATAAAATGGCGCACTCATATCAGTGCAGATCAATGCTTTAAGGTTTGATTGATAGGATAATTACAAATGGATCTTCAGCAAAGTTATGCAAAGAGAAGAGGCGATTATTGTTGTTCATTTAAAATAATATAAACTAATTTTGTTGTATTAAATTTATGAAACGATTTATTTATGACTTTATTAATACAAACTGTTTAACGCAAAGTAACCAAAAAAAAATAATGCTAATCATAAGTTCTTTGCAAATTCATCTCATGATTTCTCTTATTCATATCATGCATTTTTGAAATTTGATCCAAATGAGTGGAAATTTTAGAAGTGTTTCTATCAATCCATTGCAATGAATTCATATGAGCGTTTAAGATGCGTCCAATCTGAGTGACCTACAATAAAAAAAAAATCGAAAATTTATTTACATCTATATTTAAAATAGAATTTAAAAAATATTACCGGATTTGAAAGCTCCTGGTTTTTACTCGCTTCATTTAAATGTTCGATAATCTCCTTTAAATCTTCAGACATTTGTTTTAGCTGAGTATCGAGAGTTTCAGCCATTTGGTAAGTTTGATTTCTATCAAAATCAGTAACTGGTATTTGAGATAATTCTTTTTCTAAAGGCACCACTAAATCTTCAAGTTCTTTTTGTTGGGCTAGCACAAAATCAAGTTCTTGATCTAATTGTTGTTGTAAGAGTTTAACACGAGATATTCCATTACTTAAAGAAAGAATCTAAACAAAATTAATATTAATTTAATTAATTATTAAATTAAGTGTTTTTTTTGTATACTTTTTCTCCATTTGTTATTAACAAACGATCCCAAGCATTAATTTGTTTAGCTTGATTGGTAAAATGTTTTCCTTGCTCCTCCAATTCCACGGTCCATTTATTTATATTATCTTCCAGTTGTGTAAAAGTTAAAGAACCAGAAGGTAAAGTTGAAATAGCTGGAGCTGCGGAAGTTGTAGATCTAAAAATAATTATTTCATGTTTATTTCAAAAATTATAATTTTTTGATTATTCTTACAAAGAAACTGCACTTGAAACTGCAGCTAAACCTGAGGCTAAACCAGTTAAAGCATTACTTGTAGTAGTTGTTGTTGAGCTGATAGGTAATTTAACAGCTAAAGTCGTGTTAGTTAACGAAAAACCTGTTGAAGTTGTCGTAGCTGGAGTTGTAGTCGTATTTGATGTATTTAAAGAAAACAAAGATGGTGTGGTGGTTGTTGGTAAAGAAAATGATAAAGCCGCTGGAGTAGCACATGACGCTGGTGTTGTAGCTAAACCAGTAAAGCTAAATTGGGTTGTATTTGAAGGGGCTGAAGTTCCCAAATTAAATCCTGTAGAAGGAGTTGTGGTTGCTGTAGCAATTGGAGTACCCAATGTAAGGGTGGGTTTTGTAGTTTTCGCATCTCCAGCGCCGAAAGAAAAACCAGTATCTACAAACACATTTGTTTAGTCACTGTCAAATTATTAAATTTTGGTTTTTTGAAATTCCAAATTTCTATTCTTAATAATGAGATTACTTACTTGTCGGTGTGGTTGTAGGCAAAGTAAATCCAGAAACGGTGTTGTTAGGATTTAAAAACATTTTCGATGATCAATTTAACATAACCTTAACGAACCTAAACAAGCCAATTTGACAGTTATACAATTTCAGTACTGTTAATGCATAAGCGTCAAAATAACTATATTTGAAGGAAATCTAAATATTATGTTGTATATTTAAAGAAGATTATTAAATATTAGATAATTTGGTTTTTTATTCCGATTGAAATAAATATTTTTAATATTGAATAATATCCTTTGGAAAAAGACGAGGAAAAATTAAAAATTGGCAACACTGTATAACCAAAATCGTAACTAAGATTGACATCCAGATGCAAGCTGTATTCTCGATCGAGTTGTGTTGAACGACAAATGTCTTCCTCTGATTGATCATATGGTGATCGTAGAGATTGATTTAAATATATTTGGGCCTTTTAACGCGATAGTTGATGTGTGAAACGTGTCGAAAATCGCTATTTCGGAACCGCACGTTCCGGTAACGGCTACAATTTTTGTAAGGACTCGTTTCGACCCGATTAATGTACTCCTAAAACGAGTCTCTCCAGATAGATATATACGAACAATGGCTGATGTAAGTGTACCTGATAGCGTTTCAATGCCTCCACCGCCTCCTCCACGTTCGATACCCCGTGTAAGCAACAGTACCAGTCCACCACCAAACTGTGCAATTTGTTTGGGCAGTTGCACAAACAAGTCGTTCTCGGATTCTTGTATGCATCAGTTTTGTTTCACATGTCTTTTAGAATGGTCAAAGGTTTGTAACATTAATTTGATAAGTGTATCTAAATTGACAATTTCATTGTGAATCCTTTTTTTAGATCAAACCAGAATGTCCACTTTGTAAACAACCGTTTAATACAATTATACATAATGTAAAAAGTAATAATGAATATGATGAACATTTTGTGCAACCAAATAGACAACAGCAAGAAGTGCCTAATCAGATTAATGATGTGTTGTTTTTACCATCCGGACAACCACCTTCAAGGCATTTTCAATTTCGGTATGTATTTGGATTTAATTTTGTGTAATTTTTTTTTTAAGAAATCATTTGTTCTATGATAATATCTAAGAAAGATATCTAGGAATAAATAAGAAATTTATTATGTAAATTGATAAGATAATAAGGTTTTGAGATCTATAATTCACTAAAATAGTATTTGATAAGCTTATTATGAACCATGTAATTTAATATGTACACCATTGTTAAGAAAGTGTTTTCTTATTAATCATTATTTGATAACTTATAAAAAAATGTGTGACTCATATTAAATAGTTTTCTTTTAGCGAATTCTTTTTATAAGCAGTCCAGCAGCGTGGTAATTCCAATATATTTATAAATAAAATTGAACTTAAATATTGATAAAATTGTAACTAAATTGTTTATGTATTTTTTTAGGTTACCTTTATGAAGTGATTTTAAAGTAATCACCCCTTTGTTAATTTGTTTCAATTCTACTGTTAACAATTCTTGTTTTTATATCAATGTTATGAGTAAAAACTAAATACTCTTGTTATGGGGGGAAATATCGCATGTGCAATTCTTCACCTCTTTTGTCCCCACCACAAAACACTGGTGTTGTGTAACACTTCGCCTTAATATTATTAGGTGGTTACAGTCTGTGTTTGTTGGTGTTTGTGTGGCTATGATACATATAATATTAACACTCATATCAATAAGTACCCATTTTTTCTATACATGATAAAAACGTCGTTAAGAAAAGCCATTATTACAATATTCTTGATTAATGAAGATTGTGAATGAAAGTAGTGACAAAAAGAAAATGGTGGTTAGATGATTTAAATAAATACTTATATTATATGAAGTTATCAAAAGAACATGTGGGTGTAAGAAACGCAATATCCCCCAAAGAAAGATGATTACTATACTAAGGTATTTGGAAACAGGATGTTTTTGTGAGACACACTGATAAGGAATTATTTGAAGATAAGCACAAAATTTTTTAATTTGCAAATTTGATTTTGGGAAAAAGATAATTAATTATTTAATAACCTTCATTGTTTTAATTGTTATTGCAAGATTGGAGAAGGATGTATGTTTCAAATTTGATAAGAATCAGTTCGTTCTTGGTTAAATTAAATCCTTTATTTGGTTGATGGCTGATTGAAATATTAGAAAATCTCTTGGATTTTCATTTCTCAAATTGTAGCTTAATGGGATTTTAATTATCTTTTTGATCAATTATTTCGAAATATTGATCTTAAATTCTGCTGGGAATTAATTAAAATCTTCCCTAAGATGACATTGACTTTCTGAGAACAATTTAGCCAGTAATTGATCGCTTCTGGAATGGTCCTTAATGCAAAATAGTCTTTTATAATCAACTTCGAATATCATTAATTTAAAAATCCGCAAATTAACGCCTTATTTCCCTCAATCAACAACTGTTATCCAAGAAATAATTAGTTTTAAGATATTACATAAGCTTGTGATTCCTGGCCAAAAATGGATTTAATAAAATAGATTTAATTTTTTAAATAGGATAAACTAACTTTGTCTTGTGACATAATTTAACACTACTAATACATACCTTGTCACAATTATAATAATATTGGTCAACATATTCAGGGTGGTTCAGTTTTTAATTGGGAAACTTTACTAGGACGTAGTACTTGCCAAAATAACACAAGTTTTTTATATAAACATAGGGTCGCAACTCGTTTGTTTTCGAGGTATGAGCTGTCAAAGTTGAACCAAAAAATTACATTTTGTTTTGTATTTCGGCTGTAAGTAAACCGTACAATTTGAAACTTTGTACGTATTTACTACTGGTTAAGACCTTATTTTGAAGCCTACCTAAAATTTCTCTAGCGCCCTCTAAGATGAAATTCACCACCCCCTTGATTTTTTTTTATAAGAACTTTTTAACACTATGGAATATTAACATAAAAAAATATGGGTCGTAAAGCTCATTCTTTAGTGGTACTTTTTTGTCTCTTTAGTATTTTCTTTAAAGTTAATAGTTTCCGTGTAAAAAAATAAAATATGTGCTATGTGCCGCCATCTTTAGCTAAAATTATTCTAAAAGTTGGCTCTGAGAACTTGTAAGCTTCATTTACAGTGAATCCTCATAATTGTTGATGATTATTAATAATTTTTGACTGTTATTAAGCAAGAGTATCAATTTTTTAATATTGTTTAAAACAACGTAATTTGTTCAGACAGACATTCATCTTATTTATGGTTTTTCTTATGAAAATCAGAATTAATTGGTGTTATTTAGTTGGTACTAAATCCTAATAAGTGCACAACTTCCATAGCCAGCTATAAAGAAAAAAATTTTATAATAATAACAGTGCTTTACAGTACAATGTAGCATATTTTATTTTTTTACGCTAAAACTATTATCTTTAAGGAAAAAACTGAAGAGACAAAAAAGTAGCAATAATGAATAAGCTTTACAACCCATATTTTTTTATGTTAATATTTCATGGCGTTAAAAAGTTGTTGATAAAAAAAATCAAAGATTTTGTGAATTTCATCCCGTTAGAGGGCGCTAGGGAAGTTTAAGGTATGCTTGAAAATAAGGTATTAACTCATATTCTCCGGTTTACTTATACCCGAAATAAAAGATAAAATGTAAATTTTTGGCTCAACTTTGATAGCTCATAACTCGAAAACAAAAGGGTTTCCACTCTATGTTTATATAAAAAACTTGTGTTATTTTGGCAAGTACTATGTCCTAGTAAAGTTTCCCGATTAAAAACTGAATCACCCTGTATATTGCAATGCTTCTGTTTCGACTTGATTGAGCAAAATCATATATTTTCTCTTGTTAAGTCGAGTTCCTTGCGGCCGAGGCGTTTCATTTGATACAATATTGATCAATACATATTTCAGTGTCTCGGCTTGATCAACTAAAATCATATACCGGGAATTTCATATAACTCGCAATATACAGTGTGTCCCAGGATAGATGTTACAATAGGTATAATGACCTAAAAATGTTTGAATTTTATTTTAAGGATGGGGAATTAAGCTCTGCTTGTTGTGGAGAGAATTTTAAGTATATTTTCATATTTTGAAAATCAACTCTGCCTTGACAGTGAAGCGGAAACTAATTTTAGTTCAGGTAAAGTATGCTTTTTGTTTATGATACGGCAAAATTTCATTAAGAAAAGTTGTTCAGAATTAGAAATTATGACACTATGCAAAATTTCAGAAAGATCTACCTACATTGGTTAAACCACCATATTTTAGATTAGATCAGAGTGAAGAAAAACAACAATTAAAAATGCCATAAAAAAATGTATTATCCCTCAGTTTTAGTTCACATTTCAATTACTCTTGCGTTATGTTAACATTAGAACAGAAAATTTATGTCGTGCAGTGTTATGCGCTTGGGCAAAGTGCACTAAGAACAGTGGTGCAGCAGTTTAAGGAGAGATTTCCTAATACCAATCTTACATGTATTACTTCGGGGAGCGTTGTTAACGTTAAGAAAGAGAAAAAGAAATATAATGACAATAGAAAATTAGCTGTAGAGAATTTATGCATTGTAGAAAAGTGTGCAACAAAAGGTGGATGTTATGTTGAATAAACGACAGTTATGTTTTCGTCAGACTTTTTTTAAATAAAATAAAATTATACAATATTATGTTATTTAAACTAAAATGTGATGGTTCAACCAAACTAGATAGATCCTTCTGAAATTTTGTATAGGACCATAATTTCTCATTTTAAACAACTTTTTTTATTAAAATTTTGCCGTACCATGAACAAAAAGGTTACTTTACCTAAACTAAAAATAGGTTTTGATTCACTGTCAAGGCCGACTTTGTTTTCAAAACATGAAAATATTCTTAAAATTCTCTTTACACCAAGCGGGGCTTAATTCCTTAGCCTTAAAATAAAATTCAAAAATTTTTAAGACATTATACCTCTTGTAACATCTATCCTGGGACACACTGTATGAATGCAGTAGTATGAAACTATAGTTATGAATGTAATTAGGAAACTATTATGCACTTGCACTGTCCCACATAAAATGCAACATAGCTTAATAGTACAGGCATTAGGTACTTTTGCAAAGGAAAAATTTTGTTTGGAAAAAGGTGACGTCCTTATGATAATCCTGAGTTTTCGCCCGTCTTAAGAGACGCACGGTTAAACCTGAATGTTTCTGGTTCTAGGTCTAGTGTTAGTTCTAGTGATAGTGTAAAACTAGAATTAACACTAGATCTAGTACTAGAAACATTCGGATTTAGCCGCACGTCTCTCAAGACGGCTAAACCCGAATGATTCTAGTTCTAGGTCTTGTGTTAGTTCTAGTGATAGTTCTAGTTTTAGTGCAATGAAAATATGCAACATATCTTATGCTAACTAGCGCTACCTATCACTAGAACTAATATTAGACCTAGAACTAGAAACATTCGGATTTAACCGCACGTCTCAAGACGGCTAAACTCGAATGATTCTAGTTCTAGGTCTTGAGTTAGTTCTAGTTTTAGTTCAATAAGAATATGGAACATAGTGATATCTTATGTTAACTAGCGCTACCTACCACTCTCACTAGAACTAACATTAGACTTACAACCAGAAACATTCAGACATGTTGTATTTTATGTAGGACAAAGTAAATAGGTACGCCCTGGTTTCTATGGAAACATATTAAGTAAAATTACATATTTGTTGTCGTGGTCAATTACAGCCGAAGCGCTACATTTGACATATATTCATGACATATAATGTAGCACCTCGGCTCCAAGCCTTCAAATAGATCCTTCAAAACTGTAGATTATTGTTAATCCGAAACGTATCTTATGATTGCACAAAGATACAGAGTGAGTGCAATAAATTCCTAACGATATATTTCTTTAAGTAACAAAAAACATCTTAGGGTTTAAGTATTAACATAAAAAAAAACATTTTTTTAACAATATTTTTATTTTCAATTTCAGAACCACATTTACAGTTGATCCAAGAGGAGAATTCGCAATTCAACAAATGCTTCTCAGCCATCCATTAACAAATTCAATTTCATACGTTCCCCATTATGTTCCTGAACGGTACAGGCGCCTGATTTCGTCCACCAATTTCCGTAGATTTATCTATGACGAAAATTTATGGGTTTCCCGCACAGCGGATGTTACAGGTCGATACCGCGAGGCGTCACCGCGATATTTTAGGTAAATTAATTTCATAATTTATTTATATAAATCGTTAATATTGATCTTTTTCGTTTTATTTAATTTAGAGAACACCCAGGGGCCATAAATCGATTAGCACCATGGTTAAATCGCGAATTAAACGCTCTCCTTTCCGGAAACACACAACAAATTATGACTCTCATTGATACGATTCTTCAACACCTTCACCGGCATCATATAATAGGATTTTTCTTTAAGAATCTCTTAAATCCGTATTTAGGACCGCGTACTGATCATTTTATTCACGAATTTTATAACTTTATGCGTTCTCCTTATGATATGGTCGGTTATGATCGCCACAGTTGTTATACTTCTTTTCCACAACCGGTTCTTAGTGATGAAAACATTAGTAGTGCAGATGATAGCGATGATGTGGCTATTTTAGCTACGACAAGTGCCGAAACTATCGGAAATGCACCAAATGCCGCAGTTAACCCATTCCATAGGCCTACAATTGAAGTGATCGAAATCAATTCAGATTCAAGTAATGATAGTGATGTGATTATTCAAGAGCCAACCCCAGTTATTGTTGATTTATTAAACTCTTCCGACGATGACGACGTGTTGCCTGTTTATCCAGAGACTGAAACCAATAGACAACAAACTCAACCTCAACCAAGCGCTAGTAGTAATTCAAAAATATCGATAATCGATGTGAAAATAAAGAAAAGAAAACGAAAAATGAAACTACGCGATTTAAAACGTCGCGAAAAACGCCGAGGAAAAGGAATTTATACTTCTTCATCGTCAACCGAGTCTACTTCTTCGTTGTCTTCTTCGTCATCTTCGGATTCAGAGGAACGTCGAAAACGTAAGAAAAGGTATATTAAAAAGATGAGAAGATATAGATCGAGTAGTAGCAGTACAAGTACAACATCAACGACGAGTACTTGTACTAGTACTTCTACAACAAGTACAAGTAGTAGTGATGAAAGTGAAAAAATTGCAGCAAAGTATATCAAAAAAGAAAAATCGAAAAGTAATAATAGTAAAAATAAAAGTAAAAAACATCAGAGAGTTCACAGTACCAGTACGGCCGATCTTGTGAACGATAATACACCTTCAACTTCTTCAGCCACAACAACAGGAACAGTTTTAAAAAAGGAATATTGTGAAGCAACTACAAATACTGATTATTGGGGTAACGAACCTCGTACATCCAGAGAAAGTGCTCCAACGGAAGTTGCTCCCCTTGACTATACAATGGCAAATTTTGCACGATCTTACAGTAGTAGTAGTCAACAACCGCGGTATGATGAGCCTAGTTGTAGTAATAATGTGGAACCTCTTAATATTAAGCGGGAATATAATTTGTGGTTCCGTCCGCCGTACGATAGAAACGGACGCGACAGCAAATACGGTTCGGATGATAGTGATTGCGATGACTAAAAAGAATTTAAAAACTATACGTTTTATTTTTAATTTCTATTTGTAATTTTTTAAAAAAAAACCATATAATTTTAATTTGGTTTTGATGATTCGATCGATTTGTAATTTGATGAATTGTAATATTTATGTGTAATAGCGAAAACGAAACATTTAATTTTATTTAAATTATATTGTCTTAGAGATAAGGTTATTATATAGATACGGCAAGAACAACAACTACAACAGTATGTGTACTTTGTATTGATTGTATCATACGTTTTTACGAGAAATAAATGCGAAATATATCTCAGTTACTTTTGGAAATTTTAATATACACTTAAAGGAGAAAGCAAAATTTGTTTGAAACGAGATAATCATTTTTTTTTCTTATATTTTGCAGAGCACAATTGTATAATTCCTAGTAAATACTAATTAGTTACTTATTTTTGACATTACACAAAATTAAACAAGATGTTTTGCAGCTTTTCCCAGTGGTCCAGTCTGGTTTACACATAATATAGATAAATATTGTCAAATTTTTAGAGTTTTAAGATCGCAACACAAAATGGTTTCGGTTCTTACCGTTTTTGTTATAATTCCGCACTTTTGCTCGCGTTTGAATTGACTAGGGCTAGGGACTTACTAAATCGAACGGCTTCATCCTCTTAAAGCGACGCAGGCTAGATGGCCTCGATGTTGGGATGATCGTGCATTCTCTTCTCATGTTTAGATGCGAATGATGCAATTTCTGATGACACCGATGCTACTTCCAAGTCGCGATGGAGGTCGGTGTTTTTTATATACCAAGGTGCATTCACTATGCACCTTAGTACTTTGTTTTGGAATCTTTGAATCAGACTTGCATATGTCTTGTAGGTACAACCCCACAGTTGGATTCTGTATGTCCATTTTGGTTTAATAGTAGATTTTCTGCCAATAAGCCAATATAGATGTCTAAATTTGATATCAAGTTCCTCACGTTTTTTTTTACGTGAGCTTTCCATTTGAGTTTGGCATCCAGCGTCATACTAAGATATTTTGTATGTCAATGTAAAGTTTATGTATGTCAATTTATTTGAATTTAATTTTATTAGCCATCGTTTGGTCCAGTTTCCTATAGAATGTAAGGCCAATTGTAACTTATTTGCTGCAACTACTTCATTTTCTGCAACAGCCAAGACCGCTGTGTCATCTGCGAATGTAGCTGTTAAAGTTTCTGGTATCAGGAAGGTCGAATATGTAGAGGATGTAGAGTAAGTACAGTGTTGGACCTCATGTAGTGGTGAATAAGCGTTTTCGTATTTTACTCTAAAATATCGATCAGAAAGATACGATTTTAATTAAATTAAAGTTTGTAATTTAAACCATCTAACCAGACTTTGTCGAAAGCTTGTGCAACATCCAAAAATACGGCGGAGCAGAGTTTATTTTATTCCGCATTTGGTCTATTGTTGCATCTTTATTCCGAAACTCAAATTGATGTGTTGGTATTTGGGCTTTTTCTTCTATGACAGGTTCTGTGGGGGATTTACCAGGTTTTGGTATCATTATTATTTTAGCAACTTTCCATATACTTGGGAAGTATTTCTGTTTAAAAGCAGCATTAATTATATGTAACGGTTTTGTTATCGCCCGTTTTGGTAGATGTTTCTCCATTAATTCGGTCTTAGCCTGCTGATTTCTTGATATTTAGTTTTTGTATTTCAGTTCTTTCATTCTTACACATGGTATATTACTCTGCTGATCACTTTGAATTATGCTAGGAACACTATTTAACATAGTTGTTGGACTGTCTGATGTAAAAGTTTCTTTCAGATGTTCAGCAAACAAATTAACTTTTTCTTGATTACTCTTAGCCCAATTTCCATTACTATTTCGAATTGGAGGTGTATGTGTTTTTGGAACTTTAAGCTTTCTTGTTGGCTTCCACAGAGAATAATCAGTACTGGCATCCTTACTAAGATCTTTTATGTAATTTTGAATATTATTTTGTTTGTGGCTACCTGTTAAGGCTCTTAATTCGTCTGTATTTTATTTAATTTATTTTTATCACTAGGAATTCTATTGGTTTGCCATTTCTTTCTCGCTTTCCGTTTTTCTGCAATTTTGTCTCTAATCAATTTAGGATATATGTTAGATTTAGGTTTTGGTGTTAAAATACAAGGTGTTGAGGCCCAGGTTGAGTTTTGTATGTCTTTTAAGAACTTTTCTACTTTCTTGTCAATATGTCTTCTCTGTTGGCCAGTAAGTTGGCTTACCAGTGGAGAGCACCTCACAATTTAGGCCTTCTATTGAGCCCCAAGACATATTTTTTGCACCAAAGTCTCCTCCAAGTATAAATTTGTTTATAAGATGCAGTAGAATTTCCTGATAATTTTCTCTTTTGAGATTGTCTTAGCAGTTGCTGCTACAGATATTAAACCATTGGTGCTTTGAACTTTTACCACTCTTGTTTGATGTTGTTCAGTACTAAATGTATTGTTCAAATAGTGGTCAATATTACTTTTAATGACATTAAAAGAGTAAATCATAAATAAATAAATTCAACATTTCCTTTTCAATAAACTTTTATTACCAATAATTACATTTAAACAGTCAATTTTATTATATCATTAACACATTAGAAGTGCATTCTACATAAACTAAAAAATGTTTCACCATTTTTATGCAGGTCCACCTCTATTAATATAATCCATTTCTTCGGCAGTAATATCAGGTCTTTTAAATCGAATGGGTAACTGAATATCTTCCACCACAAGTTGAGCACTTTGATGTCCAGCTGCAGCCGCGGAAGTAGCAGGTCCTCGAGAATCTTCTGGTTTTCTTATACCGTGTCGAAATTTAATTGTAGGCAGCCTCAACTTACTATGGGCGGAAAAAAGCCTCAGAGACTTGTATACAAGTGCCATACTGAAAGTGGGGACCTAACCTAATAACACGAAACGACTTAAATCTCTACCCAAACCGTTTAAAAAAAAATTTTGATGGTACTTTTTAATAGATTAATTATATTATGCAATTGATATCGAGAAATTGACTGTAATTTTTATTCCCGTTGGGCAAATATAGATTTTATTCGCGTAATATTAACATGATATGAGCCACGAAAGATTTTGAACTTGACAATTGACAAAAATAAATTTCAAATTTTAAAGTTATTTATGAAAAAAATTAAACGAATTAGAATTTATATAAACAAATAACTTTATCCCACTTTAATTAGAATTTATTTTATTTAATTTTAAAGAAAATAATATTTGCCTATCTTCATAGCGAAAACCGGTGTGACAATTAAAGAAGTTAGAGGTTAGGTTTAAATTTTTATAAAAAAATTATTTTAGCCCCGATATAAGAAGAATCAACAAGAATGTCGATACTTAAAACGTGTAGTAATCTCTTAAGAGCATCGAGGACTCTAATGAAACAAAACACATTTCAAATCGATGGTAAAATAAACCTTACTTTTTAAATTTTTATATAACCGAAAGAAACAACGTAGTTTGCAGGACGCTTTATTCTGAGGCAGCTTTAGGCTTGGATTCCTTTGAATATCAAAAGAATAGAGTTAGAACACAAATAAGCGATGTAGAAGAAAAGTTTCGTACAAAAATGTCCGAATATGTTACTGAAAATTCAAAGAATATCATCTTTACGGAGGATTTAAAAAATATGATTTATCTTGCCAAAGAGGGTGATGTTGATTTAGTTGTTAAGATGATGAAGCGGTATGTTTATTAAAATTATTTTCAATGATACTAAAGAGTATTTATTTATAGATTTAACTCTCAAAATAAAGAGCTACGATTTGGTAATTTCATCTTTGGTCCTGTTGTAATGAGAATGTTTTATAAACTAAACAAACCAAATGAAGCATTGGAATGTTACAAATCTCCCGAATTAACAGGATTTTTTGACCAATTAATGTCCCATCAAGTCCTTTTTGATCTCTTATACGAGAACAAAATGTACAATGAAATGTTAGATTTATATAATTTAGTTAAAGAGAAACAAATTGAGTCATTAAAATGGGCAAGGAGTTTGGTTGTTTTAACTATGGCAGCTTGTTATAAATTGGTGTGTTAAAAATTGACTTTTTGGAATATAATTTTTTAATTTATGTTTTATTAGAATACTGAGGAAAGTTTGGAATTTGCAATAAAACTTTGGAAGGATATTTCTCAAGTGGGTAATTTAGCTGCACGAAGGTCAATCACTTTTTGTGCAGCTTTAATGATAAATAAGGGTAAACCAGAAATTGCTTTAGAAATACTTAGCTCACTTAAAAACCAAAATTATACAACAGTAAGAAATTTAAAGGTAAAAGAAGATGTTTTAAACCAAAATCTTATTAATAATTTTAATTTTAACTATTTAGGTGTTAACACTTCTTCAATTAAAGCGTATTGATGATGTTTTACCCATTTTAAAATCAGTTTTAACTGAAGAAGCTGTTCATACGTTTAATAAAGATGTTGTGGAAGCAGTAGAAAATTATTTAAAAAGTGAAAATAACGCTGAATTAACCACGGAATTTAATCGCGTTGTAAAATATTACAAAGAACATGGAAACATTTCTGAAAGTACACTTGATGATAACCTTTGTTCTGTTATAAATAAACTACAACCACGACCTGATTTTAACCAATACGGTCAATTGCAAAGGAGGGATCAAAATAATAGGCGCCCAAGATATGATTTTAATGATAAGAAAGGAGGTGGTGGGTTTACAACAAGAAAAGTTTCGTTATCACAAATGGAATAATTTTTTTGATAATATAATTAATAAATGAAGTTATTAGAAAAAATGATTTATTTTATATTTTAAAAAAATACTTAGCAACAATTTTTATTGTTTTTTTTTTCAATTTTTAATTTTTTATTAACATCTGTCACCAATTAAATTCCCTGTCAAAAGGTCATGGTTGAATTTATCCATAATTTGACCATTTTACGGTAAAAAAACGGGCGGGTTACCGATTTTTTTACCTCTTCCTCATTTTATTAGGTTATTATGAGTTGGAATGTAATATGAGCTGTTAAAGAAATCATGAGGAAAAACATGTGCGAATTAGCCACCAGCGAACCGACGCTCAAGTTAGATTCAAACAGATATTCTGATAATCCTCACGCGGAAGGTGGATCTCCGCAACCTGAGCCAGAATCTTGCGAGAGTTTTTTACGTCCCTCCCCGGACGTAACTCCTTCAGTTGTAACTGAAGATGTCGTTCAAAAGAGATTATTTGGACATGCTTTTATACAAAGTCTACGTGTAATTTTTACGGTAAGCAAACAGTAATTTGCGATTAAAATTTATTAATTAAAAATGTTATTAGTGTTGGTACAGAGTTTTAGAGTTTGTTTTTGAAGTTGTCACAAATAAATGGGTTTGGAACGTCTTATTAATTACTCTTTATGTGCTTTTTGATGTTTTCTTTCATTTGGTGTTAGCCGCGTCGGCTATCATGGTGACTATTATCATAAATATGGACAATGTTTATAGGAAGGGTGATGATGATGATGAGGATGAGGGTGATTCTAATACTACCAGCTTTACAGGTTACATTTTAATCATTATTAATATGAATTAGGTATTATGAAGTTGATTTATTTTTGTTTAGACGTGAATGGGATGTATGAAAATGAAACTAAATCTTGTAAAAAGAAAAAATAACACAATTGGGAGATCTTTTGTATAGGTTTTATTTATTTATTAATATGCAATGTAATTTGTGAGATGGAGAATTAATAAAGATGTCAAAATTAAAAATAAAAGTTGAATTTGTATTCAATATCTATTTCAATATTTGTTTGAGGAGTTCAAAGAGACGTCGATCTCGGGAAATGACCACTATTTATCTGGCTATCAAAAGCTCTGCAAGCAAGTCCCATCTCCAACATCCTTGATGACATTATTTGTCGCGTAGCACTGGTCAATGGATAGTTGTTATGCAGATGATGGAGAAGGGTGAATGATTAAAGGAGACACCCCTACAAAAATCGTGATCCTGGTAAATATTGCGGTTGGGCTATTTTGATGTAGTGATTTTAACTTGCTGTATAGTAGTAAGTTAAGGTATTTGACCATGGTACACAGAGTTAGTGAAACATACTTGGTAGTTTTTGTGAACAAAATTGGGGTCTTACCCCTGACCCAGTAAACAAGAAACCTCTGTGAAACATTTCAATTTTAATGTACAGTGAATTAAATGAAACATCTTAGAAGTACTTTTCATATACGTGACAGATACGATTTTTACGAAACGTATCTAAAGATATGTATCAAATACATTTCAGTAGAAATATTTATGAAATATCATTAACATATGTAGCAGAAACATTTCATTTGAAACATTTCGCTACAAATGTGTCTGAAACATGTCTGGAATATCTTCAGCACCGCCTGTGAACGTATGTACAAACATTAATTAATGTTTGTAAACAGAACTAACCTAAGGTAACATTCCTTCACGGTTTAATTGACAGTTCAAAAGAAAACTTCACGCTATGATTGGCATTACTAATTACTAAAGAAAACTTCACGCTATAATTAATGTTTGTAAACAGAACTAACCTTACGTAACATTCCTTAAGGAATGTTAAAACATTTCAGAAATAATTCAAAACCGTTATTGAAACATTTTAGTAATGTACCGTAATTGTCAACTGTATGTTGCAGAAACATTTCAATAGAAACGTTTCAATGAAACATAAAAAGGGCCGGACATTAGCAGTTTCAGACACGTTTCACCTATGTTTCAGAAATATGTCGAAGAAACATTTCATGTTTCAATAATATGTATCAGAAATGTTTCTGAAACGCAAATTTGTTTACTGGGGAAAGACTGTACTGACTCTATGTGACCTATGATCACATACAGTTATGATTCATAATCTTTATTGTGTTACACATACAATACAATATATTCACATTTGTCAAATATTATGTAGTGTCATATTAAAGAAAAAAAATAACAAATAAAATTACATAAGATCACAATAGACAACATTAAGTGCTAAAGGTGGAAATCATCTCAAGAGTATCACTCATATATTCGGAGGTCGAGTAGTACGCCCTTGTAAAAAGAGTTACTTTAATATACTCTTTAAAGCTCTTCAATGGCAACTGATGGACGTGTAACGGCAATTTATTAAAAAATTTCACCGCCAACGCGTTCACACTTTTTTAGCATTTTGTTAATCGTGTATATTTGGGTATCAGATCGCTATTTTTCCTAGTATCATAGTTATGCACCTGCTTATACGAGTCAAACTTATTAATGTTCTTTTTAACATATGTAACACATTCGAGTATGTAGAGAGACGGTAGAGTTAATATTTGTAAATCAATCTTATAGTTGTCTCTATAATTTAAATTTCTTAATACCCGTATAGCCCTTTGCATTCTAAATACGCGTTCAAAACCAGCAGCAGAGCCCCAGACTAACAATGCATAAGTCATTGAGGACTGACACCGCGCAAAGTATGCTGTGCGTAAAACTGGTGGAGATACGTTCGAACGCAGGTTTCGCAACAAATAGATGCTGGCACTTAATTTACTGCATAATGTCAAAATATGTTCCTTCCAGCACAGCCCGGAATCAAGATTAACGCCCAAAAATTTTATAGCAGAAAAAGACTGTATGTTAGCGCACCGTCTCAATGTAAACGTAGCAAAAGCCGTTTTATCTGAATTTAACTTTCGCCTCCCTTAGAGAAACAGCTCTATTCTCAAAAGCATCTTCATAACCTTTGTGATTACTAAATAGGGTTGTGTCATCGGCATACACAACAACCGACCCATTCGTTATATTCTGAGCGAGATCATTAATATAAATTAAAAATAAAAGGGGGCCCAATATTGGTCCTTGTGGTACACCTATCAAAATACCCATTCTTTTAGCAAATAAATCATTACACTTAACTATTTGTGACGTATTTGTTAAGCATGATTTAATCAATCTAATACTGTTATTGTCAAAATTATATTTTTCCAACTTATAGAGCAAAAGGTCATGCTGCACACAATCGAATACCTTACTGAGGTCACAGAAAGCACCCATCATGTAGTGTCCATCCTCATATCCTCATATCAGTAAACTTTCAAGAATCCAACGAGTAGCTGGATTGGCAATCTCTGGTATATAGAATCTCTGGAAATCAATCTCTGGCATATAGAAAAAGTGGCTAAAACTACCATTTACAGGTTACTGTTCTGACATGTCCTACCAATGGGCTGCGGAAGACACGATAAGCACTGTTATTGTGATTAATACTCGATACCAGATTGCACTGCCTGAACGGCAGTCCTGGATTGGAAACGAAAATTCTCTGGTTCAGGCAGATATTTGCATGTTCATAGATGGATCAAAAACGCGGAAGGGGTCAGGGCGGGAGTATACTGTCAGAAACTTAGGATTAAGCAAACTTACAGCCTGACTACGTACTTTACTGTATTCCAGGCGGAAGTATTTGCTATTAACATGAATGCTAAAATCCTTCTTGAGAGAGAGCTGAAGAACGTTCCTTTGATTCTATTTGACATTCCTTCACGCTATAATTAGGGTTTCAAAACAAAACTGATCTATCGTAACATTTCTTCACGCTGTAATTGTGTATAACAGTGTGTGTAGTGCCTCACACGCAAACGACCTCTGATTATCTATTCTTGAAATCGTTGTGCACTGGTTAGTTTTTGTATCAATACGCTATCGATGCTATGCCTCGGCTGCATCGATAGATTTTGCATGTGATATAGTATCAATCTCGGCTTTGCTAATATTAATACCGTAGTGACTGTAAAAGAACTTTAAACACACTGAGTTGTCATAACAGAGTTTCTCTGATTTAGGTCCCAGGTCACTCTAAGTTTGCTGGCACGAGAGGGCAGTACTAAAGCGTTTGTGGGGCCAAAGCCAGCAGTTGGTATATCATTTGAGATGGCTAAACATAGGGTTGGACTGTGGGTTGAAGAGAGACTTCGCCTACTGTGGACCAGTTCTCCTGGAATGAGACACGCTAAGTTTCTAGGGTGTTTTTATTGGGCACTGCCGATTAAAGACGCACCTCAATTTGTTGGGTCTAGCAGACGATGTTGAATGCCGACTATGTGCGGAGGACGAGGAGACTGTTGAGGATGTTTTATGCCACTGCCCTGCTGTTAATCGTATCAGATTATCGATTTTTGGGTCGCAGTTTATCTCCCCAAAGGATCTGAATGACTTTTCGCCGAGCAAAACATTAACGAACCTTAATTCGTTAAAAGCATTACAGAGCAAGGTACAATAGATCTTTTATTCATTTATTTTGACTGGTCCACCTACCCGATATATAATTTATGTAATGTAATGTAGTGAAACTTCACCTTTTCCAATCACATTTGAAGATGAGGCAATCACAATTTCAATCGTGTGAAGACAACAGTCATGTGATATCGAAAAGAAATCCATTTTATGCAGATATCTCAGTTAATCAATGGAAATACATAGTTACATAACTTCGATCTTTTCATTTCTCAACCATANTTAGCGAAAGTATATTTTCTACCCCAAACTTCTAACCCTTGTAAGTTCTTACAATAGTACTACTTAACGTATAAAAAAATTATCGTGGTAAATTGCACCAAAATCGACAAACAATTTTCGCAAAAAAATTTAATTTTTGGGATGGTTAGGGGTACCAACGCCAGCCACCCCTTAATGTCGTATAGGGTTTATTTTATTGCGTAAATTTTAATTTACAACTAATTTATGGCTTTCTTCAAAATATTGTTCAAAAGTGTAACAGTTTATGACATTATTCTTAAGGAAAGAGGTTATCTATCATACCCTGTAATTTTGTAGGGGATGGTCAGAGGCAAATAAGAAAAAACACGTCATTCATATTTTTAAACGTACTATAAGGACACATAATTTTGGTAAAATCGACAGGGTAGTTTTTAAAATATTCCAAAAAACTAGGGGTAGTTTACCCCCTGAAGCCCTCAGATATATGTGTGATATATCAATGGAAAGCTCTTTGAAAATGAATATCAGGTTACATTTACCACATTTCGATAGCTATTTTCGTTTTCAGCCTATAACCGAATATATATATTTCGCCCCGATTTCCAACCCTTATAACTCGCCCCATTGGCTTTATTAGCACGTATAAAAAATACGTAAACCTTATTTTTGGGCATACTATCGCTGTACCAAATTTCAACAAAATCGGTGAGGGACAGTTCTGATACTTCCCTTGTGAGTTGAAATAACAGAGTTTCTCTGATTTGGGTCCCAGGTCACTCTGAGTTTGCTGGCTATGAAGCGGCAGATGAGCTAGCACTAGAGGGCAGCGCTAAAGCGTTTGTGGGGCCAAAGCCAGCAGTTGGTATAATATCATTTGCAGCATAGGGTTGGACTGTGGGCTGAAGAGAGACTTCGGCTACTGTGGACCAGTTCTGCTGGAATGAGATACGCTAAGTTTCTAGGGTATTTTTATTGGGCACTACTGATTAAAGACGCACCTCAACTTGTTGGGTCTAGCAGACGATGTTGAATGCCGACTATGTGCGGAGGACAAGGAGACCGTTGAGGATATTTTATGCCACTGCCCTGCTGTTAATCGTATCAGATTATCGATTTTTGGGTCGCAGTTTATCTCCCCAAAGGATCTGAATGACTTTTCACCGAGCAAAACATTAACGAACCTTAATTCGTTAAGAGCATTGGACACACGGTGAAATTTGATAATGTTATCTATCGAGGTATAATAGATCTTTTATTCATTTATTTTGACTGGTCCACCTACCCGATATATAATTTATGTAATGTAATGTAGTGAAACTTCACCTTTTCCAATCACATTTGAAGATGAGGCAATCACAATTTCAATCGTGTGAAGACAACAGTCATGTGATATCGAAAAGAAATCCATTTTATGCAGATATCTCAGTTAATCAATGGAAATACATAGTTACATAACTTCGATCTTTTCATTTCTCAACCATAAAATTCGAATTTCAATTTATATTTTACCTTTATAAATATTTAATTTTCGTTTTATAAGCAAGTTTGTATTTTTTTTGCTTAACACATCGATATCTTGATGGCTTAAATTTAACATATTACATATTTGATTTCGAATTTAACATTTAGTATAAAACAGCCTTTAAAACCAAATCAACCTAATAATTAATTATGTGTGATCTTCTTTTTGTTGTGAGTAAAATTTTTTATTAATAATTATATAATAAGTAAATATATTTTTTTTAGATTTTATCCTTTTTTGTTATTTTTATAAGAATGGAGGGTAAAGAATTGCAGATTAACAATTTAGATATTTTTGATGTGAAAATGATTCCACAAGGAGCGTTACAAGTTCGTGAAAGTCTTGGATATAATAATCGAAATATCAAGGTGGAAACTAAAATTAAATGGGAGGATACTATTGTGGACGATTTTGATTATTTACCACGAAAAAAATATGTAGAACCTTACCATTAAAATTTATAAAAATAAAAGGATGCAAATATGCAAAAAAATGAAAATGTCGTTTCTAAACTAATATTCAAGGTCTGTCTTATAACGTCAATAACAAACAAATAAATAATAAATTATAATTGGTAGTTATCACTTTTTGATTATACGTTAATACCACGGTGATTTAGTAATGTAACTGTTTAGTATTATTATAATTTTTGTTTATTTTTGCAGTCTATATTTACCTATAACAATTTTTATTATTATACGTTACATAACAATAAATATTAACGACGTAAAATAACACAATCATCTTTAAGATGCATCACTATTTATTAAGATTAAAATTTTTTTATTACAATTACATTTCAATGGTAAGGTTCACGATATCCTTGTCGCGGTAAAAAATCGTAATCATATTGGAGAGTATCTTGCCATTTATTTTGTTGGGACGTAGCCGTATTCCGATTATTATATCCAAGAGTATCTCTAGCTTCTGATGATTTATCTGGAACAACTTTTGGTTCAAATTCAAAGATGTCAGGAAGAACTTCATTATTTTGACCTAAACATTCGCTAATTAATAATGAAATTATCTGAAAAAAAGATAATAATAATTATTTGTTAAATTAAAATAATGAAATCATACCAAAATAAAAATCATTGTAATTTCACTGAATCGATCGTCTTCTTTCGTACGCTTAAGGAAAACTAAAACGTGCGAATATCATCACACTTCCCAACCAACTCGATAAACATTAATTATATACATTCGTGTACGTGTCATAAACAAAGAGCTGGTTGGCGTATCTAACAACATAAGTGGGAAAATTAATCGTTTGATATGTAAAAAATCTTCCCAGTCTCTAAGATAGATTAAGATCCCGTGTATACTTTGTTGGATATTGGTCAATGTTATAAAGATTTTTCAATATTAATGATTTACAAGACAGGTTATTATCTCATAATTAGTTGTGCCAACGTATTCAAATAAGTTTCTTATCCATAATGTTATTATTGTTATTCATACGGTTTGATGTTAACAACCTTTTCTATTTAAACGTTATTAATAGCTTACGGCTATGTAACCATGAACTTTCTCTTTCAGTTTCAGTAGGACAACAGAGATTTGCTTTTAAAATTATATAATAAATTTAATTAATTTTAATTTTATATATACCTGGATTTTGATATAACTCGCAATATATGACATCGCTCATGTTGTAGGGATGCTCATGTAACTCGATATATGACTCATATTGTCCAAGCAGGAGTCCTATAATTTCTTCTAGAGCTCTTCTACTAAGTTCTACAACTGAGTGAGACATGTGAGTCTAGAGATATCTCAAAAACTTTTTGGTGTGAGGTTTGTTTCGTAGAAAAATACACTAACTCATAAAAGACACATTTTGATTTTTACATACTTAGAGTTCAGGTGTTGTGACAAGTACTTTAAACTCTCTTAGATGAAGAAAGCTTGTGTTGGTATAATACAGTGTTGTCCACTAATTTTTGATCAAGATCGACTTTTTATATAAATGTCTTGCCAAGATCGACCGAAGAGCTTATAAATAAAAAATAGTAATAATTGGGTTCAATCTTGTTATGGATCTAATCTTTATAGCCCATTACTAAGGTTTTATGTATAAAAAGTTTTTCTCCATCGCTTTTAGTTTTTGAGTTATGATTGAGTCAATTTTCGAAAATCAACAATTTTGATGTTTAATCGGTTTAGAGCTTATAAATAAAAAATGGTAATAATTGCGTTCAATCTTTTTGTAGATCTAGTCTTTATGGTCCATTACTAAGGTTTTATGTATAAAAAGTATTTCTCCATCGCTTTTAGTTTTTGAGTTATAATTGAGTTATTTTTCGAAAATTGCTCTGAGGCTCAGATGTTAGATATTTCAGATTCATGATTTTCTTGGCGATCGACTCAAAACTGCTTTGCGATCTAAAAGTCGATCGCGATCGACGTTATGGACACCACTGATATAATACCACACTCAGTTCCTCATTGTCTAAAGTAGCTTGTGACATCAGAAACTACTATCTGAATTAATTATTTGCCTGAAAATCCTGGTAATCAGAATTTGTTTATTAAATATCCTTGGTAAAGCAGAATCTTCTAGAGTTCTTCTTCCTAGTACATTCTTCGTCGAACTATTTTGCTGTTCTCTTGATATTTGGCCCAGCATTTCTTTCACAGTTTCAACTAATATTGTCTTCAAGGTGGTCCAGGCGGTATTTACTCCAGTAGTCTGCAACTAAATAGTGATTAGAGTTGATGTTAGCTCTTCTATAGCTTCTGTATTCGAGTGTATTGGATCCATGTCTTGAGATTATCAAGATGTGGTTGATTTGATTCCTGGTTTGGTCATCTAGTGAGGTTCACGTTATTTTATGTATCCTTTTATGTGGGAAGTATGTGCTTCTAATAGTCATATTCATGTATGTAGCTAATAACTCTTATAGTACGCAATTAAAATATGAAACTTTATATTTGTTTAATTTATTTTAAAAAAATTGTACAAAATTTACAAATTTACAAAAATACTCTAAATAAATACTGAAAGTTAACATTTTTATTTAATCGGTTTATCCCCATCTTTCTTCTCATTATTATTATTTTCAACAGGTTCTTTATTCGCACCTTCTTCATTCTTTTTTCCATCAACTTGATTTTCTTCTACCTTCTTATCACTTCCTTCACTTTTAGCACCACCATCATTTTTCTCTTCATCTTTTTTCTCCCCAGCGTCTTTCTTTTCTTCAACTTTTTCAATTTTCATTTCAGCATCATTTTTCTTCTCACCGTCCATTTTCTCACCATCATCTTCCTTTCCACCTTCATCAGTCTTTCCTTCTTTTCCATCCTTGTTACCGTGATGATTACCAAATCCAAACCATCCAAAATCATACTCACCTAAACAATCATCACCTTCATCGTGGTGATGAGTTTCCCAAGGAGCACCATAAGAATTTCTTACAGCGATAAATGCAATAAGAAGTGTAACGAATGTGGCAATCTAAAATACAAAACAAATAAAGAAATAGAATAAAAATGATTTTTGTGGAGTTTATTTTACCTTTAATTTCTGCATTGTAACGTGTTGATGTTGTAGTAAGAACCGTGTAAGTGTAAATTTCCGCTTACAAAGCGGTTCATTTTATATAAAGGTGCTCGATCGAGTGTGACGTTAGATGTTTAAAAATGATTGTAATAATGCGTGTATGGCGCGAAAGAAATCGAGAATGGTGATTGTAAGAATAAGAGTAAGGTCTTTCGTTGTTAGAATAATTAACGGTGTATGTCGACCTGTAATAGCCGTGAAATGAGGTGAGTCAATCGGAAGAAAAAAAAAATACTTCAAGGAAAGAGGAAATAATTCTAAATTTTGTTACATTTCCGTTTATTTTAATTGTTTAATTAATTTGTTTACAAGAAATTCTTTTAATTATGAATCGCATACCCAGCGACAATTTTGCTTGGGTTGTTTCGGTTTAATCGCAGATGGATTTGGGCCATAATCCAAAAATTGTCCGTTAACTAATGCTAATAAAGCAAAAATGACCAAGAAAAATATCTAAATTAACAAAAAAAATGTTATTAAAGAATAAGAAATTATTTTTTTTAACTTACAGTGAAAAATTTCATTTTCTTTTATAATATGAAAACTTAATTAACTGTTCTTAGCTTCTCAAAGATCTAAACCAAAATGCTTTTCAACAACTTAACAAATTTTGCTTCAATAACCTTTTCACCATAAGATAACGAAAAGATATAGATGTAATAGTTTTGTTTTTGCTCCCAAAATAGATAAAAGAAAATAAATAAGTTCTGTTGATCGGTTAAAAACCAAATTAAATGCTAAAGATCTTTTTTAAGTGATAAACGAGGGAATTTTACTTTAATTCTTGGCAATTTAGACAGCTCATATTATTCTCGTCTTACTTTTCAACTTCATTTGATAAATAGAGAGTAAGTGAGATATAAATTATGAACGCGATGACTTCTGGATAAATAAAAACATGCATGTATTTTGGTATAAAAGGTTTAAACGTCGATTAGATGTTATTCCTTTCTTTGGAACGAACGAAAAAAGTAACTAGATGAATAAATTGGTGGTAAGTAATAGATTTTTATATTAAATCATGGATATTTTAATTTATTATTAATAATTACCACCATTTATTTTGTTGAAATGACAAGGTTAATTTGAAAGACAATAACTTTCTTCACTTTATAATGTTTTAGGTAACCGTTTTAATAGTAACCCTATTCGTAACATTGAGCTCTTGTGCTCCTGGTTACGAAGGAGGAGGTGAAAATGTTAAAACTAAAATCCAATACAAGGAAGGAATCCCACCAGATCAACAAACAAGTTTAATCTTCGCTGGTAAACAACTTGAAGATGGTCGTACTCTTTCTGATTACAACATTCAAAAAGAATCAACCCTCTACATCTTCGTAAAAACTTTAACTGGAGAAATCATCACCTTAGGAGTGGAACCTTCTGATACCATTGAAAATGTTAAAGCTAAAATCCAAGATACGGAAGGAATCCCACCAGATGAACAACGTTTAATCTTCTCTGGTAAACAACTTGAAGATGGTCGTACTCTTTCTGATTACAACATTCAAAAAGAATCAACCCTCCAGTTGGTAATAAGAATGCAAATCTTCGTAAAAAGTTTAACTGGAAAAACCATCACCTTGGAAGTGGAACCTACTGATACTATTGGAAATGTAAAAGTTAAGATTCAAGACAAGGAAAGGATTCCACCGGATCAACAGCGTTTAATTTTCCATCGTAAAGAATTGGAAGATGGACGTACCCTTTCAGATTACAATATCTATAAGAAATCTACTCTGTATTTAGTTATTCGCCTACGTGGTGGAAAATAACTTTTTTCCATTTTCGACTCATAATAATAATAATAATAAATTTTTAATAAAAGGCTGTCCTTCTTTTATAATTAAGCCTCTATAACAGTGTTGGCCACTAATTTTTGATCAAGATCGACGTTTTATATAAATGTCTTGACAAGGTCGGCCGAAGGGTTTAAAGTAACCTTCCTTTTTTTTTCTCTGAGGCCCAGATATAGATATTTCAGATTCATGACTTTTTTGGCAATCGACGTTATGGTCACTACTGATTTAGAGCTTCTAAATAAAAAATGGTAATAATTGTGTTCAATCTTTTTATGGATCTAGTCTTTATGGTCCATTACTAAGGTTTTATGTATAAAAAGTATTTCCCCATCGCTTTTAGTTTTTGAGTTATGATTGAGTTAATTTTCGAAAATCAACAATTTTGATGTTTAATCGATTTAGAGCTTATAAATAAAAAATGGTAATAATTGGGTTCAATCTTGTTATGGATCTAGTCTTTATGGCCCATTACTAAGGTTTTATGTATAAAAAGTATTTCCCCATCGCTTTTAGTTTTTGAGTTATGATTGAGTTAATTTTCGAAAATCAACAATTTTGATGTTTAATCGATTTAGAGCTTATAAATAAAAAATGGTAATAATTGGGTTCAATCTTGTTATGGATCTAGTCTTTATGGCCCATTACTAAGGTTTTATGTATAAAAAGTATTTCCCCATCGCTTTTAGTTTTTGAGTTATGATTGAGTTAATTTTCGAAAATCAACAATTTTGATGTTTAATCGATTTAGAGCTTATAAATAAAAAATGGTAATAATTGGGTTCAATCTTGTTATGGATCTAGTCTTTATGGCCCATTACTAAGGTTTTATGTATAAAAAGTATTTCCCCATCGCTTTTAGTTTTTGAGTTATGATTGAGTTAATTTTCGAAAATCAACAATTTTGATGTTTAATCGATTTAGAGCTTATAAATAAAAAATGGTAATAATTGGGTTCAATCTTGTTATGGATCTAGTCTTTATGGCCCATTACTAAGGTTTTATGTATAAAAAGTATTTCCCCATCGCTTTTAGTTTTTGAGTTATGATTGAGTTAATTTTCGAAAATCAACAATTTTGATGTTTAATCGATTTAGAGCTTATAAATAAAAAATGGTAATAATTGGGTTCAATCTTGTTATGGATCTAGTCTTTATGGCCCATTACTAAGGTTTTATGTATAAAAAGTATTTCCCCATCGCTTTTAGTTTTTGAGTTATGATTGAGTTAATTTTCGAAAATCAACAATTTTGATGTTTAATCGATTTAGAGCTTATAAATAAAAAATGGTAATAATTGGGTTCAATCTTGTTATGGATCTAGTCTTTATCGCCCATTACTAAGGTTTTATGTATAAAAAGTTTTTCTCCATCGCTTTTAGTTTTTGAGTTACGATTGAGTTAATTCTCGATGATCAACAATTTTGATGTTTAATCGATTTAGAGCTTATAAATAAAAAATTGTAATAATTGGGTTCAATGTTGTTATGGATCTAGTCTTTATGGCCCATTACTATGCTTTTATGTATAAAAAGTTTTTCTCCATCGTTTTTAGTTTTTGAGTTATGATTAAGTTAATTTTCGACAATCTACAATTTTGATATTTAATCGGTTTACAGCTTATAAATAAAAAATGGTAATAATTGGGTTCAATCTTTTCATGGATCTAGTCTTTATGGTCTAGTAATGGACCATAAAGACTAGATCCATGAAAAGAGGTTTATGTATAAAAAATATTTTCCCATCGCTTTTAGTTTATGAGTTCTGATTATGGAAAAAAATAGTTTTCGGAGTTACAATCAAGAAAGAAATGATGTAAGTCTAGTCCATTTCTACCACAAGTAGGAGACTTTGTTGTGGTAAACGAAGACGGTTTTCCACGTTGCCAGTGGCTTCTTGGTCGCATCGAAACACTTATAATGGGCAGTGATAATGTTCCAAGAGTGACAGAAATAAAAACCAAATCAGGTTTAATAAAAAGATTGATAAAACGGTAAATAATATCGTAACATTATTCCTCGAATAATAAAAAGCATAATTTGAAGTTTTTAATTTATGTAAAAACACTAATAAATCAAAAATGACCAAGAAAAATATCTAAATTAACAAAAAAAATTTTATTAACAGAATAAAAAATTATTTTATTAACTTACAGTGAATAATTTTCATTTTCTTTTATAATATGAAGACTTAATTAATTCTTCTTAGCTTCTCAAAGATCTAAACCAAAATGCTTTTCAACAATTTAACAAATTTTGCTTCAATAACCTTTTCACCGTAAGATAACGAAAAGATAACACATTAATTTCTCGGTATTGTTTACAAACTTTAACATCAAACGCAATTTCAATATTGTTTATCGTAATTATACCCTAAACTTTACGTAGATTGATGTAATCGCTTTGTCTTTGCTTCTAAAAGAAATAAAAAAAAAATAAATAAATCTTGTTGACCGGTTAAAAACAAAATTAAATGCTAAAGACTCTTTTTAAGAGATAAAAGAGGGAATTTTCCTTTAATTCTTGGTAATTTAGATAGCGCATATTATTCTCGTCTCACATTTCAACTTCATTTGATAAATTGAGAGTAAGTGAGATAGAAATTATGAACGCGATGGCTTCTGGATAAATAAAAAAATGCATGTATTTTGGTATAAAAGGTTTAAACGTCGATTGGATGTTATTCGTTTCTTTGGAGAGAACGAAAGAAGTAACAAGATGAATAAATTAGTGGTAAGTAATAGATTTTTATATTAAATCACGGAAATTGTTTTAAATTGTTGTTTATGGTTTTATATTCAAAGTGGTAATTATTTAAATATATTTTAGAAGGTATTGTTGGTTAATTATAGTGCAGGTTTGTTTATTGTTTAGATATTTTAATTTATTATTGATAATTACCACCAATTATTTTGTTGAAGTTACAAGGTTAATTTGAAAGACAAAAACTTTCTTCAAAATTAATAAATTTTCTTAAATATGATATATTATGTATATATGAGATAATAATTTAAGTGTTAATATCAATTTGGTTTTATAATGTTTTAGATAACCGTTTTAATTGTAACCTTATTTGTAACATTGAGCTCTTGTGCTCCTGGTTACGGAGGAGGAGGTGGCGGTCACGGAGGTGGTAGTCATGGAGGTGGCGGATTTGGAGATGGTGGCCACGGAGGAGGTGGTCATGGAGGAGGTCACGGTGGTGGTCAGGGAGGTAGTCACGGAGGTGGATTTGGAGGAGGTCAAGGTCATGGAGGAGGTCAAGGTCATGGAGGAGGTGGTCATGGAGGAGGTGGTCATGGAGGTTACAAAACCCATGGATATTAAATTCTTTAAGAACAACTAAAATTATTAATTAAAAATACTTAAGATTGTGTTAATTTGATTTAAAAATAACAATAAAAACATTATAAATATGAGTTATAATGATATCTTCTTGCTGTAGGACTTACAATTGGTCTTGTTTGTTCTGTCCAGCTTTCCTATTTGTGATTATACCATTCAGCGATTCTTGTCGGGTTCATCTTATCAACGTCCTGAACTCCCAGATCACTCATCATGTTTACATTTCGTACTCTGTCTTGGATTGTAAAGTTTTTTATACTTCATAAGGCTTTGATTTCTGTTCGGTTTCTGTTTCCTTCAATCCAGGTCGGATAGAAATCTTGTATATTCGGACTTTGCTATCTACACCCATATTTTTGTTGTGCCATAGTATAACTTTCATGCAGCCTAATATTTTTGCTGATCCGCTGTAGTACAAGATTAAACAAATATGGGCTAAGACTGCTAAGACTGTCGCTTTGCCTTATGTCTGGATTTCTTCGGTTGATCTCGAATCTGTTTTAATTCTTGTTTTGTTACGGCTAATTACCTTACTATTATTGTATTTCTTAATCATATTTCCTTTTCTCCTTCTCAAGTTTAAGGAGAACAACTTAAATTATTTGATGTGATTTGTATGTTGGAGACCTGGGTTGATGATGGAGGGTGGGCAAAGATTGAGGGAAAATTGCCAGAAGGGTATAGATGGGATTGCGTGTATGCAGAGAGAAGAAGTAAGAGAGGAAGAGCGTGCGGGGGTTACGGAGGAGAGTAAGACGGAGGGGAGATGGAGGCAGAACGGAATGGTAAAAAGGCAGATCAGCTGGGGGAGAGAGACGGTGCAGATAGTTACTGTGTATAGCAAGTCAATGAAAGAGACGAGAAAGCAATGGGATGAGATTGGGGGTTGGGACGGAGGGATATATAATAATGGGAGGGGATTTCAATGCTAGAGTGGGCGAGGAGGGGGGAAGGGCTGAGATATGGGGAGAGGAGGGACGACGGCGGTCGAAGGATACTGTGCGGAATGGAGAAGGAACAGAAATGCTGAGATGGGTGGAGGAGAACGGATGGGAGATACTGAATGGGAATAAAGAGGAAGGAGAGGAAGGGGAGTATACTTACATCGGGGCGAGGGGGACATCTGTGATTGATTATGTATTGGTGGATCAGGAAATGTGGGAGAGGGTGGAAAGGTTTAAAGTGGGAGAAGCGGTAGAGTCGGATCACCAACCGTTGGAGGTGGAGGTAAAGGGGGTGGGCGGCAGAAGGCGAGCGGAACTGGGTAGCAAGTTCATCAGGACAGATTGGTCGGAAGAAGGGGTAGCATTCTACAGGGGAAACCTAGACACTTGGCAACAGAGGATACAAGAGATCAACGGGTTGGAAGAGCTTACCCAGGTAGTGCGGGAGGCAACACTGAAAAGGGAGTGTGTACGTAGGGGGGACAAAGTGGGGAGGAACGACTGGTATGATGGCGAGTGCAAGAAGGCGAAGAGGGAGGCGAGAAGGAGGTTGAGGCTGTGGAGACGGGGGAAGATAGGGGTGGATAGATATAGGGAAGCCAGGAGAGAATACAGAGAGTTATGCAGTAGAAAGAAAACAGAATTGAGGGAGAAGGAGGCGGCAGAGATTAGGGGGATAACAAGGGAAAGGGAGGTCTGGAGGTATTTGAAAAAAGGAAAGAAGGGTAGGGAGACGATAACCAGCGAAATACACATGACAGAATGGAAAAATTACTTTATGGGATTATTGGGAGGGGTTGAAACGAGGCTAACGGGGTTGGGAGGATATGAGGGAGATGGGGGAGAGAAGATAGCAGAAGAGGAGATGGAGGCGGTGCTTAGGAGATTGAAGAAGGGAAAGGCGCCAGGTGAAGATGGGATACATAACGAAGCATGGTTGGAAGCATCAAGGGTGGTGCGAGTGAAGTTGTTGGAGGGGATGAATATCGTATGGAGAGGGGGTGGGATTCCGGAGGGATGGAAAGTGGGGGTAATTTGCCCAGTATATAAAAAGGGTAATAAGGGAAGTGTAGAGAGCTACAGGGGAATTAACCTACTAGACTCGGCATACAAGGTATACACGAAGATACTGCTGGGAAGATTGGAGGAGGAGATGGAGTTGGGGGGAATTTTGCCGGATGGGCAGGCAGGCTTTCGGAAGGGAAGGGGAGCAATCGACAACGTGTATGTGTTGAAGCATTTGGCAGATAGAGAGCTGGATAAGAAGGGAGGGAAATTGTACGCCCTGTTTATAGATTTGAAGGCGGCTTTTGATAAGGTGGATAGGGGGAAGTTGTGGGAGGAGATGGGGAGGAGGGGGATAACGGAACACCTAATTGCGAGAGTGAAGGAAATATACATGGAGACGATGGCTAGGATAAAAGTGGGAGATAAGCTGAGCGACGTGTTCTGGACGACGAAGGGACTGAGGCAGGGATGTCCGCTGAGCCCAAGTCTGTTTGCACTGTATACGGCGGACCTGGAGGAAAGATTGGGGAAGGGGCAGATGGGAGGATTGGTGGTGGGAGGTAGAAAGGTGCATATGTTAGCATACGCGGATGACATCGTGGTCATGGCGAGAGAAGCGGTGGAGATGAAGGAGATGATAAAGACATTGGAAAGATATTTTAGGGGGAAGGGGCTGGAAGTAAATGTGGGGAAGACAAGGATGATGAAGTTTTGTAAGGGTGGGAGAAAAAGAACAGAAAACTGGAGATGGGAGGGAAAGGAGATCGAGGAGGTTAGGGAGTATACTTACTTGGGGTATGTGTTTAGGGAGGATAACAGGGAGGGGTCGCATGTGATAGCTATGGCAAAAAAGGCGAATAAGGTGATGGGACAAGTATGGGGTTGGGGGAAGAGAGTCTTTGGAAGGAATGTGGCAGCGAGGAAGATTATGTTTGAAGGTCTGGTTAGCAGTGTGATGATGTATGGGGCAGAGGTATGGGGATGGAGGGAGCAGGGACCGCTGGAGGACGTGCAGGCTAGATATTGGAGATGGGTGCTTGGGGTGGCGAGAGAAACACCGGGGTATATAGTGAGGGAAGAGGTAAAGGTGGATAAGGTCAGGGTGGAGGCGGGCAGGAGGGCAGTGAAATATGAAGAAAGAATAGAAGGGAGGCCAAGCTGCGGGATCCTGGGGGAGTGTTGGAGGGAAATTAGAGAGGGAAAGGTCAGATATGGGAAAGGACACAGAGACAACTATTATAGACGAGCGGGCTACTCGGTAACGGAGATAAATAGTAGACGAAGGGTGGGTAGGGAGATGTGGAGGGAGTTGAGAGACAGGGACCGAGATGTGCAGAGACAGGAAAGAAGGACACAAATAAAAGAGGGAAGGTATAACGAAAGATACAGGGACATAATTACGGAGGGGCTGCCTAGATACTTGTTATTGGAAAGAGATGAGGAAGGGAAAAAGTTGGTGGCTAGGTTCCGTTGTGGAAACGAGGAGAGAGCCAACAAATACTGGATGGCCGATGAGGAGAGGTGGTGTAGGCTGTGCAGGGAGGAATGGGAAACGTTAGAACACATGCTGAATGGGTGCAGTGAGTTGAGGGAGGAGGAGATGGACCGAAGGCAGATCTTAGGAGAGGGGGGAGAGGGGAAACGATGGATGAGAATGGTGATGGGGGTGAGGAGACAAAGGGATGGGTGAGGGGATGATTGGGCCGAGGAGCCGAGGGCGTGGAAATGGAGGAAGAGGGTAGAGAGTGAAAGTAATATTTGAATAATGTAAAGAATTGTAAACAATTACTGTATACAATAAACTCTTAATAACTTAAATTATTTATTATAAATACTTGAGATTATGTTAGTTTCATTTAAAACTGACAATAAAACCATTATAAATATAGGTTACTTTATGTTTATTTTTTAACAAATAAGTATTATAAAACGTAGTATTTGTTAGAAGAGATCGTAGTTAAAAAGAGGTACTTTTTTTTAAAAATGGTGATGATGATGATGATGGCCATATCCATAACCACCGTATCCAAATCCGGGAACGACACCAACTACAACTGGTCTTACAGGAGCTATTACGCCAAATCCTCCTCCATATCCGCCATACCCCCCATACCCCCCATATCCTCCATATCCATAACCAAATCGCCCAGGAAATGATTCGATTGATGTGATAAGAAACAACGATACCAAGACAAATAACAACTATTCAATGATATAAAATAAGATATATAACCAATTAAAATTAGGTGAAAATTTCAAAACGTACCTTGGAAATAAAATTCATTATGAAGTTATTTGATGTAAAATAACACAATTAGAAAATACTTTCGACGTGATCTCTTCGATATCTCACTATTCACTGAGAAATATTTAGATTTAGATGAATTTTTATGGAAATGGTCAAGGTGATGGCAATATTTTTTAATAATTTGAGTCTAAGTGCTAATTAAGAAACATGAATTTGAGCAAGGTTTATTTTCAAATTATTCATGTGTTTGTTTAGAAAATCCTTTAAGGGGACTTTGGGAATTCCCAAATTTCAATATCTTCTAATTTAATTATTATAAATCTGTAGCTTAAATTTAAAAGGGCCAAAATAATTTTCACTAAACTTAGAGCTCACAACTTGAATGACAGAAAAAAGGTGAAGTGTAGATTTTGGGATTAATTAACGAAGACAAAAAAAAAGATTTTAGTAGGCGACTTCAATAGCTGACATGGAATAAGAGACAACGTACATAGGATATGTATAGGAATATATGGAGAAGATAAGCGAAATGGAATATAACACATTTTAGGAACATAAAGACATACATAAGTATTGAAGAGAAGAACCACGTAGAGGGGAAAATCGATAAAAATGAAATGAAGGATTTTTCCATCGCACCTTTAACAAATATTTATTAAGCACATTTTGTTTTGTTTAATTTGACTAATATAGATATTTCGAGAAAGATAATTAGATATAAGCGAGCGTTAGATCAATTGTAATTACGAATTATTTTGTAATCCAAGAGATTTGGGTTATATTTCTTTACGAAATTAATTTAGTAGAAAAAAATTAATTAATCAAAAACACATTTATATTTAGGTTTTTTTTAGAACAGCGATAAATTAAGTCTATAAACAAAGATTCGGTTGCTAAACCAAATAAAGAAATGTCCCCGCTTACAAATTCATAACATTAATTATTCCAAAGAAGTACGAAGTCTAAATTTGCTCGACTATATAAGTATGGACAAGTGGGTCCACTAAATCAGTGTTATAAAAGAATTATCAACATGAAGTTTGCTGTAAGTATTCTAAATTATATTTATCTTAATAACGATATGATTTGGTAATTTTTTATTTTAGATTTTATTCTGTTTGTTCATGTGTATTGCATTGGCTTTTGGTGGCTCATATGGTTCGTCTCATGGATTACCGCACGGCGGACATGATTCCCATGGTCATGGTCCTCATGGTCATGGATCACATGGGGGACATGGTCCACATGGTGGACATGGCGGGCATGGAGGACATGCTCCTGCTGGACGGCCATATTGATGACTAATAATCTTTTAAATTTGTTCTATTTGTGGTGAATAAAATATAAAAGGAGTTGTAACATTTATATATATTAAGTATTTTAACAATTTTTTGTTATAAATTTTATATAAAAAGTAATTCCTTGTTTATTTTATCCCAAATGCTAACAAGGTCAAATCTGATAATTGTCGAGCCTCCAAAACTCGACTTTTGACAATGTTTGAAGGTTTTCTCAAAAAACGCTGCTTTAGATGTTGTACAAGTAATCGGCACCTAATAGCATCAGACTTCACATGACGCAAAATCATCAGGGAACACCTGCTAATAAATCCTTGAGCTGAGATTTTGACTGCCAGATAATGTAGCAGAAGACATTAGTGGGGTGCCGTATACTAACAACACCTCTTTGCTTATCCTACTCAATTTGAACTCTCACTGTCAAGCTGAAGAACCCCGTAACCTTTCGCAACCCTATGGAAGACTCCGGAGTTTAGGATAACAGTGAAGATTGTAAGCTTACAAAAACTTTTAATATTACCTAATGGCTAAAACAAGGGAACGGACTGGCACCAACGTTGCTTAATCTGACACTGGAACATACCATCGAATCTACTAATAAATAAATCAGTATAACTGGTGGCCTATGCGGAAATTATCATCTTAAGCCAAAGAAAAAGGAATGAGATGAATCCAGTCAGGCTAGAAGAAGAATGCTGGCCAACAAAGCTTACTATATAATGGCTCATATTATTATAGTGAAATCTCTATGTCGATCTATAAAACATTTCTAAAGCCTATAATGACTCATCTCAAGTGCAAATGCTCTTATAGTACATTAAGATCCAGAGATTTCTATGGGTAAAATATGTGGTCAGGATGAAGAGGGGAAAGTTACCGAAACAACTGCTTGGATAGGAGAACAAAACGGACTTGCGCAAAAATTAATTAATTAAATTTTTCCAGAGAATGAATTAGATAGTTTGGTAAAAACTTGAGAATCTTTAAAAGTTACATAAAAACATTGTTGGGATAAATTTAAATTCAATCTTATTATATTTCATTTTTAATCAAGATAATAAATGTAACACATTTATAAAAGAAGAACATTAAGCCTTATGGTACAAATTTTGATTTAAATTCAATTAGATAAAGTTTCATATTCCAACGATATCAATGTTGAACAATATTAACCTTTATTATGTCATGTTCATTATGTACAGCTGGTTTTCCTGGTCGAACAATGGGACGAGCTGGACGAACTATAACTGGTCGGACTGGTACAACCGGAACTAGAACGGGACGAACGACAATTGGCTTGACTGGTACTGCAATGGGACGTGGTGGATGTAGAACTCCCACAAGTGGTGGTCTGGGGATAGGTTGGGGTATCGGTGAATGTGGACTTCCAAGAACTGTTTGTTGTCCAATAAATGCAACGAAGAAAACGAAGTAAAATATATACTGTAAAAAAATTGTTATTAATTGCCATAATTATGTTTATGTATCATAAAATATTCAAAAAAACTAGGAAAAAAACTAACAAGAAAAATCAAACGACCTAAATTTACTTACAGTAAAATTCATGGTAATTTTAGTTGCCGGTTGCTGACTATGGTGCAATGAATGATACAATGAATACAAAGCTCAAATTTCAGTGCTCTTTATACTCGTGTAAAATACTTAATTTTCAACTTCTTTTATGATTAAAGTAATTGATTTTTAAACGAAAAGATATCATTATTTTAAACTAGATCTGAACTAAAACAGGATTATTAAACACCTACTTCTAAATAATTAGATAAAATTAACTCAGTTTTTGTAATTCCCCGATTAGGTTATCGACAATCTAGTTTTAAACGTTTGATTATACAAAAAGTACGAATTATTTTTATTTACGTCTCATTAAATGAGAATATATACCTAATACTTGATATACATATAAGATATTTAATAGAAAAAACAATTTTTAGTAGCAAACCTGGAAAGTTATAATTATTTTATTCTTCGTGTTTCATACTTGTACGTTATGTACTTTGAATAAATCTGTATCTTGTTCTAATTAATATAATCTAATCTATACATAAATAATTTTGTAATTCAGTTTTAAACTTTTAAAACTTTTCTGTTACATATTTAACAAATACTTAGTATTGTAATTTGTTTCAATCGCAACCAAAAAGAATAGAAATAATGGGGGAAATATTTAACTATAAAAGGCGTTCTAAACATATCCTTGATGTCATTGGTTTACAAGAAAAAATAATATGAAGCTCTTTGTAAGTAACAACTTAACAAGATACTTTATTTTATATTAAAAAATAATAAAGCTTATGGAGTAAATTATTAATAATTGATTATAGATTGCATTCTTTTATGTATTCGTCATTACATTTTATGGTGAACAAGGATATGTTCATGGAGATTCATCGCATGGTCAGTCAGGAGATCCATGGAAATATCCTGTAATTGAACCGGCTACTCAACCACCAACCCGACCACCATGCAGTATATGTGCTTTACCTCCAATTCCCTCAACAGTTAAGCCCCCTACACATCAACCGGAACATCCTCCAGTTCATCCTAAACCATGTCAACATTCTCAGCCTCCAGCACATCACCCGGAACATCCACCTACACATCATCCAATCCAACCCCCGGTGCATAAACCAATTCAAGTTATTCCTGTTGTCCCTGTTCGTCCTGTTATTCCCGTTATCCCTGTTCGTCCTGTTATTCCCATTGTCGCTGTTCGTCCTGTTATTCCCGTAGTTCCAGTCCGTCCTATTAAACCTGCTGCTCCACACCGTCCTGGTAAACCTGCCGCTCCACACCGTCCTGGTAAACCTGCTGCTCCACACCGTCCTGTTATCCCTATTGTTCCAGTTAAGCCAGTACGTCCTATACACAAAGAACATGATATAATAAAGGTTAATATTGTTCAACATTGATCTGTTTCCAAAGTGGCTGAAAACTTCAGCACATTAAATTTCTTTTGTACTTTAATAAAAATTTCTTTTGTATAATTACTTTTAATGGAAATAAACTGAAAACAAATGCATGAAATTATGAAGTTTAACATAATCCAATAAAAAATTTAACATAATAATCCAACTTAATTTTTACGTTCGTACAAAATAATTACTAATGAGAGGGTCATTGTACGATTTAATTTCTACAAGGTTGTTGGAGCTTAAGCTACCAGTTTAACGTATGCACAAGTTTTTATATTTCAGCGATAAGCATTAATGCATAAACAAGGTTTCATTTGCCAAACCGGATTAAAAGATGCACCTGGTGGAAAGCCCATCAAATTAATTATTCCGAAGAAGTATAAAAGAGCCGCTGAACTTGCACTTGAAATCAGTGACTTCACCTACGCATCACCATGAAGATGGTAAGTAATATAATTTTTAATAGTTAAACTAGAAAAAAATTATAAAATTCTAATAATAAAAAGTTTTTTTATCTCTTTAGCAAGTATTTTTACATAACTTCCTTGTTTTAGATTTTATGTTTATCCCTTTGCATTGCACTGGCTTATGCCGGTCCACTATCTATCGGTGGATACGGTTATCATGGAGGTTCCTATGAACATGGTCCCGAAAAAGGTCATGAAAAAGATCATGAACCGCATGGTTATGTTCCTCATGATCATGATGATCACAAGCGTGAACCTCACGGTGGCAATGATTACAAACACGATCATAAGTACGATCATGATCACGATCATGAATACGACCATGGTCATAAATACGATCATAAAAATGATTATAAATACGATCATGATCACGACCACAAATACGACAATGATCATAAACACGATCATAAATACGATCATGATCACGATGACAAATATGATCACGATCATAAATACGGTCATGATCACGATGACAAATATGACCACGATCATAAATACGGCCATGATCACGATGACAAATATGATCACGATCATAAATACGATAATGATCATAAGTACGATCATGATCATAAATATGATCACGATCACAAATACGACCATGACCATAAATACGATCATGATTATGAACATGGAGGCTATGGCGGGTATGGAAGTCATCATGATCCAAGCGAAGATTCAATCGATCATAAAAGATAGATTTAAGGATAGAATATTTAGTAGCTTAAACAACCGATTGAAATTTGAATACTGGCCAGGATTTGTTTAATATAAAAATAAAAAGATTTTCACAGCAATAATACACTCGTTTTGATATCCACATATAACAAATCCTTTATTCCTACAACTTCATATTTGTTCTTTTTGAATAATGGGTGTTGTTTTGTACCTGCAACACCCACAGCAGAAGAGTAACATCGGTTGTGTTCTATTCAGGTAACATAATCAAGAAATATACTTACATATTATATATAGTTCACTTTTAAAATGCATAGATGCCATAAAAACTTTTTTAACTTGCATCTGTATATCCTGAAGATGCAAAGAATGAAATAAAGATCGTTTTAAATCAAATTTAAAGCCTAACTTTGTGTATTATCATTCGTATTTGAAAAGTAGAAATTATCGTATTTCAAGAACGAATTGCGAATCAACAAACATTTTAAAGCATTTTCAATTGAAATTTAGTGTGCCTTAAACAATTTCTTATGTTCCATAAACGGTGTTGTTATAACTTTTGAACCCAACTGTGCATTTTTGATTTTAACAGATTTAAAGAACAGAAATTGAAAGAATAATATCTCAGGAACGAATTGAGATATCATGATGAATTAACCAACAGTTTAAAGCAAATTTAATAGAGATTGAATGTGCCATTTCTTATTTTCGATAAATATCGCTGTTATGATTTTTAATGCACTTTTGATTGTGATAGATTTTAAGAGTGGAAAATAACAAATCGTATCTAATAATAATAATAATAATAATAATAATGTCTTTATTCGTACCAACATCAAATTAACAAATTAAATATTCTATACAAAACAAAAAAAAAAAAAAAAAAAAAAATACTAAATTCACTAGTAAATTATAATAGTACGAAATGGCGAAGTTCAGTGCCGAGACACTGCTCAACTTAACCTTAAATTCCATTATAATAATATTCAAAAAATTCCAAAGCGTTCAGCAACAAGCGAACAAACTAAATATATAAAGAAAATAATTAAAGAAATACCTCTGCCAGTACAGACAGAAACGGAAGAAAAAAATGTAAAAAAAAAGAAAACTAATACTTAATAAATGCCACCTTCGCCTTACATTTAAATAGTTAGGATGGCCGTCTGTTCATCAAGTAAGCAACCAAACACTCGCTTTTTAAATGAGGAGACGCTTGCAAGCAGTTTCGTTTCAGTGGGTAAATCATTGTACATCTTTACAATCTGATAACTGAAGCTCCGTTTAAATAACTCCGTATTGTGGTTAGGAGGTGACAGAGCCCCCCTGAATCTCAAATTCAAGTTATGAATGTCAGTGCGATATTGAATTTTTTGGCATAAATATTGAGGCTTTTCTCTCTGAATTATGTTGTAATAAAACACACAACAATGCAGTTGCCTCCTACGGACCATATTAAGCCATTTTACCTCTGTCAACTTATGTGAAATTCTGTCATACTTCCTAATCCCGAAAATAAATCGCAGACAGGCGTTCTGAACCCTCTGTATGCGCTGCTCATCGACCCTAAGTAAAGACGGTCCATACACCACATCTCCAAAATTAAATTTTGATAAAATCAGCGCATTACAAAGTAGAGTCTTAGTGTTGACAGTGAGAAGATGGCGAGAGGGGTACAGAGCTTTTAGTTTACCAAACGCACCCTGAAGCATACTTGTCACGTGACTCCGGAATCTCAAATCCGAATCCATCACCAACCCTAAATTACGTGCTTCAGATACAATGGGGAGCGTTGATCTGTTGACCGTTACCCTGACATCTCCACCATAACGCAAAATATCCATTTTTCGGCCAAATATCATAACTTTTGATTTATTCGGATTGATTACTAAACTGTGATGGTTGGCGGCAGACACCAGATCCGACAATTCTATATTCAATAAATTCAGATAATGTTGTTGTTCTTGAGGTTTATATGATATATACACCTGAGTATCGTCTGCGTAAAAATGAACTTTGCAGTACTTAAAAATATTACTTAAAGGTGCTGTGTAAATTGAGAACAGGGTTGGGGAGAGCACAGAACCCTGCGCCACACCCGAGCCAAGAAGGCGTATTAGATTGATGGTTAGACAGCTGCACGTATTGTTGACGACCACTTAAGAAATTCTCAAAGAATGCAACTGCTGAATCTTCCAGCCCATAGTGCTTTAAAATAGTTAGTAAGAGGTTGTGATTTACTGTATCATATGCCTTCGTGTAATCCAATAGAACAAGTATAGTCATGTACCCTCTATCTGTTGCACCCATTATGTCATCGATTACACACGTTAAAGCAGTCGTACAACTGTGACCATGTCTAAATCCAGACTGAACCGAAGGAAGGATGTTATTAATTTCCAGGTGATGATGCAGTTGACCATTAATAATTTTTTCCATGATTTTTGACATTGCCGTTAGTATACTTATTGGACGAAGGTCAGAAACGAGGATCGGATTAGCAACTTTTGGAATCGGGCGCACGACTGCTACTTTCCACAAAGAAGGAAATACACTATTTTGAATACAAAAATTAACAAGATGTGTGACATAAGGCAGTAGAAATGGCATACAGTATTCTAATGTTTTAACCGATACTCCATCGGTACCAATTGCATTAATTGCATCGCTTTCAGATACTGTAGAAAATCTGAGAGGGATTACAACACGTTCATTTAAGTTGGAATACATATTATTATCAACGGTGGTATTAGTGCTGGGAAGCGAATCAATAAAGAAATCGTTAATAATAGGAGCATCTTGAAAGTGGTTGGGAAGCGATCTATGTTTGGACTTAATTAATTTCGTGGATTTCAAAGTATGCCAGGTCTTAGCACCGTTACCCAAATCCAAAAAATTTTGTAAATATTTTTGTTTACAATTACGATGCATATTTGTAACCAAGTTACGCGCCGTTTTATATAGCTGCCAATGCGCGGGGTCTCGTGAGCGCTTAAAAGATTGAAGCAGTTTATCTCGATTTTGCATTGCTGCTCTTAGTTCAGCAGATATCCAGGGGGCCCCTGGCTTAGTAATTCGAGCTTTCTTTAGCGGCGCGTGCAGATCCAATAGCACTAGTATATTTTCAGTTAGAAATCTAACTTTTTCATCTATAGTCTGTATCTCGTATAGAATTCGCCAGGGCAATGATTGTAAGTGCTCATAAAACATTAACTCGCTAAAACCAACGTAGTTCCGATATGTCTTGAAAAGGGGTACAACCCTCTCCTGTGGTGTATGTAGCTCAACAAAGACCAGAGAATGATCCGACAGATCATTATCCAACACCCCACTATCAGACACTAATTCATCGTTAGAGAACAGAATAACATCAAGCAAAGTGGCAGTTTTCGGGGTGACTCGTGTTGGCTCTTTAATTAGCCGCTGCAGTCCAAACACCTCCAGAGTATTAATCAATTCAGAAACAGCTGCCGTGTCAGATTTGAGCATATCTATGTTAAAGTCCCCAACGCATAAGACATCGTCAGCCAATAAAGTAACTTGTGCCAATACTTCTTCAAAGGAAGCTATAAAGTCTCCAGCAGCTATGTTCGGGGGCTTATAAATAACACCACACGATAACGATAATTTCTTCAGGGAAACTTTTATCTCAAGAACGAATTGAGATATGATGACGAAATAAAGATCATTTTAAAGCAAATTTAATGAAGATTTGATTTTCTATAAATAATTTCTTATTTTCCATAAATAATTTTTTTAAATCATACTTTGCACATTAAATTGTTTAAATTATGGTTTTTGATTAGGTAAAAAAATTGTGTTGATTTGAAATGAAATATAATTAAACATAACAATATAAAGAAGAAAATTTAATGTTACAAAGATTCAGGACAAAGTACAAAATAATCATTAAGTAGATTAATAGTAAAATTTAAAAAAAACCAATATCAAAATTCTGATCACAAATTCTGTTTCTTTTTTATAGTAACTTTCTTTAACCCCAATATTTTTTGTGACCTCCACCGCCGTAACCACCTCCAAATCCACCACCGTATCCACCTCCGTATCCACCTCCGAAACCGCCTCCGAATCCACCACCACCTCCGTAACCTCCACCATATCCACCGCCAAAACCACCACCATATCCACCGCCTAATCCACCGCCGTATCCTTTTCTATATCCACCATAACCACGTCTACCATAACCTCCACCACAACATCCTGGATTAGGAGCAGCAAACACTGCTACTAAGAAAATGACACACACCAACAAAATCTGCAAAAAATAATAATAAAAAAAATAACCATAAAAATTAAATTTTAGTTATAACAATTTAAATTTGTAACAAATATTATTACCTTAATCAAATTATGTTGAACCATGTTGTTTGAACACTGTTCCTTTGAAAGCAACAAAGTAAAGAAGATACATTCCCAGTAATTGAGCGGCTTTTATATACACACATGATGATGAGAGTGATGAGCGATGATGAGCCATAATCTCGAAGGTCAGTGGAAACCACAGCTTCTGCACAGGTAATTTGGGATTTGAATGAAGACGAGTGAAAAAAAATGCAAAAATTACCTTATTACGACATTGACTTTTTCAATATAGCGAGAATCGCTGCCCGTTAGAAACGATTAACTTGTTTTCAATCTTTTACTATGAACTTTTATGAATAATAAACAAAGAAAACTATTGAATTATACTACTATACTGGAACTAGTAATTTCATGTGGAAAAATCCATTTTTTTAGTTGTGTTCTTTAATATATTTATTAATAAAATCAAATTATTTTAAAGGATTTATATTTTACATGAAATTTTTCCTCATAAATAATAGTTAATTCTAATAAAAAAAATATGATGTAACGTGTAAAGTGTGTATGCTTTGGTTATTCCCGTGTATTCGTTAATAAAAAATTATAGCCGGTAGCGAGACCAGAATCTTCATAACTTGAGTCATCTTAACATGCGATCGTAATTCGGGAAGTACCTTGAGTAGCACCTTTGAGTACTCTTTAATTATTTTTTAATAATCCTTTTACATTTATAGCCATTGACGTAAATTGATTTGCGTTAGATCTTAATTAGTTTAAGTGATTTTCAATTAGCGTGGGTAAATCTTATATAAAATCTGGAATCGTTTCAAATCGCTCAGTTTTACTTTAACCTTTTCTCATGTCGGTTCTTTAGATTTATAAAATCCAATAATATCTTGATTGCCATTTTAACACATATTACACCCATAATAAAAATTCTTAAATTTATTTCACCATTCAGCCCTTTTAAGAACAAAGAGTAGCACATAAGAAAAAACTTTATTCAATTCAATAATGTTAATATTAATGTGTGAGCGAAACAAAGAAATTAATTTATCGTTAAATGATATCTACCAAAAAGCCTCAACGGAATAATTATTGTAAACAATGAGGATTAGAATAAACGAAGAGGAAAATTAATACAAGTAAGTATTGGAATTGCTAAACGAATAGAATCAGAAAGGACATTAAAAAGCCTAACAGCCTAATCGTGAATAAGTTTCAGATAAATGGATAAATTTCAAAAATGGAAATGTTCGAGTACTTATTGCATGGCAAATTCTATTTCAAGATTGCAGTTGGTAAATATATCGCTGAACTATTACACTTTACGTAGGTAGCTGCTAAAAATCTTTAGTTTTTTGCGGTTCTTTTCTCTGCTAGAACTTTTAGGTTGGATAGATAGATTGGTCTAATTTAACTTAGTAAACGCTTAGGTGTTTGTAAATTGATGATGTACGGATTCATCTTCTTGCCTTCAATATAGCGCCCTTTGCAACTTTCAGAGAGTTTCTAGTACAAGCATTTTTATAATTCATCTCTGCGATCATAGGCAAGTCAATGCAGCACATTCGCTGTAATTAAGTTAAAGAGTAGCAGACTGAGGCTATCTTCTTGATATTCCCTATTTCACATCCATACCTATCTAACAATTTTTGAGGCGAAACTACAAGCAGGTTATACTCGACAACGGTGAGAAAACCGGAATATGAAAAGAAGAACATCATGGACTCATGAAATTGTAGACCCAGTAGAAGGATATATCGGGTATGAAAATTGAAGCGGAAGAGTGTGCTGATAGACGATGATTCGGGGAGGTGCATGACTTTTAGCAAAAATCTATCAGATAATAGATATAACAGATATTCTCTAAATTTGATCACGTGTACGGTCACTGTGGTTGATATCAATTTCAAATAGTGTCCTTGGAAGATGGGTGGATGCATTTGCAAAAACCGTAATATACAGGGCAATGAAGAGTGTGGATGGTGCTGCGAGAGAAAGAGACATGGTTGTGGTCGTAATTAACTAGCGGTGTGATTGGAAGTGTATTTTGAGCATAACAAGCTATGTTAAAAGCTGAGGAAAGCGTTATGGATTTGCTTGGAGATGGTTTTAATACTCTTACGATTGCATTGTATGAATTATTTGATGATTATGATAACTGAGTAATACTAAACGAGGCTGATGATGAGGTTAACTTTCAGACTCGATAAAGATGTGGAATGGTGCATGGTATATAGGAATCTTAATTCAAACTACGGAGAGTGTTTAAGAGAAAGTAGATTTCATGGATATGCGAACGAAAATGTATGGTTAGACAGATTGGTTGAGAAGCGGACAAAATTGTCTGTGGCGAGAGAGTGTAATCACAAATACAGAAGCAGATGTGATGAGGAGTTGCGTAGATTGGAGATCTTTTTGGAACAGAGAAGAGAGTGTAGGAGTATAGGGTTCAGTCTTCCATCAAGGTAGAGACCAAGATATTTTGTTGATTTAACTTGAGGAATGAGGCATTCGTGATGTGAATCGACTTAAAAATGTTCAGCTACATTTTTCAATTCCTAGTCCATTTATGAATTTTGTCAATAGGTATTTAAAGTTTATCCACAACGGAACCTAGCCACCAACTTCTTCCCTTCCTCATCTCCTTCCAATAACAAGTATCTAGGCAGCCCCTCCGTTATTATGTCCCTGTACCTTTTGTTATACCTCTCCTCTTTTATTTGTGTCCTTCTTTCCTGTCTCTGCACATCTCGGTCCCTATCTCTCAACTCCCTCCACATCTCCCTATCCACCCTTCGTCTACTATTTATCTCAGTTACCGAGTAGCCCGCTCGTCTATAATAGTTGTCTCTGTCTCCTTTCCCATATCTGATCTTTCCCTCTCTAATTTCCCTCCAACACTCCCCCAAGATCCCGCAGTTTGGCCTCCCTTCTATTCTTTCTTCATATTTCACTGCTCTCCTGCCCGCCTCCACTCTGACCTTATCCACCTTTACCTCTTTCCTCACTATATACCCCGGTGTTTCTCTCGCCACCCCAAGCACCCATCTCCAGTATCTAGCTTGCACGTCCTCCAGCATTGCCTGCTCTCTCCATCCCCATACCTCTGCTCCATACATCATCACACTGCTAACCAGGCCTTCAAACATAATCTTCCTCGCTGCCACATTCCTTCCAAAAACTCTCTTCCCCCAACCCCATACTTGTCCCATCACCTTATTCGCCTTTTTTGCCATAGCTATCACATGCGACCCCTCCCTGTTGTCCTCCCTGAACACATACCCCAAGTAAGTATACTCCCTAACCTCCTCGATTTCTTTTCCCTCCCATCTCCAGTTTTCTGTTCTTTTTCTCCCACCCTTACAAAACTTCATCATCCTTGTCTTCCCCACATTCACTTCCAGCCCCTTCCCCCTAAAATATCTTTCCAATATCTTTATCATATCTTTCATCTCCGCCGCTTCTCTCGCCATGACCACGATGTCATCCGCGTATGCTAACATATGCACCTTTCTACCTCCTACCACCAACCCTCCCATGTTGTGGAAACGAGGAGAGAGCTAACAGATACTGGATGGCCGATGAGGAGAGGTGGTGTAGGCTAGGCAGGGAGGAATGGGAAACGTTGGAACATATGTTGAATGGGTGCAGTGAGTTGAGGGAGGAGGAGTTGGACTGAGGGCAGATCTTAGGAGAGGGGGGAGAGGGGAAACGATGGATGAGAATGGTTGTGGGGGTAAGGAGACAAAGGGAAGGATGAGGGGATGATTGGGCCGAGGAGCCGAGGGTATGGAAATGGCGGAAGAGGGTAGAGGGTGAAAATAATATACTAATAATATATATATTAGAATGTATTAAGGGGATAAAAATTGTAAATATTAAAAACAATAAAACGCTTATTATTATTTAAAGTTTATCCATAACTTTTATTTGATTTAATCAATTTTTTGGAAATTAATGAATAATAATGGAACCAAAGAAAAACAAGGTGTTGCTAACATTTACACTGTGTATTTAGTATTTAGTATCAATAAAATATATCAAAAGATGATTTTTTTTTAATTTTTCCAATTGCGTAATCTGAATAGGTTTAAAATTTTTTCAAGTAAAGATTTAATCTGGTTTATTAATATAAATTTGACACACCAACTCTTTTTGGTTAACTATTATTATTTGTCACAAAAATTTATCAATTTATAAATATTTTATGTCGACTTTAAAATTTATTACGGTAACAAAACAATAGGTCTTTGCATTTGTAAAACCTATATCTTGCATAATAACTATACACGTCGTGAATTATGGCCATTTATTGTATACGGTTTAGAAAATATCCTCCTACGATACAACCGTGACGTGAAAGAACCTGGCGCCTGGCATTCAATTTGTTGCTACTAACCATATTTGTGAATACTCAAATTAATCCCACACAGGTTATAACGTCACATTATGGGTTAGAAGATTTACTTATATTTACTTTTCTTCGTAATATTTCCTTTAATAATAATTATTAAAAGAAATATTACTAATTATTATCGAATCATTTCCAAATATCTCTTTTAATAAATTCTATTTCATAAAATTACAAATAATCAAAAATTTTAGAAGTTGAAAGGTCAGCGCGATATGATAACATAAATTTGCGATGGTATATAAACGTTTCCAAATTTAGTACATAGCTTAGTGTTTTACAAGAAAAATTAAAATGAAAATCGCCGTAAGTAAATAACTAAAATTAATTATCGTTATGAATTGGTATAAAATATTTCAGATTATAACCTGCCTATTTATTATTATCTGTACTATCCAAATTCAAGCGGTTTTCTGGCATCATCATCATCACCATTCATGTTGGTCTCATCATGGATATTGGTACAATTGCCATCAACAGATTTGCTTTTCTTCTAGTGGTTATTGGGAATACTGTAATCCCGTACCACATTATGTATTTTAAAACTTGAGTTGTTAATGAGATGATCAAATAAAACTTTTTTGTATCTTAATTTACCGTGATAGTGTCATTTTCATAGAAATTAAGTTGTAGTCTATTAATAAGATGATTTCTTTCAATGCGATTTGTCGATTGAATAAGCTTTAAGATGAAAATAAGCCCTGGTCTGCTATAAGTGGCTCGATTGAGTCCCACTACTCTCTTTTCGCCTGAAAACTGTGACAAGGTGGCCACTGCTTCGAGAAGAGCCAGTGTTGACTGTGAGCCTGATTGAGACTGTCTCTGGAGTGGACATAAAAAAAATAAACCATCTGAGTGTGTTCATCTCGAACGAGAGGCTGCAATATGGGGATGGGGGTTGGAGTGTTCTTTCTTGTAGCAACATGTTGTTACATGTTTGCTGAAGCCATTCCAGTTGATTCAGGTAGATTTATTAAAAAATAATTTTTACTTCTTAGTAAATTAATATTTATGTGTTCAAAAAGCTTTAAATTTAAGTTAACTTAAAAAGATTAAAACTTTATTATCTTCATTACCGTTTCTAAAACAGTGTACTTTAATTTAATGTGGAAGGGGATTGCCTAATTGGCAACCTTCCAATGGACTTAGGTGACAATTTATCGACGTCTTTATGTAATTTATTAGTGGAAGCTAAAAATACCTGTTAGAAACTCAATAAATCCCAAATTAAATTTATCCACTTCCTATAAGATATTTCAGATCTTCAATCACAATCATTTTGTTTGCAATGATTTAATAATAATCTCGTTGTGATATGAAACATATGACGTCACACATAACTTGGTAAATGACCGGAACAAATTGTCTAATGTTTCACACCTACGCTTTCTTTTGAAAAAGGCGGAAAATATTGCGTGATCTGGTTTAGGACATCATCGTTGCGACATCGAATAACCAAATTAGCGGAATTTTAAACCGCAAGATTGAATCAGATTTTTAAATAAACGCTTATCAAAATGAATTTTTTTTTCTTTTCAGCTTTAAGTAAAGAACTCGAATCTGTTATTGAACAAGACGACATTGTGTTCACTTTAAAACACATTAAACCGAAAAGAAGATCGCGCCATCCTGAAACGTTATTTTCAGTCGAGTTCCCCGGCTCTGAAAATAAGTTCTCGTTTTTACTGGATAGGATCGACAAAAACGGTAAGTATAATGGAAAAAGGTAGATATCTCCTTTTCCAGGTGTTACGCTGAAACTAGTCCAGTGAAAACACTATAGAGAGAAACCTTGTTACAGATTCCATGAACAATTTCACAATTTTATTTTATTCGCTTTAAAAATAAATATGTTTTAAATCGATTATAGTTATTATTATTTCATTATAGTTATAATAGAAACGATTGAGAATGGTCGCGATAGAGTCCAGCAGTTCACAGTTGACACTCTAGAAGACGATTCAGCAATCCGTTCGATGATTCTTGCGGTGAACCAGAAGCAGCCAGGAGCGCAAGTGACCTTGTACATCAATTGCGTATCATACGGTATGGTTGCAACGCCGAAAACGATGCGAGAAATGTTTACCAAGATGGACAATCCCCACGTGCAACTGGTAAGTTTATTCTTGGAAGACATTCCGGAAGCGCGATAATTAACCAAATCGTCTTAATCAACTTATAACCGGCGAGTTATTACAATTGCCTCGATTAAAAATTTGAGTGGGATTCGTACTTGAAATTTTTTAATTTTTAATTTCGATTTTCCACTCCTACTCGACCGTATAAATGCATACATTAAAAGACACCTGTTAAATTAGTAACTTTTAAATTATAATTAATTGTAATTAAAGAATTTTTGGAAGCAAAAATGGGAGGAGTTGGAACACTTATTCAAATAGCCTCGAAGGATATTTTTAATTTCATAATTACTATAACGGGAATTTTAGATAACTCGCAATATATGAATGGTATGAAAGTAATATTGTTATGGATGGCACTAATCAATATTTTCTCTGACATTTCTCTGGATAATCTACAACATCTCTCATTAAATAGCCAAGTAGTTCCTGATATCTTTAATTATAGACAGTAACATTTCTCAATGTCGTCAACCCAACTCAATAAATATGACCACCACTGATAAAAAATTCTGCATAATAATATTGCTCAACATTATTTTCTTCTTTTTATTTAGCAACCCAACCCAATATCTTACAATATCGTCCCTGCACGTCTTCCAAATTGTTTTTATAATTCGCGACTGTAATTAAAGCTATAACAGTCAAATGGATGCTGTAATGAGTCTCCTTACAGCATCCGATGCTGTAATGAGATTTTAGTAACATTTTATGGAACCAGTTCAAGTTGTTGACATTGGGTCATTAATTTTTCTAGTTGTCAATGTGACAATTTTTATCTATGGATGTTTAAACAGCTTCTTAGCATCGAATACAAGGTCTACAATGATGAGGACATTGAACTCTGAGCAATTTCTCTTATTTTGGGAGGTGTACATGAAAGATTTTTTTCAGATGAATACATTTTGTGTTTTGACAGTTTCTAATTGTCAATTCAAATTTGTAGTTTCAAGTGTTACCAACTGCTACATATCTATTTCCCTACATTGTTAAAATTTATTTTATTTTTGCTAAAAAAAAAAGGATAAAAGCGCGAATTACAAAAAATAGTATAAAAAACACGTTTCATAAAACTTAAAGCACTCATTCATTAAAATTAAATTGGAAACTTGAAGTTTTTTAATATACTATTACGCCATCCCTCATTATCACTATTTTTGTCTTCTTCATCATTTTCTTCAGCATCTGTCCATATCGTCCTTGATGTCTTTAATTATTATTTTCGACATTTATCAACATCGTCACAAATATTTCCCAATGTTGTCATTGATTTTCTCAAGAACTTCCAACATCTCTTAATACCATTCTTGTATCACTTAACAACGTTTCAAATATAATTGAATCTCATTTTAGTCCTTAACACTATCTTGATCTTCCTCAACATCTTCCCTATCATCATCATTGTTGATATTATTAAACATAGACTTTGCCAAAGTGTTTAATACATGTTTATTACCTACAATTAAACTGAAGTGATTGTCTTCGTCAATGACCCAGAAGAGACATGAACCCCTAATGGTAACACAATGCGCAATTCCTGGATACGAGGATATACAAGAGTAACTGACGTAATCAGGTTTGCTGCAAAGCAAAAATTGATGTTTGTTGGCTATTTAGCTAAGTTTCCACATGCACGGATTACTGGCGCCAGTACGAAGCCAGTTGTTTCCACATAAATGTTATAATTGTGTTATAACTTATTAATTTAATAATAAAAATGGCGTCTAGTGATGTACTTCGCGTTGGCATCAATGTGGTAGTCCAAATGTGCTCCTTGGAACTGCACACGTTATTAACAAAAAAAAGCGGAAGCATAATTGCTGAGTTACATCGTGGATTGCACGTAGAATTAACTTAGGTGCGTCTAGTACTTTAATTAAAGAATTATGCCATGAAGATCAGGAAGCATTTTTTAATCATTTAAGAATGACTGCAGAGAGTTTCATGTTTTTGTTGTGGCAAATATCCTCTAAAATACAAAAACAACATACGCATATGAGAGATGTCCTTCCAGCTCTCGTAAAATTGCAAGCAACTTTAACATTTTTGGCCTCTGGAGATTCTTTTACATCCTTGCAATATATGTATCGTTTGCCAAAAAGCACAATTTTTTGCTAGGTTTCGTCAAAATTAGGAACAGTTTTCTTCATAATTTCAACTATCCTTCTGACAGCTTCATTTCGTGCTTGTTGGTCCTTATATTGAGGAATTTTCTGATTCTACAAACAAGGATTTGTTTCTAAAAATAGTACTGTATCTTCTGATGTCTATTTTTTGGACGGTTTATTACTGGATTTGTTCATTTTAGTTGGACGAACACGTTTTCTTTATAAATACTGTTACTGGCGCCAAAAAGTAGAAGTAGCGTCAACTTTATTGGCGCTATGATTACTGGCACTAATTTTTTGGCGCCAGTGGTTTTTTGCTATTTCCAGATACAAATGAACTGGCGCCAGTAATCCGTGCTTAGCTTTTGGCACGTATGGAAACGGATAGATGGAGATATATCCAGAGATGGATGTTAAATGCTAAAGAAAAAGAAAACTTTTGTTACCCCAATATCGTTTCTATTATCATCTAGTATCGCCTCGTTTTTCTCAACATCGTCTTTTATACAGTCTTTATAATATCAATAACATAATATCTGACATCACGCAATATTATTCTGACCTCTTTCAACATCTTGCTGGAGGAAAACAATATTATCTATCAATATCATTGAAACATTAACTCTGTAACATTATCATTGACATCCTCGAATATCCAACATTATTTATGGTATCAAAATTATGTCCAACATATTTCAACACTAGTCAGGCTTCAATTAACATTACCAACATCGTCTCTACATCTGCATCATGGCGTCCTTAATACAATTTTTAACATTATTGAGAAATATCATACTACCCCTTTCTCAACATTTTTTTCAACATCTATCTATACAATTTTTGATATTACTAAATATCCTCCATGATATCTCTCGACATCGTCGATGTTATCCTCGAATACCTTCCTTGATCTTCCTCCACATCGCCTATACCATCAAATTAGTGTTATATCTAGAATTATATCTTCCCCAACATATTTTATATCTCTAAGCATCATCTCTGATATCTCTCAATATTATTTCAGATATTCTCCAACAGCATTATTTATGAAAGTCCTTTCTAATTAATTGATTTAAATTTCTATTTGTTTCATCAACATAAAGGATTAGAAATTGAACAGTTAACAGGTTTGTTTAAAACTTTCTTTCAGTTTTGGAATCATTGAATATAATTGTTATGAACACCATTTATTCCTTATTTTGACCATAATAGAAATTGAAAAAGCGTTAAATTTTATTTCAATAAAATTTATTTATATCATTCTGAACATAATAAATCAAAACAATCTATTCTTATAAGGAAAACGCATTTCCAGGTCAATTATTCGATATCCAAACGAGTACGCACAATATTACGACATAATATTGCATAAAATCTGCGCAGTTGTGAAACATGATACTTTAAATGAAATATGTTTAACCATCCAGATTATGAAAAAAATTGGACCAGATTTTTAACATTTTTTTTGTGTCTATTTAAAAAAAAAGCAATATGGAAATGTTTACTTGAATAATATAAAACGTTTTCGTATTTACCTTGGCTCTCGGACAGTGACAGAGATTACGGTAGTCTCGAAGCAGTTACATGTGTGTCGTATCCCTTTTATGGGAATGTCCGTAACGCAGTCACGTTGCTTCACTCTCATCGTTTGCTAAAAGAGATAATATCGAAAACATTGTCCAGATAAAATCTAAAACAGTTAAAAAACAGTTTCAAGTCAAAATAATCATTAAAATGTCTATTGTCATTCGTAGACTCAACCTGAAATTTCCACATAAAACTAGAAATAATATTACAATAAATCGATTTTTATTTGGTAAAAAAAGTACTCAAAAAGATTCGACGTGTGTAGTACAAGAAAAGAATTGGGTTTCTTATGGATTTGATAGAAAAAACATTCACGATGATCGAAGAGGTATGCATTCGACATTTTTCTTCGGCGTTAGTTTGTGTCTCGTTGGTGGAATTTTCTTTTACTCCTTTGCTCCGCATCCCACGAGAGATTGGGCGCATAGAGAAGCATTTTTGGAGTTAAAAAGACGAGAAGACAATCAATTACCCCTCGTTGATCCGAACTTAATTAATCCAGATAACATAATCCTCCCAACCGACGAAGAATTAGAAAACGTCGAGATTATTATATAAAATCTTACTAAAATAAAAAAAAAACTTTTATGATTTTAGTTTTGAAATTAAATATCTACACGCGAAGATGAAAATCTTAAAATAAAATTTATTTTCGTCTACGAGTGAAAAGTGGCCTAGTTATGATGACGTTTCGCTTCAAATTTGTTACACTTTAATTAGTTTAAAATAAAATGCCATGAAAATAATTACAAAAGCAAGTTGTACGTCAACATCTGTTAGTTGAGTTGTTAATCGTTAAATTATGTATATTTATTCTAATTGAAAAAGTACGCGGTATGCATAAATTATTACAGCAAAGTTGTTGTTTCAATTAAATTTTCATTAATTTCATTTTTTTTTGATTTATAGTTCAGAGAAAAAAAGCATCACCTCTCAATCGAAAAACACACAAACATCCATAAAATTTTCACTGAAAACCACTGCCCACCCAGCATAATCAACACCCACACAAAACGCAATCTCGACTCAATGTTTGATTTGGCACCCACCAAAAACGACTTAGAATTCGATCACAACGTTCAAGCTCAACAACCAATCGTTACTAGTTTTAGAGGCGACATCGATCTAGTCCATAACGAAGATAGTATTTTAAAAGCGTTAAATGAATTGATTATTTCCGTTAATCGAATGAATCATAACATGGAAACTCAAACTAAAACGATTCAACAGCTACAAGATTTCTTTAGGGAATGTGATATTTGTAGCGCCTCTAATATCGAAAGACCAAATTGTAGAACTCACCCGCCTAGATGTGCGCATGGTGTTGAGTGTGTAGACACTAATGATGGTCCAAGATGTGGGCAATGTCCTCATGGAACGATTGGAGATGGTTATACTTGCAAACCTGGGTATACATGTGCCCAAAGACCTTGTTATGAAGGAGTTCGTTGTCATGATACTGCTGAAGGTGCTAGATGTGGACAATGCCCTCCGGGATATACCGGCGATGGGTTCCATTGTCAAGAAGAAAATACTTGTTCGAGAAGAAATCCGTGTTTTAGTGGAGTTGAATGTTACGATACACCTTCAGGACCGAGATGTGGATCATGTCCTTCCGGTTATTCCGGAGACGGTATACATTGTTCAAGAGAAAATGCATGCGATCGAAATCCTTGTTATGCCGGTGTTGAATGTCACGAGACCCCATCTGGTGCTCGATGCGGTCCTTGCCCAAGAGGTTACACTGGAAATGGTTACATGTGTCATCCAGATGGAAGTTGTGCTTGGAATCCTTGTTTTGAAGGTGTGGAGTGTCGAGATACGGGTGCTGGAGCTGAATGCGGCCCATGTCCTCGAGGCTATATAGGAGATGGTCGTCAATGTCGACCTGGAAAGAAATGTTCTGATAGGCCCTGTTTTGAAGGGGTTAGGTGCCACGACACCGATCAAGGAGCTAGATGTGGACCTTGCCCACCCGGTTATGAAGGAAATGGGGAAACTTGTAGAAAGGTTTGCGACCTAGCCAGGTGTCAACAGGGTAAGTGCCGCTTAATATGTCAATAGAAGACACGCAAAAGCTTTTGCTGTGTTACACCCAAAAGAGGTTGCTTGGAAAATCTTATTTGTGTCTCTTTTAGTTTACTTGGGTTTCGTTTTTTATATGTTAGAATTAAGACTCTTCATTTTTCTTCAAAACAAAAAAAATGTATTTATAACAGCATATTGCACAGTGTAATTCTTTTGGTCTATTTTCACATGCACCTACTAATACAAAATGTGGGTCGAGTAGCAGGTCTGTGCTAAAATGCCATGTACAAAGCTAAATAGATAAATTAGTGGAATAGATTTTATTAGTGTAGAATCATTGAGTAAAGTAAATGGTGTTTTATGTTCCACAGTTACCAATAGAAGATGTTATTGGCAATGCAAATAAATCATTTTGGAGAATTTTTTTTAATCATTTTGATAGTGCTACTAAACTTTTTTTAAACTTCACACTGTGTACGCTCTTATTTTAGATTAATGTAAATATAGTTCTTTTCGCCACAGAAAACCTTGTTTTATTTCGAGTCCACCCAACAAAATAAAAAAAAACTTGAAGTGGGAAATAAATTATGGAGATGCATGACATTTTAGGACGGTGTTGCTACCGAATGTATGTGAAAATGGACGTAGATCTAGCGGGGATATCCTTTTATAGGTACCAGATGTGAACCGACAACGACACCTCCTTATTACAAATGTGTGGGATGTCCTCAAGGATTTATCGGAAACACGACTCATTGTAGAGATGTTGATGAAGTAAGTTGATATGTAACGGACGATATCGATCATCGTGATGAATATTCAATTTGTTTACATGATTAGAATTGTTTAAATTTTTTTTATATCTATAGTGTGACCTTTACGAACCTTGCGATCAAATGGTAGAATGTCATAATCTTAGTCCCGGTTACGAATGCGGTCCTTGCCCACCTGGTTACACGGGAAGTTCAGGATTTAGAGGATCCGGACCAGAAGATGCTAGAAGACATAGACAAAGATGTTACGATATAGATGAATGTGCTGATGGTTCTAGAAGATGTCCTCCAAACGCTGTTTGTAGAAATCTCGAAGTAAATATTTGCGTTAATTAAAAAATCATTATTATGCACTTGCACTGTCTTGCATAGTTTTTCAAGTTGACGTTTATGTGTCAAATTAATGTCTGCTTAGTATAATTCATTAACCAGTAGTACTCAAACTTGTAAACCCTTAACTTTATCATATCACATCTTAAGAAGGTCAAAGAATGGGACATTGTTTTATAAGAATTTTTTATTCAGAAAGAGACCCCTCAAATTTTTTCTACTCATACCTGATACACCCTGTATATTTATAGGGATCTTATGAATGCGTTGGAAGAGGTGATAATTTCTGCGCGGATGGAACTCAATGTAACGAAAACGCGGTTTGTTCTTACGTTGGATACAACCGCTACGTGTGTAAATGCAGAACTGGTTGGGCTGGAAATGGGCAATACTGCGGAAGAGATTCCGATTTAGACGGATGGCCTGATCACCAACTTCCATGCAATGACGAGCGATGCAAAAAAGATAATTGCCCCGACACTCCTAATTCAGGGCAAGAAAATGCTGATGGTGACGAATGGGGTGATGTTTGTGATGAGGACGCTGACAATGATAACATCATAAATGACCCTGTATTTATTTATTTTTATATTATAAATCAAATAATAATATCACATTTTTTAGGATAATTGCCCTTTAGTTCCAAATCCAGATCAAAGCGACACAGATGTGGGTGGAGGTGATAATCAAGGAGACGCCTGCGATAATTGCCCGACAGTTCCAAATCCATTCCAAGAGGATATGGATAACGACGGCATCGGAGATGCTTGTGACGATGATATGGATGGAGATGGTGTTGAAAATTACAGAGATAATTGCCCAAAAAAGCACAATCCCGATCAAGGAGATCGTGATAATGATGGAGTTGGCGATCTTTGCGATAATTGTTTAATGAGACGAAATCCCGATCAAACTGATAGGGATGGAAATTTAGTTGGTGATGCTTGCGATACTGGAAGAGACACCGATTTGTAAATACTTCAAAAATAAAGCCATAACAAAAAAAATTATCAATAATTTTTAGTGATGGAATAATCGATCAAAGAGATAATTGTAAACACATCCCAAATAGTGACCAACAAGATATTGATGGGGATGGAATAGGAGATGCTTGCGATAACGACATCGATGATGATGGAGTACCAAACAACAAAGATAATTGTATCTTAATGCATAATCCAGATCAAAAGGATTCCGACAGTAATTTATTATATTTCGTTACGTACAAATTTAAAAAAAATATATTTTTAGATGACGGAAAAGGTGATGCATGCTCCGGAGACAACGATGGTGATGGTGTTCCAGATTTAATCGACACATGCCCAAACAACACCCACATCCACAGAACCGATTTCAGTACATATCAAACCGTAGTTCTCGACCCCGAAGGTGAAGCTCAAAAAGATCCTAATTGGATCATTTATAACCGAGGTGCCGAAATTGTTCAAACAATCAACAGCGATCCAGGATTAGCTGTTGGATACGATTCGATTGGCTCCGTTGATTTTGAAGGAACCTTTTTTGTTGACACCGAAATAGATGATGACTACGTTGGATTCATCTTTAGTTATCAAAGTTATAAAAGATTTTACGCGGTTATGTGGAAAAAGAATTCACAAACGTATTGGCACGCTTCGCCATTTAGGGCGGTCGCTGAGCCTGGAATTCAAATTAAATTGATCGATTCGAATACTGGACCCGGCGAAATGCTTCGAAATTCGTTGTGGCACTCTGGAAATACAACCGGTCAGGTTAATCTTCTTTGGAAGGATCCGAAAAATATCGGATGGAGTGCTAGAAAATCTTATAGATGGTTTTTGATGCATAGACCAAGAATTGGGTTGATTAGGCTTAGGATTTTCGAAGGTGATAGGATGGTTTCTGATTCCGGAAACATTTTTGATTCAACTTTAAGAGGTGGCCGATTGGGAGTTTTGTGTTTTTCGCAAGAAATGGTTATATGGTCAGATTTAGTGTATAAATGTAACGGTAAGTAATAATCATAAAATAATTAAAAGAATCGTTTTATAAACTTCATTTGTTTTAGATAACGTTCCAGCCAGCGTTTATAACGAATTACCTCACGATTTAAGAAAACACGTTCAATCGGAATGATAAATTTTTAATTAAAACAATCTATACTTAAATTAATAATTTCCTTTGTATTTGATAACATTTGATTTGTAAGTTTTTGTATGCGTTTTTTTAACGATTGGAGATAAATGTAAATAAACATTTTTATTAATTAAACAATTTTCTTATATTAATTAAGTTTTGTGGTAAACACATACAATAATTCCATTTCATTCCAGTCGCACAATTAATTTAATCCACACATTTTAATGCTTCTAACCAAAATGGGCAAGTTAAAAGAAAGAAACTGAAAATGGCAGAAAACGACTGAAGAGAGATTGGAAAGCCATGCAGTGGACTGGGCAGAAAGATGAAAGACTAAAAAGCGAATATTAAGACAAGAAATACACTAAGCGGAGAAGTGGTATGCTCGAAAAAGACTAATAATAGAAGAATGCAACTGAACAGAGACTGGGAATGTAAAAGCAAGAAATATACTACACAGAGAGGACGAATATTGGAAAGAGACTGGTAATAGAAAATAGGGACTCATTAGAGGCTGGAAGGAACGAAACAAAGTAGAGATGAAGGACACGAGAAAGTGGTTGTAAAAGCAAAAGTGATTAGGCAGAAAAGGGGAAGGTAGGAAAAGACTGAAAATGGAACCAAGCAACTAAATAAAAATTGGAAACGCAGGAAGGAGACCAGGCAAAAAGAAGGGAGACTAAAAAAAGGTGGATAAGTAAGCGGGAGGCTAGACAAAGAATAGGAAGCTGCTAATAAAAGATGGAGAGTTACCAGGGACTGGAAAAGCCGGAAGGAGACCGGGCAGAAATGAGGGAGGCTGAGAGGAACTATTAATACTAAGACTATCCTTGGTTAAGGAGACTCCGGAATATATCATCAGGGCAGAAATGAAGGTAGATAAGGTAAGATGAGAGTGAGGGCATGTTTGGAAGAGATTGCAGGAAAGAGTCGTTATGGGCAGCGAGAAAGGGGGGAATACTATAGGAAAGAAGGGTATTCAACGGATGAAGTGAACAGGAAGAAAAAGGAGAAGATTGAGATGTGGAAACAACTGGAGAGCAGGCACAGAGACCAGGTGCAATAAATACTGCTTGCAGAAGACTAAATGGTGTTAATAGAAGACTAGATACTGTTTGCAGAAGATTTGATACTACTGGCAGAAGATCAACTATTATTAATAGAGACGTATGTACCGTTTACAGAATATTAACTAGTGGAGAAGACTTGATGCTGTTAGTAGAAGGTTATTTACAGTAGAACTTAGAACTACTGCTTTTAGTAGATTTTATATTATTTGCAGAAGACTGGGTAGTGTTAATAGAAAATGGGGTGCTATTTACAGAACATTATATACAGTTGGCAGAAGATTTCAGGTAGCATCTCAATGCAGAAGACTAGATATTTTTAATACAACACTAGGTACTGGTTGGAGAAGACTAGGTATTGTTTGCAAAAGATGAGAAAGTGGTTGTAAAAGCAAAAGTGATTAGGCAGAAAAGGGGAAGGTAGGAAAAGACTGAAAATGGAACCAAGCAACCAAATAAAAATTGGAAACGCAGGAAGGAGACTAGGCAAAAAGAAGGGAGACTAAAAAAAGGTGGATAAGTAAGAGGGAGGCTAGACAAAGAATAGGAAGCTGCAAATAAAAGATGGAGAGTTACCAGGGACTGAAAAAGCCGGAAGGAGACCGGGCAGAAATGAGGGAGGCTGAGAGGAACTATTAATACTAAGACTATCCTTGGCTAAGGAGACTCCGGAATAAATCATCAGGGCAGAAATGAAGGTAGATAAGGTAAGATGAGAGTGAGGGCATGTTTGGAAGAGATTGCAGGAAAGAATCGTTATAGGCAGCGAGAAAGGGGGGAATACTATAGGAAAGAAGAGTATTCAACGGATGAAGTGAACAGGAAGAAAAAGGAGAAGATTGAGATGTGGAAACAACTGGAGAGCAGGCACAGAGATGTGGGAATGCAAGAGACTAATGGAAAGTAGGTACAACCCAAAATATGGCGAAATTGTAGCGGAGAGGCTACTAAAGTACCTAATGACGAAGGGTGAGGGGGGAAGAGGTTGGTATAAATTCAGCAATGAAGAAAGGACCAACTGATATTTAAATGGAGGATGAGGAGAGGGGGTGTAGACTATGTGGGGAGGGCTGTGAGTCTTTATACCATCTGCTAATGCAGTGTAGTGAGAGGGTAAAGGGAAGGAGATGAATGAGTGAGCTGGTGGCAGTGAGTGACGTAGGGATACAGGGAGAGGCTGGGGAAAGGAATAGGAATTATATAGGTTATTGTAGTTTTAAATTGTAACCTTCTGGGAAACAATAAATTATTATTAGTATTAATATTAAGACTAGGAAATGTCTGCAAATGTAGGAAAGTTAATAGGCAGAAAAGAGGAATATTAAAAAAAGTATTGGTAATAGAAAAACAACTTTTAATATAGACTGAAAAGGCAGGAAGAAGACTCGACTTGAGACACTTAAAAGAAAAGAATGATACTAGAAGACTGTGTAATTTGTGGCATTGAGTGATGTAGTTTTTCAATTATCCACTCCATAGTACCAAAAACGTCAGTAACAAGTAGTCAGAAAAACATAAAAGCTCAAGAAGCAACTTAAAGAACCTCTAGAGGCACAGATTGCATAATCTTATCTTTTGCTTTTCATTCCCATCATCCATTCCTTTTTCAAATCAACTTCATTAATATTTCTAGTTTTAAATGTAATTGTAATAAATTAAAAAACTCAAAAAATTTCATGCTTATTTATTAACCAGTTATATGTCCCACGCTTTACAAAAAAATATATTAGTAAATTTATAACAAATTTTTTTATAATGTTAATAATTAATTATTAATTTTCGTGTCCGATTTCAAACGTTGTACTAGATAATAGTAATAAAATCAATTATAATTAAACATTAACGGCAGTAATTTTCTTATAAAATACTTTCTTAATTAATTAATTAATTAAAAATATTTTAATTTATAACTTATTAAAAAAAGTAATTGGTCCCAAAAATCTTCTTTATCGCGATTTCATCAAGTTATAGCGTTATTAACTAAATCAAGTTAATCTTTAAAATAATAACATACATTTATTATTTAACATTACGAATATTTGAGTCGATACGATGGATTTATTTACATTGAGGCGACAACTAACGTTTCTACTAAGTTCACAATTGGAATTTCTACACATTCATGGAAAACAAGAAGTTTGATTAAATATTAAACGACGAGTATAATAAATTACTATCAACGTTTTATTATAATTTTTTTTTAATTTCTTATTATTTTCACTGGAACTTTGAATAATACAATCTTGAGTATTGAACGCACTCGTTTAAGTTGATATTAAATTGCTTTTAAAATTGCATTTAACGTGGATAATTACCCTGGCACATTATATTTGGCTGTCTGAACATTTTGAATTACACACGAATTCAGACTAGATTACAATTTTATTTTTGATACACTTGGTTCTTTGTAAAGAACTATACGTGTGAGTCTGCTTTTGCTATTTCAACCAATTCGTGAGGATCTGCGTTTAATCGATCTATGTCGTCCATTTTAGACAATTCATTTTTGCTTAAAGAATCCACTATACAGCTTCCAAGACTGTCACCAATTACGTTTATTGTAGTACGGAAACGATCTCTAAAAATTTCAAACAAAAATTAATTTAAAATAAAGAATAATTTTAATAACACCCTTACAAAAGCCAATCTACAGCTAAGATGTAGGAAATATCGCTAGATGGGAGTCCAACAGTATCTAAAACCATCACCATTGTAACTAACCCAGCTTGTGGGATTCCAGCAGCTCCAATACTTGCAAATGTGGCAGTTATACTAAAAAAGATTTTTTTTAAAATTACATATTCATTTTTGTTCAAATTAAATTAAAGTTACCTCACAGCTATGAGTTGCCCAAATGAGTACGGAACCTTTCTAAATTGAGCGATAAATATAGCTGCAACAGCTTCGTATAAAGCCGTTCCATCCATGTTAATAGTTGACCCAACCGGAATCACAAATCTCGTTACTCTAGGATCAATACCCATATCGTCCAATGTTTGGATTGTTAATGGCATTGTTGCTGAACTAAAAAATTATATCGTCTCAAGAACATAAAATTTTCTTTGGCAAAATAAAATTAAATACCTCGATGCTGTTCCAAACGCGGTAACCAAAACCTGACTCAACCCGCCAAGAACTTTGAAAGGAAGTTTTCTTGTAACCAAAAAATAAAGGATTGATAACGTGATGAAGCAGTGGACCAATAAACCGATTAGAACGGTCATGAAGTAAAGTCCTAGTTTTTCTACTAAACCGGCAAAACTTTTTGTTTCGAGTACTTGAGCAGCCACCAAAAAGAAAACACCGACTGGCGAAAACCTAATAATTATTTTTTATTAATTAATAAATTTACCAACTAATACATTTTGTTTACCAAATAACCCATCTTGTAATCACCATCATAGCTTCACTAGTACTTTGGAAGAAATTTAGAAGTGTTTTCCCCTTTTCCTTCATCATTCCCAAAGCGACTCCAAGAATTATCGCGAATACCACTAAACCAAGAACATTCGTGGTGTTTTCGTAACGATTCGTTATTGTATAATCGGTTAAAGGAATTTCTTTTTCTGGATCTTAAAAATTAATTATTTAATTAATATAATCAAGTAATATCAATTTAAGTTTATAAAGATATCGTTTCGTTGCATTAGAATAACAATTTCAATTCATGAAATAAAGTATCACACATTATCTAATTATCGCCACCATAGTAGTACCCAAGTATTGTTTGCAGAAAATATTTACATAAGAAATACTGTTATCTTACTACTATCTTCATTAGATACTGCGTGTAAAAGACTAGGTAGAATAAATACTGCTTGCAGAAGACTAAATGGTGTTAATAGAAGACTAGATAGTGTTTGCAGAAGATTTGATACTACTGGCAGAAGATCCACTATTATTAATAGAGATGTATGTACCGTTTACAGAATATTAACTAGTGGCAGAAGACTTGATGCTGTTAGTAGAAGGTTATTTACAGTTTATAGAACATCAGATACTGCTTTTAGTAGATTTTATATTACTTGCAGAAGACTGGGTAGTGTTACAGAACATTATATACAGTTGGCAGAAGATTTCAGGTAGCATCTCAATGTGCAGAAGACTAAATATTTTTAATACAACACTAGGTACTGGTTGGAGAAGACTAGGTATTGTTTGCAAAAGATTATGTACTGCTTGCAGAAGACTAAAACATTGTTTGCAGGAGACTAGATACTTGAAAAGGATTAAGAGCTATTAACAGAAGACTAGATGAGACTATTATCCGTGCCAAAAGTCAAGGCCCCTCACTTTAGAGGTTGATATCTTCACAACCGCTCGATAAAAATAATTGCGGTAAAGTTTGTTGTAATTACTGAACATTTCTACGTAAAATATGTTAATTTGAAAATTTTCTGATTCTCGGTTTTGTTTTTATCGCGAGTGAAATGAAAAAAGTATCCGATTTTTTACGGTGCCGTCAACTTTGTCAACTTTACGATTTTTTTTCTCAAAAACTATCTAACGAAAAATGAATTGGTGGTAGCCTCGACTTTTGCCACCGATAGTAGTTTAGAACTAGACTGAGAAGCTATCTTAGCAAGAAATAAAAACAGCGTTATCGTCTTGGATCTCCGCATCGTGAAGTAGAATTTTCGGTAATGTTGTAATAGTTTGAAATCACATGGCAGAAAATTACATAGTTCTTCCAAAGCACGAAAATTTGCATGTAGAAAAATAGATACTGGTTGCAGAAGATTAACTACTGCTTGAAAAATCGGTCATCTATTAATCTATGGTTTAATGTTTAGCAATTGATGATGAACTTAATTTAATTCTGAATTCAAGAACGTCTCAACCAAATCTCATAGGGAATTCAAAAATATCGCAACCCCACTACATTCTTTTGCATGAAATTTTGTTTCAACCCAAATCTTTCCAAAATATAAAAATGAAGAAAATGGCCCATTTAGTTGCATTAAGCCGAGGTAGCCGAGACTCCAAACTGATACCATGTTGATGCAAAAGCTAAATAGGTTTTACGAAAAATGTTGTTTTAATTAAGACAAGGTTGCTTGCGGCCGAGGAGCTACAACAAAACTAAATCTATATAGAAAATAAAGATTTTTAAAGAAAATGCACATTTTACTCTGATTAAGTCGACGATGGTGCTAGGTTAGTACCATATTGATACAAAATTGAAGTTTTCAAGGAAAAATACTTGTTTTGGGTTAATTAAATCTAGGTCGATATCGGCCGAGACGCTACATTATACCAACGCTACTTATATTGATAGTAATTTAGTAGTTTTAAAAGAAAATAATTACTTCTTTGATATTGTGCTTGAAATTTCTCTTCCAATCTTTATCCAGTAGAATACTCCTTACTTAGTTGTGCACATAAATTGTCATAAATTTTGTTATTCTAATGCGACGATTCATAAACTGATGGTATTTTAATTATAAATATATTTTTACCTGAATTATCTTTTGGTGGGGCAACGAGAACTGTTTGATACTAAAATTTAACAAAAAGAAATGAATCAATGTATCATGAAACAAATTTACGTTAATATTGTATGATCATAAAACTCGTTCTTGGTACGATTACAAGTATAAATTACCATATTTATGAAGTGTTTAATGAAGTGTACTGCGTACACGTGCTGATTTAAAACTTGGTTAACCCGTTGTCGTAACCTTGCTATTTTAAAATATAAACAGTAATTACGTATTGATTTTTCTGTTTGTTAGTTTCAAAATATCGGAGGCTGAGTTGAACAAAATTCGAGGAATTATTGGAACCCCGTCGAATAATAATCCGCTTAAATAATACTTTGTACATTTATTCGTTCAATTTGCATCGAATATTAGAAATAAATCCATCGAAATGGATTGAATGGAAATGTACTGGATTTGTAAAAGGGGATTTATTTGTACGAGTAAAAAGTACTAATTATGAATTTATCAAGTTGTTGATTACTAAAGGATCGGATTAAACGTTGACTTAATGATGTTTGTCCTACTTTTTATAAGATCCCAAACCTTGACCTTTCCGAAAAGATTTCAGTAGGAATTACAAATTTCGTTTTGAAAATGGGCAATAAAATTTTTAAAATGATTTTAAATGCCCTACTTTTTATGAGATATTCTTTGACCTTAATACGTTATAATAAAATTAAGTAATTTTGAATAATATGGAAAGTTCCATATAATAAATTTTTTATTATACACGTTTTTGTTTTCTTACCTGAGCAAATGTGGCTTGAATTAAATTCGGTGGAAACAAATTTCTGCAACAAAACGAAAAAGAAAGATGTGAGTGAGATGTTGTGGTAGAATCAAAAAATAGAGATTACGAAGATGTATAATTGCTAATAATCACATTACACGAAGTTATTTTCCGTGCCAAATTGATCTCTACAACTCGGGCCGACGTCGCCGCAAGAGCCGTTCCGAAACCGGATACACCGTGACATGAGATCATTAGCATCAACATCGAAATTTCCTGCCCCAATAAGCTATGTCCTGCTAGCGGTTCCATCGCAGTACAACATTTGCCATTTCAACTCCGACATTGCAAGGTGTCCTGTTGTGAAAGGATCGCCTTTTTCCGTATATTAAAATTTATTTTAATCGACTAATTTTTAATTTGATTTATTAAACTGAATTAAAATGACGAATTTTTTTAATCTTACCGTATTAAATCCATTAATGTATCTTGAGTTAAAACATTTCGCACAGATTGAACTTGAGACGTTTCATTCCCAAACTTTTCAGAAAGTCCAGCACCAGGTCGGATGGTAACCACCAAAATAATTCCAAGGGTTACAGCGAGGACTGTAGTTACAGCGTAATAACCAATTGATCGGAAAGCAATTTTCTTGGATAATGATAAATCCAAGGAACCCACAGCGCTAACCACCGAAGATACTAACAACGGGACAATTAACATTTTTAACATTCGCAAGAAAATTTTTCCTGGAAACTCTAGGTACATTATATGACGTTTTGACCAAGGGTCGGTTGAGCTTCTTAAGGAAATCCCGAGAATTACTCCTCCAAAAACACCAACTACCGTGAGGATCGTTAATAAATTATCCTTAAGGAAGGATTTTTTCTTTTGGAATATCTTCATTTTCTGGAAATTAAAAGAAAAAAATTATTTTATTATCAACAACCTCAATAAACATTCTAGTAAATCATAATTTTGCAATAACTGGTCAAGATCAACCAACAGCTGTGCGATAAAATTGATATAATTCATAAACAAAACATTTAAAGAAAAAAAAAGTTCATATTGATAATTTCTTATCACTCTATTTATTAATATTTTAATCGATTTAAAAGAAAACTAATATTTATTGACTCACACATTAATCCGAACGAATTTAATTTGCGATATTGTTATGTGTTACTTACGCCCTAATTAAAGGAAATACTGTGGATGTGGGGGACAGTGAATTATGCCTCCCGTCGACTCGTATTTGAACATGTGCAAAGGATGTTGTATTGTATTTGCACGGAGATTACTTTGTTAAAAAAATATTCTCAAAATATTATAAAACGAGCAATTAATATTTGCTCAAGTTTCATAAGACACCTTTTGTGATAAAAAAATTTAAAAAAATATATTTTTTATTATACAATCGGAACGAGCCAAAAGTCGTTTCGAAATCGCAAAGGTTTCTTCTCGTTTTATATTTAGAATTGGGCAAAAGTGCCAACTCCGACCGCATACTATTTTTCCTCAAATATAAATCTACCATCATGATGAATTAGAGTCTGTTTTAAAATTTTACACATAACTTAAAGAAAAAAATATTTTAAAGTAATTATTCGTTAATTATATAAAATGTATAGTTATGTCCACTGCTTTGTCGTAGCATTCCTTAAGCTTTCCGTCTTGATGACAAATGAGATTAAATTTAGTTCTGGTGTTTAAGAATTTGGGACACGAACTTTAAAGTTGAGGAGTTTTTTTTTAGGCGGAAGGTTAAATGAGGTAATAAAAATAATTTTTGAAATCTCGGAATTTAAACGTAAACTAAGAATAATCGTAAAAAAATTTTCGTATTGGATAACATGAAAATAAATAAATAATAAAATAGACTTCGCACATAACTGCTATCAACATACCAAGGTTATGATGTTTTGTCTGTATTCCTCGCCTATTTTTAATAAGTTTCGATTGTGTCAATATACAAAAGCTGTTGGTACGCTAACACCACAACGACTACAAGTTGCAGGCAGATGAGACTCTACAATTGAGATTTGTAGTGTTGAAGTTGTTGGTTACTGAGACCCTGCAATTCAAATCATCTTCTTAGTGTACTCTCATCAGACCTACTATCTTCCTTATTGATCAATAATAAATGTTAATGTCGTGGATATATCATATCTTTGATAACCTTTGGAAATAGGTCCTTTGAAAATAGTTGCCAGTATACTAGAATCATGGTAGTTTTTCTTTTTTGGTGAATAAATTGGAGTCAATGTTGATGGTTACGGAGTTGCTGCAATTGAGATCTTCTATTCAGTATAGTCTGTGCTACTATCTCTCTAACCAAACAAGAACCTCTTGGATACAAGCTTCCAGGTTTAAATCGAAATTAACTTTGCAGGCGGATAAGTGTCAAAAATAGAAACAAATTTATCGTGAAGTAATTTAATTGTAATCGTAAACCAGAAACATGTCCTTGTTGTACACTTCACCAATTTCATGGATACGTGCCAATTTTGTGAATCCAAACATATAAAGTCGTTACATATGAAAGTTTTCTAAAAGCCATTACAACAAAATCAAAACAATTATACAAGATAAATCTTAAACGAAAATGTTTGTCCCACTATAACCATTTTGTGTAAATGCGAAACTGATATCTATTATAAAAACACAACAAACTTTTCAGGCGCCGGACATCCTAAAGCAACTTAGTCATCAATCACTTAATCATCAAAAGTCTCTTCATTTATTTAGCACGTTGTAAGAGCTAGAAATCACAATATACTCATTTAACGCACTGTAACGTCTACGTCACTGCTTTAATCTATAATCTGAGTATATTTTTGAATTCCTTGATGTATTTTGCACAAATAGTTATTCTTATTAAAATACTCTATCAGATTGGGAAATAATAATAATTTTCTGTTAAAGAAATAACGTATTCATTTTGCACACTATAACATCTACGCCAATGACTCGATTTGAAATCTGAAAGTATTTTTGATTTCCTTGATCTATTTTGTGAAAAAAAGTACTCTTAGTAAAATGCTCTATCAGTAACCGTTTAAGACATAAAAAAAGGTTTTGTGTTAGAAAAACACAAAAAATGTTGAAATCACAATATATTCATTTAAGGCACTGTAATTTCTACGTCATTGTCGTAATTTATAATCTGAGTATATTTTTGAATTCCTTGATGTATTTTGCACAAATAGTTATTCTTATTAAAATACTCTATCAGCAAGCGATTGGGAAATAATATTAATTTTCTGTTAAAGAAAGCAAGAAATACTCGAATAACAACGTATTCATTTTGCGTACTGTAACATCTACGCCAATGAGCCGATTTAAAATCTGAAAGTATCTTTGAATTCCTTGATTTATTTAGTGTAAAGGTACTGGTAATAAAATGCTCTATCAGTAACCTTTAAAGACATAAAAAAAGATTTTGTGTTAGAAAAACACAAAAAATGTCGAAATCACAATATATTCATTTACGGCACTGTAACTTCTACGTCACTGTCGTAATTTATAATCTGAATATATTTTTGAATTCCTTGATGTAATTTGCATAAATAGTTATTCCAATTAAAATACTCTATCAGCAACCGATTGGGAAATAATATTAATTTTCTGTTAAAGAAAGCAAGAAATACTCGAATAACAACGTATTCATTTTGCGTACTATAACATCTACGCCAATGAGCCGATTTAAAATCTGGAAGTATCTTTGACTTCCTTGATTTATTTAGTGTAAAGGTACTGGTAATAAAATGCTCTATCAGCTACCGTTTAAGACATAAAAAAAGATTTTGTGTTAGAAAAACCCAAAAAAATGTCGAAATCACAATATATTCATTTAAGGTACTGTCACTTCTACGTCACTGTCGTAATTTATAATCTGAGTATATTTTTGAATTCCTTCATGTATTTTGCACAAATAGTTATTCTTATTAAAATACTCTATCAGATTGGGAAATAATAATAATTTTCTGTTAAAGAAAGCGAGAAATTCTCGAATAACAACGTATTCATTTTGCACACTATAACATCTACGCCAATGACTCGATTTGAAATCTGGAAGTATTTTTGATTTCCTTGATCTATTTTGTGAAAAAAAGTACTCTTAGTAAAATGCTCTATCAGTAACCGTTTAAGACATAAAAAAAGATTTTGTGTTAGAAAAACACAAAAAATGTCGAAATCACAATATATTCATTTAAGGCACTGTAACTTCTACGTCACTGTCGTAATTTATAATCTGAGTATATTTTTGAATTCCTTGATGTATTTTGCATAAATAGTTATTCCAATTACAATACTCTATCAGCAACCGATTGGGAAATAATATTAATTTTCTGTTAAAGAAAGCAAGAAATACTCGAATAACAACGTATTCATTTTGCGTACTATAACATCTACGCCAATGAGCCGATTTAAAATCTGAAAGTATCTTTGAATTCCTTGATTTATTTAGTGTAAAGGTACTTGTAATAAAATACTCTATCAGTAACCTTTAAGACATAAAAAAAGATTTTGTGTTAGAAAAACACAAAAAATGTCGAAATCACAATATATTCATTTAAGGCACTGTAATTTCTACGTCACTGTCGTAATTTATAATCTGAGTATATTTTTGAATTCCTTGATGTATTTTGCACAAATAGTTATTCTTATTAAAATACTTTATCAGCAAGCGATTGGGAAATAATAATAATTTTCTGTTAAAGAAAGCGAGAAATTCTCGAATAACACCGCATTATTTTTGCATACTATAACATCTACGCCAATGATTCGATTTGAAATCTGAAAGTATTTTTGATTTCCTTGATCTATTTTGTGAAAAAAAGTACTCTTAGTAAAATGCTCTATCAGTAACTAGTTGGATATAAAAAAACTTTGTGTTTAGAAAACAAAAATAATCGTCGACATAACAATATACTCATTCCGCGCATTGTAACATTTACGCCATTGACCCAATTTACAATTTATTGATGTCTTTGTATTCATTGATATAAAACACTATTTAGTAAAAAAAACAAAAATTTTTGAGAAATAAGAAGACTGTCTAAATTTGCATTCAAAAACTACAAGAATTGAAACATTGAAGTCTTGATTAAGGTTCGATTAAAATTTTTGAAATCTACTTTTAACTTAGTCTGATCTTAACTCAGAGTTTATTTTCGATTAACGTTAGATTAAGTGTTGATTAACATTCGATTTAGGTTTTCCTCAAAGTTTTTACTTTCAATATAAGATAACTTTATTATAATTTTAATGTTAAGATGTAAAGTTTATTACAGTAAATAAAATGAATTTGAGAATAATTCCTGTAAGATTAATTTAAAAGCTCAATCAAAAATAGCTCATTATCTCCTTAACAACAATTGATGTTACTTTACGTAGATTTTATTAACAACAGCTTTGTTCTACGACTGTCTCTCGAGATTTATAAACTGAAAAATTATACTTAAGTATTTAATCTAAATTAAAAAATTGTTTTTTATCAATATTTAAATAATCAAAAATTTAACCATCATAAAATAATCCTAATCATTAAAAAAATCACCATAATTTAAGGGTCAAGGATACAAACCGAGAAAAACATCGATAATTTCCAAGAATACACGATTTTAATATAACAACAAATTGATTATGCTTTGTAATAAAAAGTGGAATTTTAAAGTTGTCAATTTTTCCATGGTACCCGTTGAGATTAGTAAATCTCACGCTAGTTTGTGCACACACGAATCGATTCAATTGCAAATAATGTAACGTCCTTGATACGCTTAAAGTATAGTACTATTACTCATTTGAAACGAGAGAGAGAAAGAGAGAGTAAAGATTGTTGTTATTTTTTTAAACACGGTTCATCTCGTTTAGTGTATTACGCTATGTTATAAAATTCATTAAATTGCCCTGGATTAAATCAAGGAAGTCGCGGATTTAAAATAGATTAATAGACTCGATTAGAAAAGTAGGTACTCTAAAAAGTGTTCCAAGAAACAAATTTGGTGGCGGCGCGACATACCAAAACTTTAAGCTCAATTCATCTCGTTTCAGGCGAATAAATTTCAGTGAAACTTCCTAAAATATTATGTTATCCTGTTACAATACACTCACCGTTCAACAGGTAGTTTTCGATTCCAAACGGTTTGAGCTTTATTATTATAAGTAAGTGAGCTTTCGTTTTCGGTTTTTGCTTTTTCTTTATTAGGTATCCAGTAATTCAAAGTCGGGATTAATCGGAATAAACACTAAAACGCGTGTTAAAATAAAAATAAGAGTATATCAGAGGCTCTGTGATACGAAGCACTGTCACCCGCGAACTGATAGACTGATTTTTCAATTGAAACGACAGTGTGGAGAGCATAGAGGGTCTCGACTCTGGTTTGTACCGTTCGCAGGGCCGTATTCAGGGACCAACCACGGCGACGGTTTCGTTTCGTGTTTCAATTCACGAATTTGGCTGGCCGCGCGAAACTCCGTGACAACACTGAAACGCACACGAGAACGAATCGCTGGTTTTATATATAGTTAGTTGTTCGCGGGAATGCACAACGAACCACATTGTTATCAATTAGTAGGGTACCACTCTTTTTTTTATATTATTGCTAATACCGGCTAACCGCCGGTTCAAACTTGAATTAAATTACTTTTGTTTATTAATAACTTGGACAAATACTAATTATAGATTGTTTTTTTATGAAAAAAGTTGTATTAATGTTTTGTCTAAATACTATTAATTATTAAAATAATTTAACAAACATTATGATTATTGAGTGATTGAAGAGTACATTTATTTCATGCAAATTCCAATAAACGATATATTGACTTGCTACTTAGTTGCCTATTACATTATTCATTAGTATTAGATTACTTCCGGGTGACTAATATAAATACGAATCTATTCAGCTTCAGGTACCGAGAGGCATACTTATAATTCTAGGTTGATTATGTCACCGGTTTTACACGGATACGTTCCATATGCGCTACAATCAACATCATTGAAAACAAACATTTAAAAATTAATTTTTAATAAAACATGTTTAATAATTTTTGAAATTGATAATATCAACCTATATTGTGCTATTTTTTTAATATAATTTCAAGAACCCCTTATCCATAGTGTGTCGTTATCTATATCATGTCCTTATTAAGTTAACAAATTCCTTCTAGCATCTCGATTTTCCGAAATAAGGAGCTTACACGGAAAACTAATAACTACAAATTACTTATTTCTGTTAATTCTCGTAGTTACAATGTACAGGGTGTCCCAATTTCGATGTCCGCATAGGCTATCTCCGAAACTAAAAGAGATAGAAAAAAAGTAGCTTATTTGTCATGATCTCGTTTTTCGAGAAAATGCTAATGCCGAAAACTCCGAACAGCTATCGTCTTTTGTTTTCGCCCTATCGGCAAAAACTGAAAATTTTGCGAAAACGACAATCGCGAATATCTCACTTATTATCAAAGATGGAGTATTATAAATAAAACATTATATGGGCAACTTTTTACGAAGAATTCAGTGGCGTAGGTAGAATTTTTTTCCCATCTTTTATTTTCGAGATTTTAGACGTAACTTTATTTTTTTAAATGGAAACCATAGTTGGCTATGACCTAAAATAATTTGTTATTTTCTTCTGATAACAAATATATATAGTTTGTGGGGTATATTTCTTATAGTTATTGAATAATTAACAAAAATTCATTTTGTTCTATCTAAAACTAATGTATGTATTTAAAAGTTAATGTTGCTATGGTGATAACCATACATACTATGATGGAACATAATGTATCAAATAATTGCCAAAGTTTGTATTTAAAAATTCGATATCAACTCTGGCATTATGTGCTGGCATTATGCACCAGCGTGTTAAGTGTCAAAGTATAACAAAACTGAATAAAACTTTACAATGAATTTCGAAAATTATGAAAAATGTAACATGATGGAATGCTATATGTTATCAGATAAGAATGCGACGTTAGCCGCGGAATTTTATTTCACAAGATATCCAGAAAGAAGACAACCGCACGTAAGAACCTTCAGCCGGTTAGCAGAAAATTTAATAGATATTTGGTCCTTCCCCAAACCACATACAAAAACATACCAAAATGACCTGCAAGAGAAATTGCAACAAGACGTCTGACCCAAAAGCCGCTGCTCCCGAATATGAAAGAAAAATAAGTATAAACCATACAAAGCGGGGCTAACTCATTATTTACGTGCCGGAGATGTCAATCGAAGATTAGAATTTTGTAGATGATATTTAAAAAAATTAAATAATCTGCTGTTTGTTCAAAATGTTATCTGGACCGATGAAGTCTCTGAGTGTTCAAAGAAGATTGGGGTTTAATGTATGGTGCGCCCTTTTAGATAATAGAATTTTGGCATATAGTATCTACCATAAAAACTTAAACTCAGGGAAATACCTCAATATATTAAGGCAGCACATTGAGCCTTTGGTCGACAATTTGCCACTAAATATGTCTCAAATGATATATTTTCAATATGACGGAGCACCAGCACATAATGCCAGAGTTGTTAGTGAATTTTTAAATACTACTACAAACTCAAGGACAGTAGAATCTAACAGGACTGCTACATCCATTGTTGTGACAGCCTACCCGCAAACTACGTCACACCATTTTCCACGCCTAGCTGTTGTTATGGTCTATGCGTTTGCTGTGTGTTTTTAGAGGTTATATCCTAGACGTATTCATATTAGTTTTGAAGTTTTATGTTTTTAGACGTATTAATGTCTATCATATAACCTCTAAAAACATAGACAGTTATCAGGCGTGGCAAATAGTGTGACGTAGAGTGCGGGCAACCAACCCGTAGTCGACTACAAAAATACAATGGATGTAGCAGTCCTGTTAGATTCTACTGTCCTTGCTACAAACTTTGGCAATAATTGGAAACAATGCTTTCCCTCATGGTATGGTTATCACCATAACAACATTAAGTTTTAAATACATACAATAGTTTTAGAAAGAACAAAAAAAATTGATACATTATATTCCATCATAGTATGTATGGTTATCACCATAGCAACATTAACTTTTAAATACATACATTAGATTTAGATGGAACAAAATGAATTTTTGTTAATTATTCAATAACTATAAGAAATATACCCCACAAACTATATATATTTGTTATCAGAAGAAAATAACAAATTATTTTAAGTCATAGCCAACTATGGTTTCCATTTAAAAAAATAAAGTTACGTCTAAAATCTCGAAAATAAAAGATGGGAAAAAAATTCTACCTACGCCACTGAATTCTTCGTAAAAAGTTGCCCATATAATGTTTTATTTATAATACTCCATCTTTGATAATAAGTGAGATATTCGCGAATGTCGTTTTCGCAAAATTTTCAGTTTTTGCCGATAGGGCGTAAACAAAAGACGATAGCTGTTCGGAGTTTTCGGCATTAACATTTTCTCGAAAAACGAGATCATGACATGTAAGCTACTTTTTTTCTATCTCTTTTAGTTTCGGAGATAGCCTATGCGGACATCGAAATTGGGACACCCTGTACACATATCAAGAAGAGGGATGAAGAGATTGAAACAGAAGAAATTCCTGGCGGTTTACATAGAAAGAGCGGGATTCTGAGACGGCAGCTATAAATTAGATGAATACCAAGCATTCTTGCAACCCTTTAGAACGTTTCATCTGGTAGATACAATTTACAACCTCATGTTGTAGATACAGGAATGTATAACCCAACCCAACCCAACCCAACCCAACATAACCCAATTCCTTACTATTTGAAATGTATAAAACTTTCTACGTACAGGGACAAGTGGGAAAGAATCCCCCCTCTACTCGTTCCTCTTCTTTGTTTTCCATGAAACCATCGCCCCTGCCTTCAGGTTCGGCGTTCAAGCCTCAAAGTTCTTCCACCTAGTACCCGTTTTCTTCCTTTTCCTATTGTGCTCAGAAAGCCTACCAGTGTCTCCGGACAAGATGTTCTGCATTCTGCTTGTGGCCATTGTATCGCTACTTTGATGGTTACCTCGTTAAACTTCCTTCTTTCCTTGAGACTTATTAGGTTATTTCATCTTTACACTCCTTCTATTATAACTTATTTTATCGCCCTACTAACGCTAGATCATCAGTAATACCAAAAATCAGTAACCGACCTTACTTACAATTACTTCTAGTTTTCAATCCCACAGTATCTAGTGTCCTATCAGCAATATAAACTCTTCTGCAAAAGTCTAGTATTTTATAAGTAGTCTATAATTAGTCTTGAATTAGCAGTTCCAGTCTTCTGGCCTCCGTGCCTAGTCCTCTATTAACAATTTCTGATGTTCTATTACCCGTATCAAGTCTTTTGCCGGCAATATCTAGTCTTCTGCCAGCAGTAGTTAGTCTCCTATTAGCCGAATGAAGTCTTCTATAAGGAGCATTTAGTCTTCCACAATGAGTATCTAACTTTGCGAAAGAAGTAAGCAGTCTTCTGTAAGCTGCATCTAGTCTTCGATTAGCAGTATTCAGTTCTTTGCTTTACGTGTCTAGTCTTGTGATTACAGTATAAACTCTGTAAGCAATATATAAGCAATATTTAGTCTTCTGTCTGCAGTATCTACCCTTTTATAAGCAGTATTTTGTACAACCAATACCTATTTTTTGAAGTTTTGAATATGTGTACACCATTTCAATGTTGAATCCAGATTTATTCCAAGGAACTTAATAGTTTTTACCTCACTATTCATGTTGAATAAACTCAAAATCTGTGTTTTGTTCTTATTTATGGTTAATCTTTTTGATAACATTCATTCCTCCGCGCCGTCAACAACAGTGTCGAGCTTCGCACTAACTCGATCGTGGAACCTTCCTCTTGCAACAAACATTGTATTATCCGCGTAGAGAAGCGTTGTGACATCGTCAACACAAAAAGGTAGATAGAATATTTATGTATAGAGCAAACAGTATAGGTCCCAGAATGGAACCCTGCAGTACTCCATATTTACAGGACGAGTAATGTTTACTGTTCCAATAGCAGTGTCAAGTTTTCTGCCAGACTCTAATCTTTCATTAGTAACATCTAGGCTTTGGAAGGCAGTCCACTTTATGATTAGTCAATCAATGTAGTCCTTTATCACCGGTATTTAGTTGCATAGTGATACGATCTAGTCATCTATAAGAAGGATTTTGTACTACAAGTAGTATCTAATCCTCTGTAAGCACAGCAAATTGTTTTGCAACCAATGTCTAAACTTCTATCAGCATTACCTAGTCTTACGCCAGCACTCACATCTCTTCTACAAGCAATATCTAGTCTTCCTTTAACAGTATCTAATCTTCTGTCAGCATCTTGACTTTGTGTAGTTTTATAAATAGCAGTTAGGTAAAATTCTTTATTTAGTCCTGTTGAATTTGGCATTTATCTTTGTAATAAATCACTTTATTCTCGATTTCCGGATATTGTACTATTTACTTATTCGTTGTAAATATTTGCCGTTAAATTTTTAGTTGGCACGACAAGTTCTATTTACACAGCACGTTTTATTAAGCGCGATTTTTATTCGTTTAGATGATGCAACGTGGTATTTTTCCTTAAGTTTATTGTTAGTTTTTTTATCGCAAAGTTATTTTTTCTTTCCTGAACAACGTAATTTTTTTATACGTCGTTTTAATGTATTTATAATCGATTGAAATGAAAAGTAAAATGCATTATAATAAAGTTATGCATATCAAATTATTATTTGAAATTACCTTTTTTTTTGTACGAACCTAGTAATCCAAGTTAATACAGGAAAAAGTTGGTTTAATCCGAGCTTGTATCCAGTTCGTTGGATTCGTGCTATATTAGAAGTGTTTTGTGATAAGTCTTGCAAGATTTGTCTTGGTAATAAGTCGTTATCGTTTTATTTTCGAGATGAGAAATATGCAAAAAAAATTTGGTTCATTCCAAACTTATTATACTAGAAATTAAAAAAGCGTGGAAAATTTTATTGATTACTTCCTTGTTGTTTTGTTCGCTTTTTTTTCGCGTCGACGTAAACTCATTTCCCGACAATTTTCTGCATCCTTTTCCGACGTCAATTTCGTTATTTAGATCTTTTTTATTTTTATTATAACTACAAATTTTGAGTTAAATTGAATTTGACGTCATTTATTTTCTGGTTTACGCCACAAAATGTTGATAAAAATGCGTTGATAATTCCAGAAATAACCATTAACATATTCAAGTTCTTCTTATCAGTTAACAAAAATTTGTAGTAAACAGGATAAAATACGATGCACACGTGATTTTGATGTGCAAATACCGTTTCTAATGGATTTCGCTAAAACACATCGTTGGCAGTATTTCTTGCAATTACGATTTGTATTTTCGTGCTTTAAATATCTTCAAAATATCTCTATTTGCAAATGAGATATTAAGATGCACAGTGGGTCAAGGTAAAATTTTTACTTAATTATAAATTTCACATGGTAATTTTGTGGAAGCGCTGGTAAACAATCAGCTACAATTATATAAATTGCTTGTTACAGGATAGATATTTCACTTCATTTTCAGGACGTTTCTCGCGGTCAATTGGTTAAGCCGACGTGTTAATTAATAATGCTGGTCGCAGATACATTAATTAAGCGATTAACTTAAATGATATTTACTTGTTTGTTGCCTGAAACTTTAATGAGTGCATGCCTTTTAATAAAATTTCAAGAAATTTTACAAAATCTTTTATTCATTGAGTTTCCTGGCAAAATAATTGTGAGTTAAATTTCGTTTACCTTATTTGGTTTTCAAACAACTTGATGTAACATTAATTTACATAAATAATTATCTATTAAGACACGATATAAAAATATTTAAAAAAATAATAAAGATATATCAAGGCCTTATCAATGAATACACATTTATTATTATCCATTTCAAATCCTGTTATTCAAATACATAATGTAAAAAAAATAGATAGGAATTAAGAAATACCAGAAATTAGTTGAAACTAGAATTTTCTAGTACAAATTTTGCTACAAATTTGGATTCACATTATTAAATCCACTTTATACAGTTTTCTATACTACAACAAAACTGTTTTATCCCCTCGCCAAGAGATGGCGTGATATAAAAAATAATAAATTTAGAAAACTTGAAATTGCAAATAACGATGCTGAAGAGAATTTAGTTCATTTTACGCAATAGACACGTATCCCAAAAAGAAAAATACATTAAACAGTTTATTTAAACACTTTTCTTAACGACTTATTAATTAGGATTATGAAGTTGGCACATTTGCATACATCTAAGAGGGATAAAGTAAGGTTATGTTTAAGTTTTCTTTCATATAAAAAAAATATTTTATTAAATAACCATGAGATACATTTTAAAACATGATACTTTATCTATATTATATAAAAATTTGGTTAAAACGTTTCGAACGGTAAGAAAAGTTACAGACGTTTATTCTTGTACAGTATGCAAAATAAGTATTCGAACACCCACCGAAAATTTAGAAAATCACGAATTACACAAGAATTTTTAATGATTTATTCCACATAGAAGAGTAAAAGCAAAAGTGGATGTCTTGGTTACCTATACAGTTCAACAACTGTGCGAGAAAGAGCATTTTATTAACAGTTGACAGCAAAAATAATTGAGCAATGTGCAAAAAATTTTTATTGTCAACAGGATAATGATTCAAAGCATATCACGCTAGATTCTAGACTTTGGATCGTGTACAACTGTTCAGAGCACCTCAAAACACCATCACAAAGCCCTGATCTTAATCCTATTGTCAATATTTGTTATACATACAGTGTGTTAATTAATTATCGTACCCGACGTCATCATTGCAAGTATGCAACCAATATCGCGATTTGCAATACCAATATTGTGATATTGGTTGCATACTTGCAATGCTAACGTCGGGTACGATAATGAATTAACACACTGTATATAGTTTTTGCTATCAATTGTGATTAAAATGTTTTTTACCGTTTAGTTGTCAAACTGTCCAGACGTGCCTTCCTCTTTAAGGTTTTATGCCAATATCTGTAATACTCTGCCAGACACCTTAGGGTACACTAGTTAAGACTTATGCAAGGTGAGCCCCCAATGAGACAGGATTTTACATGTACAGTATTTTGATTATAACAAGAGAACTTCTCAACCAATTTTGATAAACAGTATCTCATTGGAAAGCCTAATCCTTGGCCCATACGTTAGTGGAATGTCCGATTCGAAATCTCTAAAGTTCCGCTGAAACGCCAAAACATTGCGAAAGTACACAACAATGATCTTTATTAAAAAAATATATTTCCAAATGATTTAAAAAAAACCGATTAGATATTATAAACATGAACTTTAACTTTTTAACGGTTCACGGCTTAATTTAAGATTAATATAATCTGAAAACAAAATATTAAATATTTCAATTTTTCCTCTGGCAAAATGAACAACACTATCTATTTAAAAATCGAAAATTTATTGTATTTATTAGCTGTTGAAAAAGAAATTGATGACGCTGAAATAACTGTGAAATCTGACGTAAACGGTGGTGATGGATTTTTGGGAAACTATTATATCGCTGAAGTTAAAGGAAAAGATAAAAAATTGGATGTTTTCATAAAAACTATAAGAATAGCAGGAATGTATTTACAGAATATAATCAAATACGCGTATTTAAACGAATTTGTTTTTTACGATATAATATATCCCGAATTCGTAAAATATGAAGAGAAAAAAGGAGTCAAGGAAATATTTCGTTCGATACCTAAATGTTATAAAATACACAGAGACGACGGACAGGAAACAATTTTTTTGGAAAACTTAAAAATTCAAGGATTTAAACAACATAATCGAAAAGAACCTATGAACGATGAACATATTAAACTCGTTTTGGAAGAATTGGCTCATTTTCATTCTATTTCTTTCGCGATTAAAAATGAAAATGAAGAGAAATTTAAGGAATTAGTGAAAAATGTTTGTTGTGTTAACACTACGTTAAATCTTAACGATTTTAGTGATACGATGGAGTATATATCAAATTATGCATTAGCCAGATTAGATCCAATTCGAGATAATAAATATTACGATATTTTTAAAGATTTCACTTTGAATGTATCGGATATTTTAAAAAGTTTGGATGATTTAGTTACAAATAACATTGTTGTGACACATGGGGATCTTCATAATAACAATTTAATGTTTAAATATCACGTAAGTAACAGTATACTTAAATAATATTAATTTAATTCCTTTAATTTCCTTCAATTTATCAGAATGGTTCTCCAAAAGAAGTTCGTATTTTTGATTGGCAATTAATGAGATTAACAACACCGATTGTTGATGTATCGCTATTTTTTTATAGCAGTTGTAATGAAGATCAATTAAAACGGCTCGATAACTTCCTCCAAATTTATCACAACAAATTAACCGATTGCGTACAAAACTTAATAGGTACAAAAGAACCAATTTATTCGTATGAAACGTTTTTAAACGAATGGAAAATTTTTGCCCGATATGGACTCGTGGTGGGATTTTTGCTACAAAAAATTTTGCTTACCGACGCTGACGTAATCAATCAACAGAAGTTAGAAACTGAAAATAATATACCATCTATGAAAGATATAATGGCGAGTTTTGAATTACAAAACTCTAGAGAATGGGAAAGAAGAATTAAAGCGTTAATTTCTCATTTTATAGAATCTGATTTTCTAAAACCTATAAATTTTTGTAAAAAATAAAAAGAATAATTTAAATATTAAAATAGTTATTCGTATAGTCCGAAGCGAACTCTGGAGCGAGGCAACTTCTCTTTGAAGCTCGCACAGACTACATCATTCCTACTTTCTTAAACAGGGCATCACTTTAGTATTGAGAGGTACTGCACGACTGCTCAGGCCGAAATAACTACTATAAATATAGCAGCTAATGTGATCATTGACTCTAAAAAAGTTGGCAAAAACGTTGTAATCTGCACTGATAGTAGATAAGCTATGCTGGTTAGTAAGCATCGAACTACAAACTACATCATCGTTAGTGAAGTCCTGTCGGCAAACACTTGAGAAGGCTAACTTTTAATACAGCATCAAAGTTAATCAACTCCATCTCAACGACTGCAGTAGGTGTCTTTGCAAAGAAAACTCTGCTCTATCCTGACCGAATGAGATCAACTCAGTTCTTGGGAAAATCAAAAGTGACTTGAGGCTCCTCACCCACTACCTGACCGGATGTTCTACATGAAGCTGGCGAGCACATTTCTTTGTAAAGGGTGTGAAATGGAAGACGAGACAATAAGTCATATTGTTTGTGACTGTCCCAACCTCGCGTACTTAAGGCAATCCATTCTTGGCGTACCATGGCCTCAAATTTCGGATATAAAGAACATACTGTGATAAAAATAACCATTTCATAGTTCATCGAGAAAAACATAACCATAAATTTTTGACAGAGAAACTTTTGTTGGTAGAAATTTTATTTAAAACCGATTAGTTTGCTTCAAAAGATATCAATTAGATTAGTTCAGCTCCTAAAGCAAATTTTTCATCCATCCTTTGATGTTTTAACGTTATTTTGAAGAGGAAATCGTTGATTTAAAATTGAATTTTTCTAATTTTACTCATTGATGAAATTTGGCGTGTTCTCCAATGTATATCTGAAAACAAGAGAAGACAACGATGAATACGAAGTTTTATTACGATTCATAAAGGAATAAGGGAGAAATCAACGAAAAAGGAATTTAATTTTGAAGGTTAGTTCCAAGAAAATCCGAGAGATGACGCTAGTTTCGACGCAAATATTTTAAAATTTGAAAAAGGCGCGAGCATAAGAACCAATCAGAAACAGGAGGGGTGCCGAGTATAAAAGGAAATTGCAAGCAAACAGGAGACAGTCGTCATCTGACCGGCAATAAATTCATGTTGGTTGACAGAAAAAAAAAATAACCTCAAAATTATAAAATAATTGAATTATCCTCAAACCTTATCCGAGAACTCCTGAAACATCTTCGAAGTCATCCAAATCCGAAGGACAAGCAGTCCACTCATCCGTCAGAAGAATCCTGTAGACAATCCCGAATAATCCGAAAGAGAGACCTGAAACTACGAGGAATCCAGTAACCAATCCAGAAAAACTAGTTCGAACTCCGAAACCAAGAAACAATCCATTATCCTGTTACCACATTGAATTCCAATCCTTTTATTTCGCAGTGAGTCGGTTGATAATTTATTTTTTTTATTTAACATAACCTACAAAAGAAAAATCAACCAATTAAACTCAAAAGACAACTCACAAGAGTTATAGTCTCCGATTTTTCTGGTGGTTTTTATGACCCTCAGAAACAGTAGCAGCAGTAATTATCACCCCGAAAAAGTACCTGATGGTGATTTATGATAGGCCCTCCTAGCGAACTAAGTCCAGGGACGCACTTCTTTTTTTATTTTATTTCAATATGAATTATTTAATATTTCTAACCGGCGATTGTCGTTAATTCAAGATTTTTCATCAGTGTCATAACAGTTGTCACTCTCCGCGCATTTTAAGCTGTCGTCATCAGAAGAATCATCAACACTAATAATAAAACGCTGTACATGTGGCGACACATACAAATCTTCGACATCTTTCACGTGTTTTACGCACTGCGACCACAATTCGGATGAAATTTTATTATATTCCTCACGAATTATATTAATATTGTTTTTAAATATTATGTTTTTGTAATTTCCGTTAATGCGGACCTGAACAACTCACGCCCGAGATTGGGGTTCGTCAACTACCTGTTTACAACCCTCTCTTTGTTCGTTATATCACTGCAATTAAGTCATAAAAACCACCAGAAAAATCGGATACTATACCTGTATAATTCATTATCAATACTTACTTGTGGGTAAAGATTTTTCAGTTTTTCTTGTATAACTTTCATTTTCTTTTAACACTATTTTTTCAACGAGTTTGATTTCAATTTAAAGCGTTGGCCATCTTTTATTTCACAGACAAGTGGGACACATACTAAAAGATTAAGTACAATACATACTCTTCTGTTTTATATTAACGTTCATTAAAATCTTGAGCTGGTTTTCTGACCCCTGAATGAACTGTAAATTGTGGGGATGTATAAAAGGCCCGCTGGGACCTAAGTGCTTTGAAGGAATTCACCTCCAACATTAATACAGTTATTCGTGTATTGATTTTTATTTGACCACTTGCGACTTTGGAAGAATCGAATAAAATGTAGTCATGTCAAAATGTTCACATGCCGGTAACTTAACCTATAAGTTTAAAGCATCTAATAAGCTTGTTTTAGTTACAAATTTAAATGCCCTAGTTTAAAAACAAGCAGTCAAATATATCATACATAAAAATTGAAATATTGTCATATTTAATTAGTCAAAATCAATTGACTTTTTTATATTATGTACCACATTAGACGTTATGCCGATCATACATGTAGACTTCCACCAAAAGGATCAGAAAGTTGCCTTGCCAAACAATCTCCATTAAGTGGTTACCTAGAACGGCTTCAAAGAATATCTAGAAAATTTATTCTTCTTGACAAACAACACCCGCTGGTGAAATATTATTGTAGAAGTGGAGCCGCCGTTATCCAAGAAAGAAAACGCCACGTTTTTAATTTCCCATGGTTCGTAATTCACCCGTTAAGCAAATTTAGTTTTTACGTCGACATTATTTCGGCTATCTTTTGGAGTTTCTGTTTCATAGCGGACCCATTTTTAGCAGCATTTTGGAGTGGTATAGATAGATTTGTGGTTTTAGACGTGATTACGTCCTTGGTAAATGCGGCTTTATTATTATTATGTTTCACGCGATATATCATCGGATTTTTCGTCGTAAAAACGAAAGAGATCGTCTTGAATCCGAAGTCGATAGCCTACAGTTATTTGACGAAATATTTTTTCGTCGATTTTGTCGGATCGTTCACTTTTAGACCATTCTTAATAATCTTCAATCCGGAATGTGATGAGATTTATTACAATTTGATGTACGTGATACGACTCGTTAAATTGGCGAGGGTGTATTCGTGTTATAAAAGAAGTAAATTAATAAGTTTGTATTTTAATGTTAGCGAACGAGTACATATCGTTTCGTTTTTGGCGTTATTAACACTACTTTTGTTGCATTGGTTGACGTGTTTTTTGTTTATTTATTCGAAGATTGCGTATTATTTGATGGGGTATATTATGGAATCGATTTTAAATCATTTTAAAATTTCGGATAATTATTCGTTAACACCTTGGTATCAGCGATATGTTCGGGGGGTGCATTTAATAAGTACTCAACTTTGCGGGTCAAGAGGAAATGTGGACGAAAGTTATCAGGCAAGTGAGCAACTTTATTTATCGTTTATTACGATTTTTGGGCAAATTTATTACATAGTTTGTTTCGTATTGATTTATTTAACTTTTAAATCGAGAGCAAGTACCGATACTTGTTACGAAGAATTTTTGCTGGGAGTTCATGAATTTATGAAATCGAAAAAATTACCTCCGCAATTAAAACAACGAGTTTGCGTCTATTACGAAAATCGATTCCAACGGAAATACTTTCGGGAGGCGAGTTTGATTTCGTTACTTTCCGAACATTTACAACACGAAGTTTGGTTACATTCCTGTCAAAGGTTAATCGACCAAGTTCAATTTTTTAAGGTTTTGCCTAAAACCGTGGTTGGAATTATTTTGGCTCACCTCAAGCAAGAAGTTTATTTGCCGCACGATGTTATTTTGAAAGCCGACGCTCCTTATGTTAACATGTATTTCATTTCTTGGGGCACCGTTGCTGTTTACACGAAAGAACAAAGCGAGGTTGATCATTTGGTGGATGGAATGCATTTTGGTATGCCCCCAATAAATAGATTGCGATTGAGCTCAGCAAATTACACATACGTAGCCGTTGAAGTAACCGAATGCTTCCGATGGGACAAAGAAGGATACAATAAATGCTTTATGATTTATAACGAAATCGCAGATATTTTGGATAAGATACACCTTAAAATTATCGCCGATTTCCAAGAGAAAGAAGATGCTCAAAAGAAACTCCGCACCCATAACATTCTTTCCGATTTACAACAAGGTAAAATCATTGAGACTGGGAAAAAAAGATCGAAATACTTTCCAGAAAAATAGTTTATTTCAAATGTAATCATTTTTAAATAAATTTGTTAACGATAAAATGCCTAAATATATCCTTCATTTTTCTATCGTAAACATCTTGATGTCTCGTTTTGTTATTAAATATATTCGCATCAATTTTATCACCTTCCAAAGATTTCGCTAAATCAGGTGCTTCATCCTTGTCATAAAGCATCGCTTTAACAAGCAAAAACGCCATCCCCAATCCGTATTTCGAGTACTTCCTCCAATGTTCCTTAAGAACCTCAAAAGGGTATAACTCATTTGGGTCACTCCCGAGATTTCTGCAATGCTCACTAAAGTATTTATGATAAATACCCATGTAATTCTCCCAATTTCCCAACATTTTCGAAGTTGCAGCGCTGTAGAAGAAGTAGCTTAAATCAAAAACCGGGTAATTAACCCTTATAATTTGCCAGTCGATTAATTTAATCCCTAACGGCTTATTCGAACCCTAAAAAATTTAAATTAATTAATAACAAATTTAAGGAAATTAATTTTATACCTTATACAAAAACATCATATTATTTGACCAACAATCCCCTTGCAAAAAAGTACAATATCTTCCTTGAAACTGTGGAATATTTCTTATAAAATCCACAACACTTTCTTGCAAACCATTCGAAGCTCTTAAAATATCTTTATCTTCCTTCGGATCTAAACTTTCAATAAACTGCGTAATACAGCTTCCGATAACTTTATCGAACCCACTCTCAACAATCGTATCGGCTAAAACGTCTTTAACCCCATCGGTTATCTTCAAAAATGTTTCAAAATCTTGATCTTTCAAGGCAAACCCGGTGGCGTGAAGTTTCCCAAACGCTTTCAAAGCTAAACATAAATGTTCCTCGTCAATCAATTCTTGTCGATTACGTAAATCGAATCCTTCAACTTTTAAGTTCTCTAAAACGATCGGTTTTAACCCGCGAGTTTCACCCGGATTAAAATATTTCGGTACGTTATTAAAAGGGGCTTTAACGTTTTTATAAAGTTGAAATTTTTCGAAGATCGGGTAAATTTGATCGTAAAATCGAGTCTCATTGTTAAATAATTTTATAATCACTTCTTTTTGTTGGATGGTGTCGATCGGAAAGTATTTCACGAACAAATCTAATTTTTTTTCATTCGATTTTAATTGGACGGCGCAAGTTTTTGAAGCGTAACCATCACCGGAAGCTGATCCTTCAGACACTTTCACATCGGTATTTTTATCAAACTTTAAATTTATTTTAATATTTTTAATCGCATCTTGAACACTATCATCTAAAGTTATTCCGTTAATCATCTTGTAAGATTATTTTCAAAACTGTAATGATTTGAGATGGTGACGAGGTTTTTAAAGGATGTCGTGTCCTTACTACGTGCATTTTGTCTATTATTTTAAAGAAAATAATTGCGGATGAATCTGCCAATTACCAAGCCCCTTCGTGTTATCTGTACTATTAAGTTTCCATTAAGTAATTATTATTTGATTCCTATATGTGATTTGTGATTACGAAATAAACAAAATTAGTTGTTAAATTTAATTCACTTCACGAATGTTGTAAAATAAACTTGTAATTATCATAACTATTTGAAATTGTACTAAGAACTAAAGTTAAACTCTTCGTAAATAATGTACAGTTGGTGCTGTCTCGGAACATGGAATCAATGAAAGTTTCAACTATTAACCCATTGAGGATTTCACTCCTCCATTACGAAGATGACTTCGTTGATCTGGCGGGACTTCTACGAAGCACATAGAGTAAATTTCGAAATATCCAAGCTTCGGCTTCACACTGCCCGAAGACACTTGGGGAACATAGCCATCATCACGGAGAGGTACTCGATGTAGAGATCGTTCCATGCCTTCTGAAGAGCTTCAGACTGTCGAGGTTCTTGTGGGGAATCGAATCGAAAACGGAAAAGGTTAAGGTGGTCGCCGAACCACCTCTAGATATTTCAGATTCATGATTTTTTTGGCAATCGATGTTATGATTTAGAGCTTATAAATAAAAAATGGTAATCATTGAGTTCAATCTTTTTATGGATCTAGTCCTTATGCCCCATTACTAAGGTTTTATGTATAAGAAGTATTTCCCCATCGCTTTTAGTTTATGAGTTATGATTGAGTTAATTTTCGAAAATCAACAATTTTGATGTTTAATCGGTTTAGAGCTTATAAATAAAAAATGGTAATAATTGGGTTCAATCTTTTTATGGATCTAGTCCTTATGGTCTATTACTAAGGTTTTATGTACAAAAAGTATTTCTCCATCGCTTTTAATTTTTGAGATATGATTGAGTTGATTTTCGAAAATCAACAATTTTGATGTTTAAATGATTTAGAGCTTATAATTAAAAAATAGTAATAATTGGGTTCAATCTTGTTATGGATTTAGTCTTTATGGTCCATTACTAAGGTTTTATGTATAAAAAGTATTTCTCCATCGCTTTTCGTTTTTGAGTTATAATTGAGTCAATTTTCGAAAATCAACAATGTTGATATTTAGTCGATTTAAAGCTACTAAATAAAGAACGGTTATAATTGAGTTCAATCTTTTTATAGATATAGTCTTTATAGTCCATTACTAAGGTTTTATGTATAAAAAGTATTTCTCCATCGTTTTTAGTTTTTCAGTTATGATTGAGTTAATTTTCGAAAATCAACAATTTTGACGTTTAATCGATTTAGAGCAGTAGTGTCCACTAATTTTTGATCAAAATCGACTTTTTATATAAATGTCTTACCAAGATCGACCGAAAGGTTTAAAATAACCTTCCTTTTTTTTTTTGCTCTGAGGCTCAGATATTAGATATTTCAGATTCATGATTTTCTTGGCGATCAACTCAAAACTGCTTTGCGATCGACCACTGATCTATATCAACCCTCTATCCATAAAATGTTGAATCAATTCCTTTACTCTCCGATTATACTCATCTTGTTGTCGCAAAACTTGATTAAAACAATCTTCAACAGAATCGTTTCTATTAATATAATCAGGAACTTCGTTTTTATCGAATAATTGTGCTTTTATAATACAAAAAGCCATGCACAATCCATACAGACAAAATTTTTTGTGATGTTCCATGCAAATTTCTCGTGGATATACTTTTTCGGGGTCGCTTCCTAAATCCCTTAGCATGTTTGCTAATGTTTCATAATAAATGTTGAGGTAATCGTCTTTGTTGTCTAAAAGTTCTCTTGTTGCTGATGTATAAGAGTAATGGTGATCCTAATCTTTGACATTGCCAATCAATTAATTTTACGTCGATTGGAACTCCTCCATCCTATAAAATAATAATGAAATTTTTGGTAAAATTAAATAAAAGTACTTGCTTTGTAAAGAAACATCATGTTACTAGACCAAGAATCGCCTTGCCCCAAAACGTCATATTCATCAACATTCTCTGTAATCTTTGATGCAGAATTAACTAATGTTTCCCCAAGGGTTTTACAACATTCTAACATTTCTTTATCATTATCCGGATCTAAAGTTTCTTTAAATTGTTTAACACAATTTTTAATCGATTCACTTAATCCATATTTAATAAAATTAATTGAAAAATAATCTATAATTCCATCTGTTAAATTTTTAAATGTTTCAGGTTCTTGATCTTTCATAGCAAGCGAAATCGCATGGTCTTTAGCAAATGCTTTAATCGGTAATCTCAAATGATCATCACCAATTGCTTTTTTTCTATCCCTTAACGAATATCCCAAACATCTCAAATTTTCCAAAATAATCGGCGGAACATTAAGCTGCTTTAAATTAACTTTAAAATGTTTCGGTGCGTTATCAAAAGGATCTGACACGTTCCTTTTTTGTTGAAAATTTTGAAAAGCGGGGTAAATTTCATCATAAAATCGGTACTCGGTGGTCATCCGGAGGTGTTGAATAGGTTTCGTTAGAAATTATAACATTAATTGCGTTTTTAACAGTATCCATTAATTTAGTGGTCATTTTGTCTTAAAAAGTTAATATTAATCTTTAAAATTTACTTATGTGTTTTTTCTTGTTTTTGATTAGCTAAAAAAGAAAAAAATATTTTAGATATGCTTCTTGTTATATTGAAGTAAAGTTGAGATTTAAGTTGGAAGACATCGATATAGATTGAGCAATTGTATAATAATATAATTAATAACTATAATTGTGCCAGAAACACAATAAAATGGTCTATGGCAATTTTGTATCGTGAATTGAACATAGCTGCCATAAACGCTTTTTCTGTGTTCAATTCAAAAAATCCTGGTTCAAATATGCTATGAAGAGTTTTTCTGGAAAAACTTTCATTTGATTTGGTAACAAATTATCTAAAGAGGAGTGTAACAATTTAACAAGTGCCATATTTAACTCGAATGAGCATAAAAGAAATCTGCAACATGGAACCTGAAACTGTTACCCAAGAGCAAAACACAGAGTATGGTAGATGTTCCTTATGCAGTGCAAAAAGAGTCGCAAAACAAAATATAAATGTACTGGATGTAAAAAAAATTTGCGTTAAACATTAATTCGACGAATTGAGTTTATAATCACCATAACCATTATTGTTAGCACTATAATAGTTCTTTTATTGCACACTGGTTGAATCGACAAAAAATTCAAGGATAAAAATATTCTTTATAATGTAATCGACAAAATTAATTCATCTTTGAGAACGAGAAAGATTTTAAATAGTTTTTAAGCATATTCTTAACTAATTAATTAGAGTAATCAATAATTAGAATTATTTAATTAATTGTTATTGATTAACTCTTACCTTTAATTTAATTTTCTCAGTTTTGTTCATTTATTACCAAATTTCTAACTGAAAAAGAAATATTTTAGAAGTATTTTTCTATCAATAACTATATAAAAACATAAAATCAATATAGTAATGTGTACAATGAACAATTTGATTAATTGTTTGTCTTTAATCTAACTTACTACATAAATATTTTTAAAAAACACAAAAATTTTAATCCTAAAACTACAACATATTTTTCCTCTTCTACTCACTATTTGATACTAAACTTTTTATCTAATAAATCCATCCTTTTTTTGTGTTCTAAAATGTATTTCTATCCTTTGGAGTAACGTTCTGATGACCTTGTATTGAAAATTTTATGAATCACGTTGTTGTAGCGTGTTAAATCTTTCCAGAAGAATACCAAGCAATTTTTTTAAAATGATTTATAAAAAATACAATATTACATAAGAATAAATACTATTTTTAAATACATCCAGACTATTCTAAACACTCTCAAACATTTTAATTTTCAAACGATAAAATTATACTGCTTATCTTAATCGAAATTATCAGATAACAACTATTAAAATAGAGTGTAACACTCCCAAATGATTCAAAACAATTTTATATTTTGATACCAAGTTTTTTTTTATAATAATCTAAAAAAATGGCTATCTCAAAAGAAGAATTAGTACCAAATGTAAAACGTGCAATCGAAGAAATTATATCATCCGAAAAAATTATATCACCTCCAATGATTGAAATATCTCCTGGATGCGAGGTTGGTGATGGTTTTGCCTCAAAAACGCTTGCTGTTGATATTAAAGGTTTGGATAAAACGATAAATTTGTTTGTGAAATATTTTCCGGAAGACGACCAAAACCCTTTGATTAAAGTTTTTGCAATGGTTTTTAATACAGAGTTTAGATTTTACGATAAAATTTTTCCCGAAATGATTAAATTTCAACAAGAAAAAGGATTAACGGAACAAGAAATGTTCCAAAACGTTCCTAAACATCTAAAAACTTTAATTGAATATAATGGGATCCCACCGATTATTTTAGAGAATTTAAGACCCATCGGTTATAAATTAAGAAATTTTAAATCTTCAATCGATGAAGATCATTTAACGTTATCGTTGAAAGCTTACGCTCAATATCACGCTATATCTTTCGCGATGAAAGATCAAAGATCTGAGTTATTTAAGAAACTTTCAGTAGATATTAAAGATTTTCATGTTGCTGCTTTTAATGTTATGCGTTTAGCAGACTCTCTTGGTGGAATGATAGATTCATTTTTAAGCAATTTGGATCCAGTGTTAGATAGAAAATTACTTAACGAATGTCGTAATTTAAAAGAAGTTTTAATTCATAATGTTGCTAATCTGAATAAGCTTGTTGATGATTACGCTGTGATATGCCAAGGAGATTGTTGGTCTAATAATATGATGTATCTTTATGATGTAAGTAAATTTTTAAAAAATAATTAATCAAAAATAAAGAATTTTTAATTTAAGGAAACCACCGGAAAACCTATCGATGTAAAATTAGTAGATTGGCAAATTCAACGATATAATTCTCCGGTTTTGGATGTTTCTTATTTCTTTTACTCAGTGGCCACGATAGAAACGTTGAAAAATTTCGATAAATATTTTAATTTTTATTACAACACACTGGCTGAATTCTTGAAGCGATTAGGAAGTGATCCAAGAAAATTGTATCCAAAAGTGGTTTATTTGAATCATTGGAAAAAATTTTCCAAGTTTGGTTTGACCATGTGCTTTGTTGCCTTTATGGTTGAATACGCAAAGAAGGATAATTTACCGGATTTTATCGATGGAAAAGGCCAAGAAATGCCTGAATTTGCTGTTGAACTTGATGAAAAAGATATGTATCAAAAGAGATTGAAGTTGCTGGTTGAACATTTTGTTGAACGCGATTTTTTATAGTTTTAAATTAAAGTTGATATAAAAATTGTGATTATAATAAAAAATTAAATAAGTGCTTTTTCATGTTTATAAAGAAAGTTCGACATCGAGATATTATATTATTTAATCAAATTGTGTAAATTTATCTGATCATGTTTATGACCCAGTTTATTTTAGGGAATTTTTGTTTTTCTTAATTTTGTTAATTGGAAATCTTATATGATTTGGTGGATTATTTATTTATCTTTTGTAACTGGAAGAATTTTCCAGACATCTTTCATAAAGTATCTGATGATACTCAAATTACTTGCATCTCGGAAATTATTTTACAAAAAACCTTATCCTAAATTATGATCTCTCTCTAAACCTGATTGCCCTCTACCTTTCTCTGTTTTAAGCTTGTATCCACTTTTTAGCCACTCTTTTCAAATCTTCAGCTGCCTTCTTCTACGTATCGCCATTCATTGTGACCACATGTTCGTCCCAATTCCATTTAAGTAGTTTTCTGCCTCAGATCCTGGTTTGTATCAAAGTATTTTAAAGTCAGTTCCAGCATGACCGAGATGCTGTCGTAAAGTCAAGATTGAACACTTTTCTTTTCTGACAAATTGGAAGGTCGCTTTTGAACACATGTTTTAGCTTTCTATAAGCTGCCCATCCGAGTTTGACTTGTGTAGCTCACAATTCTGGTTGCCTCGGGATTTTCGTGTTCTAGGTACGCGTATATATTAATCAATTCGATGCGTTTAGCAATTCATAGGAATCCTGTTTGCTTTTCCAATGTCAGTTTCTACTACTTCTACGACAACTTCATCTAGTCTGGGTGCTTTATTAGGTTGCATATTAGAAAATACTCCTTTAATTTCTTCAATTGCAATATTAGGTTGTTCTTGAATCTAAATAATCTTTATCTAGCAATATCTTAGTGTTCGGAACTAAACACCAAGTCACTTTCTATGTTCGGTATAAGAACAAATAAGTTCTGACCACGATGCTAACGACGATGTTGAAGTAATACGCCTTTACACAAGATGAAATACGAAGTAATAGTAGGAACAAAATGACATTTTTACTTAAGTGAGAATTTATTTTAAATAAAATTATAATTACAAGAAATCACGTTCAAGAAAATGTTCCACAAGCATTTTCATTCTTTGTTGATAAACGCTTCGACCTTCAAAGTCTTCAGTTGGATTAGAAACTTTCAAATCATCCCCATCCAATAAATTCGGTACATTATCTTTTTTGGCTAACATCAAAAAACCACCGAAAGCCATCGTCAAACCAAATTTAGCATACTTTTTCCAATGACTCAAATAAACCACCTTTGGATAAATTTTTCTTGGATCACTTCCTAAGCTTTTTAAGGAATCGGCTAAAGTGTTATAATAGAAGTTGAAGTATTTATCAAAATTTTTTATGATTTCCTCTGTGGCCACATTATAAAAAAAATAAGAAACATCTAAAATTGGAGAATTAAATCTTTGGATTTGCCAATCAACTAATTTGATATTGATGGGTTTTCCATTATCCTTAAAAATATAAATTAAATTTTACCATTAATGTTTTGATTAAATAAACTTACATCATAAAGGAACATCATGTTGTTTGACCAACAATCTCCTTGGCATATTACAGCGTAATCATCAACAAATTTATGAACATTACAAGCGTGATCAATTAAAATTTTCCGTAAATTTCCACACGAATTAATTAATTTTTTATCTAAATCGGAATCCAAACCATTTAAAAACATATCTATGGCCATACCCATACTTTCACCTAGCATTGTCTCAAAAGCTGTTACAAAATTATCTTTCATATCGAATGTAAGCTGTTTAAATAAATCGGGTTTTTGATCTTTCAAAGCATAAGAAAGTGCATGATATTTAGCAAAAGTCTTCAAAGCTAGTACGAAATGTTCTTCGTCAATAGTAGTTTGAAAATCTCGCAAAGTGTAACCAGAAAGTCGTAGATTTTCCAATATAATAGGGGTATAACCATCAAATTTAATGTTAGTTTTAACATGTTTTGGGACATTATCAAAAATATTTTCTTTTAATCCCTTTTCTTCTTGAATTTTCTTCATTTCTGGATAAATTTCTTGATAGAAACGAAACTCAACGTCAAACGCTGCTTTAAGAGATTCGATGATATCATTTTTCACTTCTGGTAAATATTTTACGAACAAATTGATAGTTTTTTCCGTATCTTTAATTTCTATAGCTAACGTCTTTGATGCATAACCATCACCTATTTGAGATCCAGGCGAAATTTTTATCGTTGGTGGTGAAGCAAAGTTTTCATTTGCTATAATATCATCGATCGCACGTTTTACACATGGCACTAAATCTTCGGTTGTGTTACCCATTAAAAAGTTTATATAGAACTTGTTCTTCTTAATATCGAAACGATTTAATTCGTTAACGTGTGTAGGGTTTGATTTAAATAGACCTTATCTGGTTGTTTCTAAAAACGATAAGAAGCTTTAAATTTTTTTAATTTCTTCATTTTCATGTAATAAGTACCTACTCATAGATAAAATTATTATTTATTTTACGTTATAGTATTGATTTTACAATGTATTCAATGTATTAAAAGATATTACTTAATAATTACTTTACCCAACAACTATTTGATACTAATTGTGACTCACTTCATCAGTTAAAAGCCATAATTGCTTTTTTCCCCAATTTCTGTAAAAATGCTTTCGTCAACATTTAGTATCTCGGTATTAAGTTCAAAAAGCACAAATTCTGTTCAGATTTTACTTCCAAAATGCATTACACTCCTCTTCTAGAAACGCCTCTTCTACGTTTCTTAGATATTGAAAAATTGTGTATGAATCTTCACACTTAGTTAGTGCCCTGCTTCTGGATTTTTGATCCAATCACATTTATAAATAATACCAAATCTTGTACTGCAGTATCTTTTTTTTTTGCTTTGATACAAATGCTTCTTCCAATAAAGTAAAAATCTTACGATTAATTTTTTATAATTAATTTAATTATAATTAATTTAATTGTGCATTATCATGAGTGCAGCGCACTTTATCTGAAAAGCAATAACTTGCTGGGACATTCTTCTGGTACATCCAAACTTTAAATGCACCAGCAACCAACTATTTAGAGCAGCTGAGACGACACCTAAAGAAGAAAATATTTGTTCCACTACGAATAATTCTTATATACGATATAGTAGAAAAGTTAATAAGTAATCGAGCAAATCATCGTCGTGAAATGACTAAGGTTTATCATGATTATTACAAACAATACCAAATTATTGTAAACTCGTTTTAAGTATAACTACATTGCAAAGCGAATATTATATAAAAAGTTCACAATACTTTGTCTTTATAACACTTCGTGTATACTAACGACTTAATTATGTTTAACCCGTTGATGCCCACAATTCATTAATTCCATTAATAGAATACCTCCGTTTTTCTCCCCTCCACGAATTATTGTGACTTTATGCCTTTAACGTGTAGAAAATGTTAGAAATTTCTTTCGTTAAAAAGTGGCTAGTAAAAGGTAAATGACATTTTCTATTTTTAAACTAATATTATCTATTATTTTACGTTGTGTTTATTGCCCTAACAAATTCTCAACACATTTCCATATATCATCTATATCAGTGGTGTCCATAACGTCGATCGCAAAGCAGTTTAGAGTCGATCGCCAAGAAAATCATGAATCTGAAATATCTAATACCTGAGCCTCAGAGCAAAAAAAAGGAAGGTTACTATAAACCCTTCGGTCGATCTTGCCAAGACATTTGTTTAAAAAGTCGATTTTGATCAAAAATTAGTGGACACTACTGCTCTAAATCGATTAAACGTCAAAATTGTTGATTTTCGAAAATTAACTCAATCATAACTCAAAAACTAAAACCGATGGAGAAATACTTTTTATACATAAAACCTTAGTAATGGACTATAAAGACTAGATCTGTAAAAAGATTGAACCCAATTATAACCGTTCTTTATTTAGTAGCTTTAAATCGACTAAACATCAACATTGTTGATTTTCGAAAATTGACTCAATCATAACTCATAAACTAAAAGCGATGGGAAATACTTTTTATACATAAAACCTTAGTAATGGGCGATAAAGACTAAATCCATAACAAAATTGAACCCAATTATTACCATTTTTTATTTATAAGCTCTAAATCGATTAAACATCAAAATTGTTGATTTTCGAAAATTAACTCAATCATAACTCAAAAACTAAAAGCGATGGGGAAATACTTTTTATACATAAAACCTTAGTAATGGGCCATAAAGACTAGATCCATAACAAGATTGAACCCAATTATTACCATTTTTTATTTATAAGCTCTAAATCGATTAAACATCAAAATTGTTGATTTTCGAAAATTAACTCAATCATAACTCAAAAACTAAAAGCGATGGGGAAATACTTTTTATACATAAAACCTTAGTAATGGGCCATAAAGACTAGATCCATAACAAGATTGAACCCAATTATTACCATTTTTTATTTATAAGCTCTAAATCGATTAAACATCAAAATTGTTGATTTTCGAAAATTAACTCAATCATAACTCAAAAACTAAAAGCGATGGGGAAATACTTTTTATACATAAAACCTTAGTAATGGGCCATAAAGACTAGATCCATAACAAGATTGAACCCAATTATTACCATTTTTTATTTATAAGCTCTAAATCGATTAAACATCAAAATTGTTGATTTTCGAAAATTAACTCAATCATAACTCAAAAACTAAAAGCGATGGGGAAATACTTTTTATACATAAAACCTTAGTAATGGGCCATAAAGACTAGATCCATAACAAGATTGAACCCAATTATTACCATTTTTTATTTATAAGCTCTAAATCGATTAAACATCAAAATTGTTGATTTTCGAAAATTAACTCAATCATAACTCAAAAACTAAAAGCGATGGGGAAATACTTTTTATACATAAAACCTTAGTAATGGGCCATAAAGACTAGATCCATAACAAGATTGAACCCAATTATTACCATTTTTTATTTATAAGCTCTAAATCGATTAAACATCAAAATTGTTGATTTTCGAAAATTAACTCAATCATAACTCAAAAACTAAAAGCGATGGGGAAATACTTTTTATACATAAAACCTTAGTAATGGGCCATAAAGACTAGATCCATAACAAGATTGAACCCAATTATTACCATTTTTTATTTATAAGCTCTAAATCGATTAAACATCAAAATTGTTGATTTTCGAAAATTAACTCAATCATAACTCAAAAACTAAAAGCGATGGGGAAATACTTTTTATACATAAAACCTTAGTAATGGGCCATAAAGACTAGATCCATAACAAGATTGAACCCAATTATTACCATTTTTTATTTATAAGCTCTAAATCGATTAAACATCAAAATTGTTGATTTTCGAAAATTAACTCAATCATAACTCAAAAACTAAAAGCGATGGGGAAATACTTTTTATACATAAAACCTTAGTAATGGACCATAAAGACTAGATCCATAAAAAGATTGAACCCAATTATTACCATTTTTTATTTATAAGCTCTAAATCGATTAAACATCAAAATTGTTGATTTTCGAAAATTAACTCAATTATAACTCAAAAACTAAAAGCGATGGGGAAATACTTTTTATACATAAAATTTTAGTAATGGACCATAAAGACTAGATCCATAAAAAGATTGAACTCAATTATTACCATTTTTTATTTATAAGCTCTAAATCAGTGGTGATCATAATAACGTCGATTGCAAAAAAAATCATGAATCTGAAATATCTATATCTGGGCCTCAGAGCAAAAAAAAAAAGAAAGGATACTTTAAACCCTTCGGTCGATCTTGCCAAGACATTTATATAAAAAGTCGATCTTGATCCAAAATTAGTGGACAACACTGATCTATATTAGTAAATACGATAAGTACAAAAAAATACACTTTTTCTCAAAAGTTCCAATATTGGAACTATGGGCTAAATTAAATGGTCCTTAACGACTTTTTTAATAATTTCAGACCCCTCACAACTGCAGAACTCATTTAAATAATAGAAGACGAGGATGTTTGGGCCGCTGTTATACAGCCTGATTCAGAGTAAGCGCCTTATTTTTTTTTAGCCACACTATGGGTACTACTTTCAAAATATTTGGCAGTAATATGTTTTAGGACACTCTCTACACGATGGTGATATCATATTTTCAATTGGACGAATTATTTCAAAATGGCGACTGTCAACTTTTTTTTTTAAATGGAATGCCAAAATTTTTTTTTTATTATTGAGATCTTAAAAGCATTCTTTTTACGACAGTATTTTGTTTTTCTTAAAAATTCATTTCTTTCCCCATCCAAAAGGAACCTAATATTTTAATCTATACTCTGTTTTTAAACCAGGAGGAGTATTTTAAATTTGTCACCAGATTGACCTTGCACGTGATTGGTTGAATGCGAGGAAGGTTCACACACAGGCAATTTTGAATTTTGATTTTGAATTTGAAGGTTAGGTTATTGATAATTCGACAGTTTCGTGTCATTGTTGTAAATTTTGTTTAAACCCTTTTGCGTCTTCAATTTAATTGAGTGAAATCTGTTCTTTTTAGAACATGGTATGGATCGTGACCCTAATAGTCGTTCACAACAAATTTCACAATAATAAGTAAATAAATAAATAATAATAATTATTAATTTAAATTTACCGCCAAAATATCTAGTGATATTTTCTGGTGATTTTTCCTAGTGTAAATCTGACTTTCGCGTTTACTCCTCCTGGTTTAAAAACAGAGTAT